TCCGGCCCTCGCGGCCCTCCGCTCCGCTCCGGCCCTCGCGCCCCCCTCCGGCCCTCGCGCCCCCCTCCGGCCCTCGCGCCCCCCTCCGGCCCTCGCGCCCCCTCCGGCCCTCGCGCCCCCCTCCGGCCCTCGCGCCCCGCTCCGGCCCTCGCGCCCCCCTCCGGCCCTCCGCCCCCCTCCGGCCCTCGCGCCCCCCTCCGGCCCCGCGCGGCCCTCGCGCCCTCCGGCCCTCGCGCCTCCCCCTCGCGCCCCCCTCCGGCCCGCCCCGCCGGGCTCCTCCCGCGCGTCCACACGGGGCTCCCCAGCGGGCCTGGGCGGCTCGGCCGAGACCCCGAGTTTAAGTCCTTTGGGTTTTCCACCAGAACGGACGGCGCTGGGGGAACCGAGGCGACGGCCTGTGGCAGGGCCCGCGTTTCCGCGCTCACGGCGGCTGCTGGTTCGAGACCCAGTTCCACAGCCGCAGGGCCCCGCGGGCGCCTCCTTCCGCCTCACGCCAGCGCCGCGGACCGTCTGCGCAGCCGCGCCCCGCCCCTGAGCCCCAGAGCCCCGCCCCCAGAGCCCTCAGAGCCCCGCCCCCTAGCCCCCGAGCCCCGCCCCAGACCCCAGAGCCCCGCCCCCAGAGCCCCGCCCCCAGAGCCCCAGAGCCCGCCCCCAGCACTCGCCCCCCAGACAGTGCCACCCCGCTGCGAGGCACCCCCCCCAGCTAGCGCCCCCCAGCAATGTCCACCCAGGAGGCCACGCCCCGGCCAGCGACCCTCCTCCAGCGAGAGCCCCTCCAGCCCACGCCCCCCCGGCGCCCGGGAGCGGGTGCCGGTCCCCCGCACCAAGCGCGGCCGCCGCCCGCCGGGACGCGTCGGGGCCCGGGCTGCCCCCCTGCCCCGCGCTGCCCCCTGCCCCGCAGGGGCTCCGGGCTCGTGGCTCGCGTCCAGGCCCGCGTGGCCGCTGCGCTGCCGGGGGCGCCCGGGGCCCGACCCGTGCCCCCCGAGTTCCCACGCGCCGGGGCGCGAGCTGCGCCCCCCGCGGCCGGCCGAGGGCCTTGCGGTCGGGCCCCCAGACCCACGGAACAGACTGGGGGGCGGGGGCGCCGCGGGGGGGCAGAGCCCGGGACGGGCCTGGGGACGGGGGCGCCGCGGGGGGCAGAGCCCGGGACGGGCCTGGGGGGCTCCGCGGGCTGCCGTGACTGCGCCGCTGTCCAGCGGGGCGGGGGGGGGGGGCGCACCCGGGGTCCTGCTGAGACGCGGGGCGTGTCTGCTGTGGCTCCCCGCCCCGACAGCCGGAGACGGCGCCCCGAAAACTGGAGCTGCCCTCACCCCCGCACCTGCTCACTTCGGCCTGGCCTGTCCAGGTGAGTGCGCAGCCAGAGCCAGAGGTGGGGCGCCCCGCAGGGGCGGGGGGGGGGGGGGGGGGGGAGCCAGGCAGGCGTCCGGGAAGGGGCAGTGCAGGGCCGGCGGGGGGCCAGGGCCCAGGCAGGAGGGCACTCAGAGCAGGGCCAGCGGCCAGAGGGGAGTGTGAGAGGAACGTGCTGGCGGGGGATGGCAGGCAGGAGCCACTCTCAGCGCCTGGCCCGGGGCCCAGGGAAGGAGGAGAAGGTTCCAGAAGGGGCCCTGGGCGTGAGGTGGGCGCTGAGATTTGTTGCCGCTTCCGGATTTTCCTTGACTCGGGCCGAGTTAGATCCATTGTCATGCGCCTGGCAGGCTCCAGAACGTCCAGAACTGGGCAGAGGGACGGAGCCTGACATCTGGAGCCCCTCCGGGGCAGCCACTGTGTGCCCACGAGTGGAGGGGCTGGTGCCCGCCCCGAGGTTGGCAAAGGAAGTCTGAGGAGGCGGCCGCGCCCCCCACGGGCTGCACGGCCACGGCGCCGAGCGAGATGAGCCCCCAGGCCTGGCGGTGGCCCCGCAGCAGCCGTGCGGCCAGCCTGGGGCCCGGGGCGCCCGGGGCAGAGGGCAGGTCACCGTGGCCGCCTCGCTGGGAACTGCCCGGTGCAGGGAACTCGGCCGCAGCAGGGAAGGCCAAGGGAGGCCTCGCCCCACTCTGCCCAGGCCCCTTGCCGGGGCTCCCAGGTGGGGCCCCACGAGGACGGAGCACGGGGCTTCGGCAGGAGCCCGGAAAGGCGGTCAGTGGCCTTCGCGTTGTTCCCGTCGCGGGGACACCGGCGGGAAGCAGATGAAGCCCGAGCCCCAGCGGCAGACGCGAGGGGACCGTGTCCCGGGGCCCCCGAGCCTGAGCGCCGCGATCCCTGGGGCTCCTGTCGCCCCCGCGGAGAGGGAGGGCCGCCCGCTCCGTCGCCAGCTGCCCTCGGCGTGACGCAGACGCGCGGGGGGCTAGGAGAGGGCATCATGCCCGGGGAAGGAGGCCGCGTGGCCGCCCGCCCGCCAGGGCCAGCTCCCGCCATGTGAGGCGCAGGCCCAGGCCAGGCCGAGCGCGGTCAGGGCCCAGGCGAACCTGCTCCCGGGCGGCGGTGGGGTCCGGAAGGACAGGCTCTCTGCCCACACGTGCCAGCCTGCGGCGGGGCGGCCCAGGGCCAGCGGGAAGGGAGGTGCCGGCACCGAGTCCAGCCTGGGACGTCCCGCCCGGCCCTCGCCGCAGCCCTGCCCGCTGTCCCGGCGCCCCGGCCCGGCCTCCCGGCTCCTCCTGGGCCTGGACCTCCTCAGCGGCCCACCGGAGGGAGGGGCTGGGCGCCGGCCTGGCTGAGGGTTCAGTCAGAAACTTTTTAATACCGCGACGGGGCCTTGGCCATCCAGTGTCCCCCAGACCTGGTGGGTTCGGGGTCTTTTCAGGTGGGTGCGCGTCCTGCCGGCCACGCCCCAGTTCTTTCTCGTCTTAGACACACTTGTCAGGCTTCATGTCTGGCCTAGCCCCCTAGAGCCCCCCTAGGCCCAGGGTCCGGCCTGCTGGCTGCGAGGGAGACCCCCCTCTGCTCCCCACTGGGCTTCACCCAGGGAGCGAAGAGATGGAAGCGTGCGGCCCTGCCCTCCGGGGAGCCAGCCCTCCCTGCAGGAGGGGTGCCTGCTGCGCCCCCAAGGGGACCGCGCTTGTCTGACCATTCCAGAATCGACGCCTCCTCCCTTACGGGTAAACTGAGTCACTCCCTGCCTTGAAAGCCTGTCGCAGCGCCGGAGTCCCGCAGGGCTGCCCCGGGGCCTGGCCTGGGTGGACCCATGGCCGCACCACGTCCGCGGGCGCCCGCACGTCCCACTGCGTCCAGGGCCGGGGTCCCTGGGCTGCTTTGGAAAAGGAAAACGACCCAATTTGGGGGCGTACCCAAGCTTCCCTTCCTTGCGGGACCTGCCGCCTTGCTGACCTGAAGTTAATGGGGGGGGCAGGGGCTGCCCCGGAGGGTGTGCGCCCGGCCGTCAGCTCTGGGGCGAGGCCAGCCTCCTCCCGGCCCCTCTAGGAGGCGGGGCGGTGACCTCTGTGGACATCACTGGCTGCCAAAGCAATGAGAGGCACCCCCGCTGGGACCCCACAGTCCCCCCACTTCCACAGCACCCTGAAATCTCCTCCTGTGAGACAGAGCCCCAGCCGGCCCCAGCCCCTGCCCGGTCCTGCTCCTCGTGCTCTTTCTGCGGTTCTCAGCTCAGGGCTGCAGGCTCCTCCTCCTTTTCCAAAGCAGCCCAGGGACCCCGGCCGCGCTCGCCTCCATCCCTGGTTGGTGCTGCCCCCGAACTGTCCTGCCCCGAGACGGTCCTGCCCCTGGACACTCCCGCCGAGGCCGGAAGGGAAGCTGCGTGACAGCCGTGGGTGTGAAGGTGTCTTGGCTGCCAGCAGAGAACGGGCTCCCTGACCTTGCTTGGGTGAGCGGCCTTGGGCCAGAAGCGGGTAAACCGTCTGGGAGCCAGGGAGGCCCCTGGGGGAGGCCGGGGGGAGGTCGGGGGAGGTCGGGGGAGGCCGCACTTTGAAGCAGGCAGCGCCTTCTCTCCTGCCCCCCAGGGGCCTGTCCCTGCTTCACGTGGCGACAATGAAACCAAATGAGTCAGGGACGAAATGACCCCACCACGGAAAACGGCGGGGGGTGTGGACAGCCGGCCCCGGGCTGCGCAGACAAGCCGACAAGCTGGGCGGTGGGCGGCTGCGGGCGGCGGGCAGTGCCTGGAACTGCAGGCGGGTCCTCCCTCGACCCCCAGGCCCAGTCGGCAAGTCCGTCCTCACCAAGGCCCAGCCAGGAGCGGGTGTAGCCGCGAAGCATTGCCAACAAGCAGGGCGGCCTGTCCGCACCCAATGGCGAGCACAGGCCTGAGGCCAGCGGATGCCCCAGCAGCTCCCGCAAGCCCGCGGGTGCCCACCGCGGGGCTCTGCTCCCTGGCCTCTCCTCCAAACACCGCCCCGCAAATTGACTTTTGCTATGACTTTAAATACTTTGCGCTTGTTTTCTTAGTATTTTAGGCAGAATGCAGGACAGGTGTCTGTGGGCCAGACACGAAAGGTTTGCTTTGAGTAGTTTTATTTCCTTTGGGTTTTTTTTTTTTTTTTTTTTAAGATTTATTTATTTATTTATACAAGAACCGGGGCACAGGCCAGATGCGCGGGAGAGTGAGAGGACTCACCAGAGACAGAGTGGGGAACAGAACAGGCAGACCGATGAAATACACTGCTGGGGGGAGCAGCGGGGAGACAGGAGAGGTCTGCTGCGCCATGTGGGTAGCTCCCTGGCCAGCTGGGGATCGAACTCGTGCTGCAGTGGCTGCGGACAGCTTCACAGTGCTGTGCTTAACCCCTTGCACCACCAGGGAGGCCCCTCCTTTGGGTTTTTTCTTTGATTTCTTAAAATAAGTCAGACGCCTCCCAGGTTCCTAAATCACAGGAGCAGGCCTGGCGAGGCCACAGGCACAGGGGGACGGGCCGTCCCCGGGGGAGCCCCGCCAAGCACGGCCAGGTGCTTCTGCGCCGGTGACGCAGCCGGGAGGCTCTGGGTCTGTGCCCCAGGAAGAGCCGTTGTGCCCCCCCCCCCACCCCGAGAGGCCCCAGAAGAAATGCAGGCGTCACACAAGCCAGATTTACTTCAATATTTTATTTATATAGAAATACTTAAAAAATGAAGTAGCACCATTACTTAAGTTTTACCTTTATTATGTAGAACTTTAAATGTCAGAAAAATAAAACTCTTGATACAATTTCAAATCTTGTCTCAGCAAATATAATATTAGTATTTGACCATGAGGTTAAAGGCCCTTTATCATAAAATAAAATATACTTTGTTTTTTAAACTTTGCTCAGTAAAGTACATTTAAGCTCAAGTAACGTTCACCTACATTTACATAAACGAGTGGTAAACAATGTATTAAAATAGAAATACTAAAACTATAGTGGAGCAACAGAATCTTCGTAACTTGCACTGAATCCTATTTATACAAATGTTAGAAAGCATCCACAGTCCCTTTTGACATGTTTATACATTTCCGGGTTTTTCTTTTTTTTTTTTTTGTAATAATATAGAATAAAATAGGCTTTGTATCACTGAATAGAAAATACGCTGGGTGGAGCAGATCGAGATTTGTCTGGACCTACAAAATCTCCATCCCAACCGAATACTGTTCAAAACATGACACGTCGTATGGTTTGTAGTTCCGCCACAATTGTGTGATTATTAAAATAATACAGTGTTCTTTGCCCTAAGGCCATACTAAAATAAAAAGATTTAACCCAGCTACAAAAAAGTTCACTGAACTTAAATTAAAATACTTGTAAACATCTTTGCAATATGAAATATAATTTTTCAAGTCAAAAAAGAATAAAATACTTCGATCTGTATTAATGCAATTTCTCTTTAAAACTTTTAAATGTTTTTAATATATAAGAGATATGTTACAGTTTCTTTCACTTTAATAAAGCTGCAGCAGCCTGGCCTCCGGGACTCCTGGCCTTCCACGGGCTCGGGGACGGGGTCTGAGTGTGGGGAGCCCGGGGAGCCCCGCCGCACTGCCGGGTCGCCTTCGTCATCACCGTTCATCTTTCCCCCTGTTAGGAAAGGGACAGCCGGCGGGTGCTCTTCCTTTGGGCGCCTCCGCGGGGCGGCCCTGGCCGTGCGCTCAGGCCTTGCGCTCTGGCGGTGCGCTTTGGCGGTGCCCTCTGGCCATGCGCTCTGGCGGTGCCCTCTGGTTGTGCGCTCTGGCGGTGCCCTCTGGCCGTGCGCTCTGGCGGTGCCCTCTGGCCGTGCGCTCTGGCGGTGCCCTCTGGCCGTGCGCTCTGGCGGTGCCCTCTGGCCGTGCGCTCTGGCGGTGCGCGTGGGCGCGCGGCTGGGGCTGCCGGGCGCAGGCGGCTGCGCGGTCCTTTGTTCAAACACTGAATGTCAAGCGCGAGGGAGACCCAGAGCCCGGCCCCCGCCTCGGGGCGGGCGGGGCCCTCACGAGAAGATGCGGATGGCCTGGGTGACGGCCGCGTGGCACGCGGGGCACTCGGGCTCGCTCTTCTCGCAGATGCGGCTGGCGCACTCCATGCAGAAGAGGTTGTGGCCGCAGGGCACCAGCGCGGCGATCACCTCGCTCTCGAAGCACACGGAGCAGTCGCGGCTGCCCTTGCGCCTCAAGCCGGAGGACGAGGACGACGACGAGGACGAGGAGCTGGACGAGGACGAGGAGCCCGAGGTGTCCGACGGCGGCAGGCCGGGCAGCGGCGCGCCCAGCCCGTTGGCGTAGGCGGCGTAGGCCAGGCCGCCGCCGCCCGGGTCGCTGCGCACGCGGCGCGCCAGGTGGTGCTCGCCGGCGCCCGGGGCCGCGCGCAGCGGCGGGGACAGGCGCGGGCAGCCGGCGCCCGGGTGCGGCCGGCGGTGCGCCAGGAGCCCCAGGCTGGCGGCGGGGGGCGCGCCGGCGCCGCCCCCGGGGAAGACCACCGAGGAGGACGAGGCGGACGAGGACGCGGAGGACGAGCAGGAGGACGCGGGCGCGGCGGGCCCGCCGCCCGGGGGGCGCTCGAACTGGGCCCAGAGCAGCGGCGCGGCGGGCGCGGGCGGGGGGCGCGGGCGCGGGGTCGAAGGCGGGGGCCGGCTCGGCGCCGCCGTCGGGGGCGGGCGCGGCGGGCTCGTAGCTGTACCCGTTGGCGCCGCCGCCGCCGGGCGCGAAGCCGAGCGCGGGGCTGGGGGGGCTGTAGTCCGCCAGGCGGGGGGGCGGCCGCGCTGCCGCCCGCGCCGCCGCCGAAGTACGAGTCCGTGGAGGCGCCGCCCAGGGAGCCGGCGCCGTCGTGGCGGGCGCCGGCGAAGGGCTTGCGGCCGGGCGCGGGCGGGACCCCGGGCGCGGGCTTGCCCCACAGGCCGCCCGCGCCCGCCGCGCCCGCGCCGCCGTGCAGGTCGAAGCCCACGTCGGTGCCGTTGGCGTGGAAGTCGTTGTCGTCCGTGAGCTCCACGAGGCCGCCGGTGCGCAGCGCGATGTGCGCCTCGATCTCCTCGCGCGCGCGGTCCACGTTCTCGGGCATGCCGGTCACCTCGAACACCGGCTCCTTGTCGCGGCTGGGCGTCACGATGTAGGTGTGCGTCTGCTGCTGGATGCGCTTGATCGTGGCGCCCTTGGGCCCCACCACCAGCCCCACCACGCGGTAGGGCACGCGCACCTGGATGGTGGTCTGGCCGGGCAGGCTGGGCGGCCCCGGCGCCGCGCCGCTGAGCGCCGCGCTCTTGTTGCGCGAGGCGCGGATCATGGAGAAGTGCTCGGCGGCCGAGATGATCTCGCGGCGGGCCATGGCCACGTCCTCCTTCCTGCCCGTCACCACGAAGACCGGCTCCTCCCCGCGCACCGGGGTCTTGATGTACGTGTTGGTCTTCGCGCGCAGCGCTTTGATTTTGCAGCCTGGGAGGGGGCGCGGGGTGCGGGGAGGGGGGGACACGCCCGTTATCCCGGGAGCCGCGCCGGGGCCGGGGCCGGGCGCGCGCGGGCGGGAAGGGGGCGGCTCCCCTGCCCCGCCGGGTCCCCCCCGCGGGCGCCCGGCCCTGCGCCCCGGCCGCGGTCCCCGCGCGCCAGCCCCGGGGAGGTGCCGCCCCGGCCCGCGGGACGCGCCGTCCGCCCTGAAGGCGCGGGGCGCGGGGCGCGGGGCGCGGGGCGCGGGGCGCGGGGCGCGGAGGGGCGGGCCCGGGACCCATTGTTCCTGCGCCGGCTCCGTCCCGCCGAGCGGGGACCCAGGACCCCCTCCCGGCCGCGGCGCGCCGCTCCGCCTCCCCCTCCCCGGGACCGCGCGCCCCCCCGGCGCCCCGTCCGGCCGCGGTTTCCCGGGGCGCGCGGCGGGGGCGCGGGGGGCGCGCGCGGGGGTCCGCGCGGGCGCGGGGCGGCTCCGGGGGCGGCGCGCCCGCACTTTCTTTGTCTGGCGCCGGCCGGCGGCCGGTCCCCGCGCCCCGCCCGCCCGCCCCGGCCCGGCCCGGCGACCCACCTTGGCGCCCCACGATCTCGGCGACGTGCTCGGAGCTGGGCACCGGGACGCACTCGGTCATGTTCACGCCGCGCCGGCGCGGCTCGCCGTCGTCGCCGTCCAGCCCGAGCAGCGAGAGCTGGTCCAGCGCGAGCTGCAGGGCCCGCTGGTCGTCCAGGCTCTCGGCCGCGCCGGCGCCCCCGCCGCCCCCCGCGCCGGGGCGCCCCAGGTCCGCGAACAGCGAGCCGGGCATGGCGGGCGGGCGGCGGCCACAAAGCGCCCGGCGGCGGCGGCGGGAGTCGGGGCGCGCCGGTCCCACCCCGGCGGCGGCGGGCGGGGCGGCTGGGGCGGCGCGGAGCCCGGCCCGCGGCGGCCTCGGAGCGAGCGCGGAGCAGCCGGCGCGGACGGCGCGTCGCTTTAAGGCGCCCCCCCCCCGGCCGCGCGCCCCCCGCGCCCCCCCCCCCCCCGGCCGCGCCGCCCAGACGGCCGGGCCGCGCGCGACGTCACCGCCGCGCTGACACGACAGAGCGCGGCGCCGCGGGAGGCGATTGGCGCGCGCCGGCCGGGGCGGGGCGGGGAGGGGGCGGGCGCCCCCGCCCCGCGCGCCCCCGCGCGCCGCCCCTCCCCGCGCGCTCTTTGTTGTCGGCCGCGGGGCGCCCGGGCGGGCTCGGGGCGGGCCCGAAGGTCCCGTTAGGCGCGAGTCCGCCTCCCGGAGCCCTGGGCGCCGCCGCGAGGGGACCGGGCGCCCCCCGCACCCCCCCGGGCCCCGGGGCCCAGATGCGCGGGCGCTCGAGACAAAGGCCGACGCGCGGGGCGCCCCTTGGCCCCGGGCCCCCCCCGCCCCGGCGCCCCCCCCGCCCCGGCACGCGCCCCGGCGCCCCCCCGCGCCCCGCCCCCCGCCCGCGGCATGCGCAGTGCAGGGGCGCGCGGGCCCTTTAAGGCGCGCCCGGCCCCGCCCCGGCCCCGCCCCCGCGGGAGGGCGCGCGGCCGCCCCGCCGCTCTTTGTGCGCTTTCGGGGCGCGGGGCGGGGGCGCGGGGCGCTCCCCGGGGACGCCCGGGAGAAGGCGGCCGCGCAGGCGGGGCTCCCGCCGGCCGCTCGCCCCGTCCCCGCGCCCCCGCGCCTTTGTCCGCGGCCGGGCGGACTCGGGGGGCGGCGGCGGCGCGGGCGGGCCGGGCCGGGGGAGACGCGCCCCCAGGCTCCCGCGCAGGGCCGGCCGGGACCGGGGCGCGGGCCTCCCTGGCGCCGTCCCGGGGCCGGGGCTGACTGTCTCGGGGAGGGGTGGGGGGCCGCGGGCAGCGCGTGTCCTCGGGCGCCGCCCGGTGTGCGCGCCCCTCCAGCGGGAAGGGCAGGGCGCCCCCCGCGAGCGCCGCTCGCCCCACGGAGGGCGGTCGCGTGCACCCGCCGCCCGTGTGGAGCCCCGGGGGGCCGGGCCTGCCCCCCGCGCCTGGGCCGCGGCCCCTGGGCTGTCACGGGGGAGCCAGAGGCGCCTCAGGAGCTGGGCGGGCGGGGCGGGGCGGGGGTCGTGCGTCTTGCCGGCCGGGCGGGCTGGTCCCGGCCCCGAGCTGTGCTTCTGGGAGCGGCACAGCCTCGGGTGCGCCCGGGGTCCTCCCTTTCACCCCCTGCCGCGGCGCCGGCGGCAGGTGAGTCCGCCCCGCGGCTTCAGGCTCCCGCGCCCCTCCCAGGACGGCGAAGGCGCGTGCTGGGAAGCCAGCACTTCCCGTCCCTGCCGGGCGGGCACCCTCGGCCCGCAGGAGGCGAGCGGGAACCGCGCCCGGGTGCACCTGCAGCGGGCGCCCCGGCGTCCTGTCAGGCCAGCGGATCCTGGACGGCGGCCGGTGCCCCAGGGGCGCAGGGGCTGAGGGCCGCGGCAGGGGCATCGGCGGGTCCGCTGTTGGGTCCCGGCTGTGCCCGGGCAGAGGCCCGCTTCCCAGCGCCGGCCCCAGCGGAGTGCCCGCCGCCAGACGCACGGAGGGCAGGGCGCGGCGTGGACACGCAGAACACTACTCGGTGGTGCAAGAGACAAAGCCCTGCCCTGGTGCCGTGCGGGCGGGCGGCGCGCAAAGAGTGAAACAAGGCGGGTGGGAACCGCGGGCGCAGCCGAGCCCTGGGCGCCGCACAAGCAGAGAACAAGCGGGACAGAAAGGCTCGTGGGCTGGGGGTGTGGGGTGCTTGGTGGCCACGCGGGGCGGGCAGGGCCACCTGGGGGCCAGGTTAGTAGCTGGACGCCAGGGTCAGTAACGGGGGCAGGAACCACTTTCCACCGTGGGCAGAATGTAGCGGCAGAAGCCGGCGCGGGCCGCTGAGCCTGGACACTGACCACGTAGTGCTGTCAGCCGGTGTCACCCATGATCATGCGAGAGAAAGAAAAGCAAACGCGGGGCAAGGGGGCTGGGCCCAGCTGCCCGACTACCTTCCGGTGGTCTCCGTGGGGTGGGGCGGCGACAAGGAGCAGGAGGCGGCCGGGCCAGGAGAGGTGTGGGGTGTGGTGCGCCGCGGGGGGACGGGCCTCCACCCTCAGCCAGTGTCGGGCACTGACTGGTTGGGGATTTTGTGGCCCTCGAATGCTATTATAAAAGGGGTGACCTAGACATTCTAATTCTCAGTGACTACAGCCATCAAGCCTGCAAAATGCAGTTCGTTTTTTCGGCAGATGACACTCCATAGCCAGGGGCTCTGGCTAGTCGTGTCCAGGCCCCCGGGGGGCGCCAGGGCTTCACGCTTCTGCCCGCAGATGTCCCCGGGCAGGGCGGGGGTGTGGGGGGGCTGTCATTAGGGCTCCAGGGTGAAGTCGCAGCACGAGGTCTGGCACAGAGCAGGGACACGGGGCGTCCTGGGAAGCCGCGAAGCTGCAGCAAGACCCCGTGGGCGAGCAGTCCCTCCGGCGCACCCTGGCGTCTCGGCCTGCTCCCCGCTCGCCCTACTGCGCAGCCTGGGCCAGAGGAAGCACCAGAGTCCTCATCCAGCACCTGCCCACAGGCCGCCTGTAGGCCGGAAGCACAGGCCGAGGCTGAGGCTGCAGGTGTGGGCCGGGCCTGGTCCTCTCCCGGGACCCCAGTTCAGGCCGCACCCCGCTACAGTGGGGAGGTGCTCGGAGAGCAGGGCCTGCCCGAGGCCGGCTGGGTCTCACCTCCAGGCGGCAAGCGGGAGACTGCAGCGCCTGGGGGAGGGGGGCCCCCATGACCGCCAGAGTGGAGGCCTGGAGTGCCGCGCAGGAGCGAAGCCTCCGGGTAGCGCCAGCGCGCCGATTTGGAGCAATGACGGTAACTGAGGGTCAGAGCAGCTGTGCCAGGTGGTCCCCGGGGCCACTGCCCGGCACCTTCTGTCCTCTACTCCCGAGGTGGCTGCCGCGCGGTGAGGCAGTGAAGTCTGGCCCGGACCGAGGGCAGCTGGACCCCACAGGCCCCCGTGGGCAGGCTGGGGACAGGGACAGCTGGTGTCCCTTCTCCGCTGGGGGCCCGGCATGGCGGCAGCGCGGGGCCGGCAGTTCTCGAGGCCGGTGCCCAGCGCCTGTGACCGGCTCCGGCCTGTGAGCGCGGCACCTCCCTGCTCGGGCCAGGGCCCCGTCTCCAGGCTGGACGCGAGGCCTCGGGCCCTCTGGGGCTTGGGGTTCTCTTGTCTGTGTCTCTAACAGGCGAGCGACAGGGACACACACGCTTTCCAGGTTGTTCTTGATATGGCAGAGGCTCTTCATGTCGCGTGACCGAGAAAGGAGGCGCGTGTGGCCTCCAAACGCTCCGTGTGCGGATCAGGTAGCGCGCTGGGGAGAAGCGCAGAGTCCAGCAATGATCCCTCTGGCGGCAGCGGCAGCGGCAGCAGATTTGTACTTTCCTTTTCCTTTTCTCCCTGTCTCAGGTGCGGCATGCACTCCGTTCGCTTTTAAAAGTGATACTTGCTTAGTTTAAAACTTAAATAGCGCCGAGGGCGTCATGTGGCGAGGGCGTGGTGGGGCCGCCCAGGAACTAGCAGAGAGAGAGGGCAGGAGCCAGGCCGCGCGCGTTTCCTTCAAGTTCCTGAACACGAGGATAGAATTTGCACGCATCAGGCGGGCCTTCCAAAGTATCTGGCTCCTACAATGGAAACAGCTTCGTTGATGACCAACGACGCCACGGAGGGAGCAGGCGCTTGCTGGGAGCTCAGAGATGCCGTCCCAGACGCTGCTCCTCCGCGGCCCCCCGGCCCTTCTTGCATCCAGTTCCCCTGCCCCCCAGGGTCCGAGGCGGAACCCCTCTCTGCACTGAGGCCGGGAGCGGGGCGTGGTCCAGCCCGGCAGGCAGGCAGACAGGGATCCCCAGGGCCCACGTCAGATGCCGCTGCCGCGGGCCGGCTGGAAGCCAGCCCGGGTCCCCGAGGGCCTGCCGAGCCTGTCCCTCGAGGGGGCACACCCAGCCTACTCAGCTTGGTGGGGGGAGGGCATCTGCACACCTGTGCGGCCCTCCCTTGGGGGATGTCCCGGGGGGGCTGGTGGTCAGTGGACTCTCTGGTCTGCTGAGCCCCGAGCCCGCTGTCCTGGGGCCCCACATGGGCAGGGTCAGCCCCTGCACAAGGCACCTCGTTTCCCGGGATGGGAGTCGGCGCCCCGAGCCCCTGGGTTTCCAGTGAGCGCAGCCGCCCGGTGCAGGTCTGGGTCCTGTGGAGGCGGTGGGCTGTGGTCAGCCTGCGGGCCGGGGTCTGGCCCCCTACTCGCCCCCTTCGTCAGTGACACAATGCCGAACAGAAGGCGGTCAAGCTTCTAATCTTTTCCAAAACTCTGTATGATCACAACTTCTCTGCTTTGGTAACGTTTTAAAAATGTCAGAGACGCGGTCACAGACACGGGAGCCGCGTGTCAAACGGCGCCGCAGCCGCGGAAGGCGCGCGGGGCTCCCGCAGACAAGGCCGCGTCCGGCCGCCTCAAGCGCGGAGCTCGCGTCCAGCGGCTCCCGGGGTTGTGCCTGACCGCAGGCTCACGCTGTCGCGTCTTCTAGATTTTGACTAAAACCCTGCCGTCGCCCACACGGAGCGGCCCTGACCGGCCCGCGGGGACGGGGGAGGAGCCGCCATGTGAGCTCCCGCTTCGGAAAGAGGGAAAACGTAGGCTCCGGCCCCCGTGGAAAGCATCGTGCTTAGAAAATGTAAAACCGCAGAAAGCATGTAGAAGCAGAAGACAACCCAATCAAGCGCCCACGGGGGGAATAAGATCCTGGAAGATGGTGGATGGACGGCCGGAGCGGGAGATGGAGGGAGGACAGACACAGATGGACAGAGGTGGGAAGGGGCGCGGGCAGCTGGGTGGGCGGATCTGCAGGCAGATAAACTCCCTCGAAAGGTGACTGTCGGGCCCGCTGCTCCTGGTCTCGGTCACTGCCGCGGCTAGTGGCTGAGGGCCTGGAAGCCTCCGCCCACCCAGTGTTCGGGGCCCTGGGGGTGGGGGTGGCTCCCCTCCTGGAGCCAGCCCCTCAGCCGCAAAGCAGGGGTGCTGATGGCACCCGCCTCGCGGGGAGGCGCAGGCACGTGGGTGCTCACTCAAGGATTGGGGCCTAGAGGAGCAGCCTGCGCTGTGCCCCGTGCCCTGCAGGGCGGGGTCGTCACAGGACAGGGGCGCTTAGCGAGACTGTGTGGGAGCTGCGTCCTCTGGTGCAGGCAGACGGTGTGCGCGTGCACGCGAGTGTGACTGCACAGTATGCACCACAATTAATTCCAGGCAGGTCAAAGGATTGTTTGAAAAATAAACTTATAAGAACTCCCTGGAAACAGGTGACGTGCATCACCTCGGGGTGGAAGAGGGGCCAGGTGAGGCCACAACGTGGGCAGCCCCCCCAGCAGGCATCCGGGGACGTGGGCCGCTCCGGCTGGCTGCTGTGCCATTGCAGGGACCTCCCGCCGCGGCTCCCAGGGCCCCAGTGGGGACCTGCGGCCTCGTGGGGGCCGGGACCGCGCCTGCCCGCCAGTGGTGGATGAAACACTGCCTGGCTGCGTCTCGCAGGCCCTGCCAGGCCTGGCGGCTTCCCCCACGCCCCTCCAGTCGGTGTCCACACAGAACTCAGGGTCTCCTGAGGAAGGCCCGTGGCTCAGAGAGCCACACCCAGGCCCCTGAAGCTCCTGGGGCAGCAGCCTGACACCCTGCAGCAGCTGGTGAGGTCTGAGCGCCGCGCCTGGGGTGGCAGTGGCCAGTCCCCAGGCGGGTCATCTCTTACCCAAGGTGAGTGCACCCTCACCCCAGGGCCAAACACAAGTTAGGGGCTGGCCCGCCCCTGGGCTTGCGGCAGGACTAAAAAGCCTCCTTCCTGGTGGAACCAACTCGCCCGAGATGCCCGAGCACCCCCAGGCGGCGGGCACCACCCTGGCGGCCATGCTCCCAGCCGCCTTCTGCTCCTGAGGGCGCAGCCCCGCCTGGAACTGGCCTTCTTGGGGTGGCTTCGGGGCTCTGTCCTCTGCAGTCCAGGGCAAGCGCCTGCCCCCCCACCCCCACAGGCTGAGCTCACGCGGGGGATGACACAGTGGCCAGGAGGCCTCACAGTGAGCCAGGGGCCCCTTCTGTGGCCTGCGCCCCCGCTTCTGAGGGTCTGCTACTGTGGGTCCCCCCCGGCCTGGACAGGCCTTCCCTCTGTGCCCGTGTCACAGTGAGCTCTGTCTCTAGGAAAAGATCAAATAAAACTTAAAAAGGCCGGAACCCAAACCGGGACGTCTCCAGGCGGAACAGACACAAGACTGGGCACGGGCAGGAGGGTGGGCTCTGCCGGACACCCCACCCGGCTTTGTGGGCAGCCTGGGGCAGGCCTGGGGCACTGTTCCCCATTGGGGGAGGGGCAGGGCCTGGGAGGGAGGGAAGGACCCTGGGGCTGCAGGAGCCTGGGGAGCCGCTCCAGGAGGGGTTGGGTGGGCAGCCAGGGCTCCTACTTCTCTGGGCACTTCTGACCCCACCCTCTGACCCCGCTGACCCCCCCAGGGTCCTACATGAGAAGTGGGCATTGATGCCAAGACCAGGCACCTCAGTGATGGTGTGTGCCCCAGCCAGGAGGGACGGCAGACAGTGGTCAGTACTAGGGCTGCAGGGCAGGCCGGGCCCTGGGCTGGGGGTGGGGGCACCTCCCCGGGAACAGAGCTGGGAAGAGGGCGGGGAGACAGCGGCGAGCGGGGGTGATCGGAAGGGAGGGAAGGGCTTACAGGGCCCCAAGGTGAGCGACCAAATGCACACCCACGGTGCACAAGCAGTACACACGCGCAGCTGCAGCACACACCCTCATGCACACACACACAGCAGCGCGTGCACACCACGGCCAGTCGCTCAGCAGCTGAGCCACAAGCTCCTGAGGTGGCAGTGCCGGAGTGGCCGGGGACCCTGCCAGGGGCGGGGTGCCCGTGGGGTGTCCCTCTGCAGGCGTGTTGTCCCCCGGGGGCAGAGCCGCCAAACCAACAGCCTCATGTCCTGGGGTCTCCACACTGCACCTTCTCCCCAGGCCCTGGGAGGGGACAGGCTCTCCCCTCACCCCAAGCAGATGCGCCCCAAGATTCCTGCTGTGAGCACAGCATCTGGCCAGAAGGCAGCAGTCCCAGCTCTGGAATGGCCAGAGGGGAGGGGGCATCCACTACCCGGGAGCCCCCGGCTCAGCTCATGGGGCCTGGGCTGCCAGGAGGGGTGTCAGGAAGCACAGGAGAAACGCGTGCAGGGACGCGAGCCCGGCGCGCTCGCTGACACCCCGCGGTGAGACCAAGAACAGAGCCAAGGAGGCCGAGCGTGGGGGCTGACACTTTAACAGAGCGCGGGGCAGGTGCCGGCGCCCCACGTCCAAGTGGCTGCGGGAAAGCCCAGCAGCGGCCCGGGGCGGGGGAGGGCACGTGCAGGCGGCGGCTACTTGTTCCGGCCCAGGGTGCGCTGTTTCTCCGCGTGCTGCACCAGCTTCTCCTCCACCGACAGGCCCTTGCGCCTGCGCACGGCGTTCATGTACTTGCGGGCCTGGTTCTCGGAGTCGGCCTTCTCCCCGAAGTGCAGGTACTCCTCCTCCGTGGTCGGCACCCAGAAGGGGTCGCTGGGGATGACCTGGGGAGGAAGGTGACAGGCGGGCGGTGTCAGGCACAGACTCGAGGAGCGAAGCTGGGCGGAGGGTGGGACAGGAGCCGCGGGGCGGGGCGCAGCTGGCGGGTTCTCTGCTGGGCGCCTCCACGCGAGGGGGACGCGGCCTTGCCACTTCTGAACAGGACCGAGGCTTCCTGCCCTGGGGGGCCTGGGGTCTGTCCGGTGTTACCCACCAAGACCCAGGGGCGCATACTCTGGCCCAGTGGGGCTCTGGCTCAGTGCCCAGGGCAGCGGCGGGCATGAGTTCTGCAAGCCGGAGGAAGCAGACGCAGCGCCTCTGCCCTCTCCCCTGGGCGTGTGGTGTGTGCGCCTGAGAGTGAGGAGCCAGCCCAGGGCCGAGGGAGGGGGCGGCTGGGCAGAAGGGCAGGAGGGGTGCGCCCGGGAGCCTGAGGCCCAGGGCCAGGACCCGGTGTCCCAGGCAAACCAGCCAGCAGGACGCTCGGGGACAGGGTCCCCGGGAGGGCCGACCCTGCTACACTCCTCTGCCCCAGGCCACACTGGGGTGTGCAGCCACTCTGTCCCTCAACCTGAAACCTCGGAGCCACGCGTCTCCCTCGGGGTGGGGCGAGGGTGAGAACAGCTCAGACGCGTCTCCGAGCCCTGCCCTGCGGCCGGCACGCGGCCCGGAAGAAAGCGCCTGCGGTGTCACTTCCTAAGCGTCCTCCTGAGTCTCTAAGCTGCGCCGCGCCGCGGGAGGGTGGCACCTGACGGCACAGCACGGCCAGGGAGCGGGCGGCGGGGCGGCGGGCCGGCTACCTCCCAGTGGCTGAACACCAGCTGCGGGCTGGCCAGGCCGCTCGTCTTCTTGCGGATCTCGTCGGCAAAGCCGAAGCTCTCGGCCACGGGCAGCACGGCCTGGATGATGAACACGTCCGTGCCCTCCTTCATCTCCTCGTGCAGCACGCGCCCTTCCCGCCTGGACAGGACGGCGTAGACCCGGCCTGCAACGGCAACCTGCCCATTAGCTGCCCATCCGGAGCCACCCGGGCCCGCCGCCCACCCCTGCTGTCAGCCACGGAGCCACTTTGTCCCGGGGACGCTGGTTTACCACGGCAAGGGGCCCGGCGCGCCGCCGTTGAAAGGAAAAGGTGACGGTGACCCAAGACTAGGAACGGGAAGAGAGCAGACATGCCCTGCAAGGCACAGGCGTGTCCACGGGGCCTGCCGCGCGTCCAGAGGTGAGCGGACACTACCCCAGCCAACCGGGTGTCCTCGAAGGGGCGGCCAGCACCAAGGCCACCCGTCCCAGACGAGACTGCGCCCCCACACCTGGGCCTGTGCTGTCCAGTGGCCAGAGGGTCAGTCTTACTCCCCTGGAAACCGAATGCCTCCAGAACCCGTCGGGGGTGCTCCCTGCACGGAGACTCTGGCTGCCGGCCCACCCCTCAGGGGCGCCAGCTGCAGGCCCTGGTGCCAGAGCCCCGTCCCAGAGAACCTTGACTATGTGGGGTTATCCCCAGCTGCCAGCCCCCCATGTCTCAACAGGGTGCCCCTTGATAGCCAAGCTGAGCTGGCTGGGCAGCAGCCCCTGGGTGCAGCCACCTGCTGCCAAGACCCCCCGCAGCCAGAGTCCTGGTGGGGCTCATAGCCCCGTCATGGGCCGCAGCATCAGGGGTGGTGGTGGGTGCCGAGGGGAGCGGAGCCTCCAGCTCCCGAGTGGCCCTCGTGGAAGGGGTCATGAGCGGGAAGCCGACGAGCCTGCAAGCTCTGCTGCCGCCTCCAGAGAGAGGTTGGCAGGGGGTGGGGTGGAGGGCGGGCTGGAGACTCCTGGGTCACTGCAGCCCTTGCCCAGGTACCAGCAGGCTGCCTTGGCCACCGTGCCTGACACGAGCGGTCCTGGCCGCTCGAGTTGGGTAAACCTCACGGAGGGATCCGGAGAACGAAGGGCAGTAGCCCCTCTGCGCACGCTTGGTCTTCGGGACAGGTCAGGCCCCGCGGAGCAAGGAGGCCTCTCGCACCTGGGCAGCAGCCACGGTGAGCAGGGCCAGGGAGGGCGGCCGGGCTGGCTGCAGGGCATCTCCCTGAGGTAGCCAGGCCAGGGCAGGCGGCTCAGGTGGGCAGGGAAGCCCCCGTGCTCCGGGTCCGACCAGCTGTTCCTGCCGTGGACGCTGCAGTCATCTCAGAGGAAGCTGGCCGCGATGCCCAGATGTGGCAGAACCGGCACCAGAGGTTCTACTTCCAGGGACCCGGCGCAGAATGAAATCGGCGCCACTCTCCCGGGCACAGGGTGGGTCTGTGCCACGCACACTCTGCACATCACCCTCCGGGGCCACGCCTGTGGCCAGTCACACTGCTGCCTGGTCCAGGGCTCCCTGGCCAGAGCTGCGGCCCCTCCCCAGGGGAGAAACAGGGCTGACTGTGGGCAGCGGCGAGCAGCACCTGGGCCTTCTGCCCATGAGGGGCCGGGGGAGGAGCACGGGACCACTCGCCCTCTGACCAGTCTCAGGAAGACCGGTCAGTTGCCCAGATGGATGGGGTTTACCCGAGGGCAGTGCCGCAGAGGTGGCGGGGCGGGGGGGGGGGGGACGACGCGGGCCATGCCCCACCCCCCCTGCACCAGGCCTCTCCCGTGGAAGGAGCCCCCAGGCACGCAGAGGGCACATGGCGGCCAGGCGCAGCCGCTCAGGCCCACAGAGCAGGGCTGGGCTCCAAGACATGGCGCCCCCTCCTTGCCCAGCACGTCCAAGAAACGGCGGCTCCTCCTTACCCAGCACGTCCCCGGTGGCCATGATGTCGCACGTGTACATGGCGGCCATCAGACGCTGGGGCTTCACCTGCAGCGCGGCGCGGCACGCATCCTTCATGGTGGCCATCAGCTGTCCCGAGAGGGGCCCGTAGCAGTCGGGCAGCGGGAGGTCGCCTCTCGGGTCCGCAGTCCTGGCGCCAGGCACCGGGCTGCCCTCCTGCCCCCCGGGCCCCGGGTCCTGCGTCTTGCTGGCTCCCGGCTCCTCCAGTCTGCTCAGGTCGCACTTCTCCAGGATGAAGCAGACCCCCATGAGTGGCTCCTCACACAGGGGGCCCGAGAGCGTGGCCAGCTGGAAGCCGCTCACCAGGCTGTTGCCCACGTCCCGGAAGCAGCTGCCCTCCCCCGGCGTGCCGCCCGCGAGGCCAGTCCACACGGAGCCCTGGAAGCCCTCGCTCCTGCTGACCAGGATATTCGGCCCGCACTTCCTCGGGCCGAAGGACCAGATGTGGGCGACGGTGTCCCTCCACCTTCTCCCTGTCAGGTGCTGCTCCAGCTGCCGCCTGAGCTCCCATACCCGCTCGCGGGCCTTCTGGTGGGCGGCCTGCTCACGGGGGTCCTCGCTCGGCGCGGACGCCAGCTGCTCCAGGGAGCGGAGCACGTCGCTGCTCTCCTCCAGGAGCCGCGTGGCCTCCTCCGGCAGGGGCAGGGCTCGGACGCTGAGCGTGGCCAGCTTGTTGGGGGTTGAGAGGGTGACCAGCCCGTCAGGGTCGACGTGGGCCCCCTCGGGGACCTTGCTCTGGCCGTCTCTGGCCTGGTGGATGATGGCCACTTTCTGCTGCCTGCCGATCTCCTCGTTGACCATGTCGACCATGGGGGGCCTCGTGATGGTCTCTCGGAACGGGATGATGGGTTCTGAGACACTGATCTGGATCTTCGCAAACCTGCGATTCAAGAGAGGGCAGAGGGCTGTGACCACAGCAGCCAGGCCCCAGGGCAGAGGACACCCGTTTCCCAGCTCTGGGTCACAGCCCCGAGCAGCAGAGCAGGCAGCACCTGCCGCGGACAGCGCTGCCAGGCCCCCAGAGTGGGGCTGGGCTCTGAGAGCAAAGGGCGCCGGTGCCCATCACGGGCCGCTCTTCTGTCCGTACCTCCCTAACCACTGGGCTCACAGACGTCCCCTCTGAAGAGGAAAGTGTCTGCAAAAGTGGCCGCAGCACTGTCCTGGGGAGACGGGGTTCCGAGGGCTCAGTGAGGAGAGCAGGTCTGGGCACGACAGCGGTCACAGCCACGGCTCGTGCCTGCTGTGCTCGTGGTCACGCGTCAGCACAGACACGGAGCCCACGGAAACACCAGCTGAGATCAGGCGCCCAGGTGTTCGGGCGGGAGGCGGAGAGCGTTGGTCCGCCAACGTGACATCTGCTCCCGCAACCCAGCGGCAGTGCCTGTCTGAGGGCACCAGGCTGGACGAGCCAGCGTGGCTGCGCTTGCCAGCCCAGGGCACCCACCCCCGCCCGGCACCCCTCTGACCTTTCCGTCAGGTCGTCCAGGCAGCGCTGGAGGTGGACCTCGCCGGCCGTGACCAGCACGTGCTCCCCCGTCTCCTGGATGAGGACCTGCACGCAGGGGTCGGCCTGGTTCAGCAGCCTCATTCCTCTGACGAGCTGCGGCATTTCACCTGGGCACACAAGAGGGTCACGTGGTGTGGGGCGGTGCGGGGGAAGCATGCGCACTCCCAAGCGGCTGTCGGCGCTCTCCCGGGGCACACGGCGCGTGAGGAGGCCGCCCTGGGGGGCTGACTCCGGCACTGCCTTCGCACAGGTGCGCGCCCCACACAGATGGGTGTGGCCAGAGGTCTGGTCTCCGGCCAGCAGGTGGCGGCAAGGACAGCCTGAGATGAGCTAGCGCCCTGGGGTGGGGGTCTGGCTGCATCCAGGAGGCAGCGAGCCATAGGAGGGGTTGCGTAGGGGGTGCTGAGGCCCCGCCCGGCCCGCCTCAGCATCTCTGTCCGAGCAAGTGGGGCTAGGGTCACCTCCAGCGTCACCCAGCCGAGCCACCAAGCCAGAGCACGCACAGCCCGACAGCACGTTGGACAGGTATCCACGGGCGGAGGTGGGGCCTATGTGCCGCTACACCACGGAGAACAGCAGATGGTTCCTGCAGAAATACGCAGACAGACCCCAACGCATATGGGGGACAAAAAAGGGGCGGCGGCTGTAGGCCAGCTTGGCAGCTCAGGCCCAAGGCAGGAGGTGGCCCTGCTGGGCACGGGACACTGGACAGCAGCAGAGGGCACCCTCACAAGCAACCCCAGCCTGGGGCAGCACCGAGGGACTTGGGAAACGCTCCTGCTGACTGCACTCGAGGCCACACACTGCAGCCCTGCTCCCAGAGTGGAAAGCGGATCTTCTAAAAGTCTTCCTGGGTCAATTTAAAACTAGCATCAAGATGACCCGATGGGGTCAGGGTAGGACAACAGCCCCACCTAAAGGTCAAGTGTCCGACACCTGGCAGCAGGGCCTGGAAAAAGTGGCGGGCCATGCTGCTTCCTCCAGGGAAGGCCGCGAGCCCAGCCGAGTGGCTGTGCGGGTGCCCTAGGGTGAGGTGTGCAGACCAACGCAGCCCTGGGCAACCGGCCCAGGAAGGCCCTACAGCGCCTGCCTCCCGCCCCAGCACCCCCGCAGGGAGCTCTCGGGGAAAGGACTGGTGGCGCACGGGAGCCCTGGACACCGGGAGGTCAGTGAAGCTCTCAAGGCGTTGCAACCACCAGGGGAGGTGGGAAGCCCAGCAACGGCGAGGGCACATCCAGTTCAGACTGGGCACCTGGCACACCTGGCTGTGGCTGGCACAGCCTCTCGCGCGGACCCCTTGTGTGTGGACCCCCGCGTGCAGGGTGGGTGGCGCGGGCCGGCACACAAGCTGGGGTCTTACTTGGGTGTTTGGGCTCCACGGCGACCCTGACGATAGGAGTGGCGTCAAAGCTGAGCGGCACGAAGGGCGGGCAGGACGGGAGGCTGCACAGCGTTGCGGACTTGAGCACCAGGTCCTGCAGGCCACCGATCCCTGCAGGCGGCAAGGGGCGTTGTGTGACCAGCCCCGTGGGGGGTGGAGGCCACCGGGCTCTGAGACTGTCCGTGAGGGGACCGGGACGCACAGCAGCGCAGAGCAGGCTGGGGTGGGCGGGGGAGGTGCTGGCTCTAGCCTGTGTCTCTGCCGCCCCGTCACCCGTGTTGCTGCCATGTGTGCGAGTCCTGCGGCCTTCAGATGCCCCGACCTGGCTCTGTGGCCTGAGCCCCAGCCCTTGTCATGGGGAGGCAGGCCCCTGAGTCCACAGCAGCTGGGGCCACTCAGCTAAGGCCTCCCCAGGGCCGGTCAAGTGTACCTGTCGTGCTGACAAGCCCCTCACGTCAGCCGCCCCCAGCTTCTTGGGGTTCCAGGCGCCGAGGGAAACCTTGCACCAATGACATCACTGCCAGAATGTTCTCTTCTCCCAGGGACAGGGGGAGCTCCCAACCAGCCAATGGCAGCGTTCAAGCAAGTTATGTCGCGGCACCTGCCCAGAACCAGGCGGCTGGACCAGCTCCTCGCGCTGGCACCCACAAGGGGCACACAGCGGGCGGGCGGCAGGAGGCCCACTGGGCTGGCAACGAGGTGCTTGGATGCCGCCCGTGTCTCCAGGCGAGGAGGGCAGCGGGGCCGACAGGCCCGCTTGGGGACGGAGCACGGAACCCACACCCACGGGGAACCACGTTCCGGACTTGGCGGATGACGAGGGCAAGACGTGGGGCAGAGGGAAGGGGCTCTGGGCCCGGGGTGTCGTCCAAGGCCCGCCAGCCGTCGAGCAGGGCGCAGCACAGCCCTCACTGCAGATACCGGGCAGAGCGGGACGCTCACGCCTGTCCTGTCCCCGGGCAATGTCAGGATAGGCCATCCGCAGGCAGACACAGCGGCCACGGAGCAGGCGCCTTTCCAGAGCAAATGCTCTGGCCCTGAGGCCTCTTCCCGGCGGGAAGGTGGCTGACCCCGGGGTCCAGCCAGCACCCGGCCCAGCGGGCCCCGAGTGTCCGCCCCACCGTGGGAGCAGCTGTGCTGTCCCGACTCCCACAGAACACAGCCTGGGCACCCCGCAGAGCCCACCGTCCAGGAGCAGCGTCTGCCCATCTTACTTTAAAGCTGAATCTGGCCAAGCACTCACGCTCGCCACTACTATGACCTCTGCGCCATGGTCACCATCGGCCACCCAGGAGTGAGGCAGACCGCTCCTCTCTGCGCGGGCCTGGCAGGCTTTGCGGACCCCAGGTCTTCCGGAGCCGGGCGCGGGACACTCCAGCCCTTGCCTCCCAGGCGAGACGCTGCCCCTTGTCCTGAGCATCATGCCAGAGGCTCGCCACCTCGGCCCGTTTCAGGCCTCTCTGTGAACCACAGCCCCTTGGATACGCACACACGAGAAGTGACAACAGCCCTCTCCATCAGGAAACTTCCACTCATTCAGAACCAAATGTGCAGGACCAGAGGGCCTCTGCCATCTAGCCTGACGTGGACGTGCCCCACATGGACGCATCCAGCTCAGCACAGAACCCTCGAGCGACTGAGCCGGGCATCTGCTAAGAAAGCTGGACCCCACCGGCGCAGTGACAGCAGCCGCTCGGTGCACTGAGGCAACGCCAGGAGCAGGTGGAGAAATACTCAAGGCCGAGGCGCCCGCCACGGGGCCCACAGGCGCAGCCTACCCAGCACGTTTCCCGGAGGCACCTCCTCCAGCTGCTCCAGCTCCCGGCCCATCAGCAGGTAGAGGTTCTCCAGCGTGCAGCAGGCCAGGTGGGGGACGGGGGGCAGGCCATCCGGGGGGGCAGAGAAGCCCTCGGGGACCTGGCAAAGGACGAAGATGGGTCAGTGAGGACGCAGAAGAAGGGATGCCAGGACTCCCCTTCATCACGCAGATCTGGGTGTGCAAGTGCACAGGGCGTGACGTGAAGAGACGTCTGCTGTAGGCGGAACCTGACGTCATGAACTTCCCAAACGTGTGGATGCCGCCAGGGACCCTGCGCCGCGTCAGCTCTGGGGAGGCCCCTGCCGTCCCCTAGTCTCATCTGTCCTCACTCAGGCTGTCCGGGCCTGTCGTGTCCTGCAAGCAGGCACCAGGGCTGGGCCGAGACACGGGAGCGAGGGGCCCAGGGCTCCGGAAGATGTGCTGGGCGCCGGGTTGGGGTGCTGGCAGGTGCAGCGGAGGGCAGGGCAGGGTGCGGGGCACAGATGTGAGACGCCTGGCTCGCCAGCTGCTCTGAGGGCCCAGGGAGTGTCCTGAGGACCTGGCGCCTGCACACACAGGCACATCCTCAGGCGCCGTACCCAGTCGGCTGCTTGCAGCCGGGCCACAGGCCACCCAGGCAGGGGGTGAGGGGATGCGCATGGGGCACAACCACCATCACAGTAGGGAGGGGACAGCAGGCTGCCCGGGGCGCGAGCCCCATGCCAGGGACGGTGGGGTGGCTCCGAGGGCCGGGGGGAGCGAGGACAGGCAAGGACCGCACCGGAAGACGTGGGCTGTCCACAGGCCAGGGGCCGTCACCGAGAACAGCTGCGCGCGGCCCCAAGGAGCAGCTGGCAGGGGATGCAGCTGGGCTGACAGGCCTAGTGAGCCCACACTCGCAGGCCCAGAGCACCAGCGCTGCTCACGGTGCAGCTGAAGGGCTGCCGCCCCGGGACCCCACGCAGCCGCGCCCTTCAGCCCCTCGGGATTGTGGAGGAAGTGGGCGCTGCCGCAGAGCTACCCAGACTGCGGCAGGAGATGGCAGGGGGCAGCAGCAGCGCTGGGGCAGGCGGTGCAGGCCAACCCCACTGGGGCCAGTCCTCTCCCTCGTCCCATCCCCAAGGGCGGGCATCACAGCCCAGGGGCTGCTCTGGTCCCCACAACAGGACAGGCGAGACGATGGTGCCATGGCGTGATGACACCGCCTCGCATGGCCTCCGGGTCCGCAGCAGTGGGGGCCGACAGTCAGGAAGGGCCTGTAACCCCAGGCAGGACACGCTGGTCTCCCGACCCACAGAGCTGAGGTGAGGAGGCGTGAGCAGCCAAGGCCTGTGGTCTCCGGTCAGGAGCGAGAGACCAGCACAGAGGACAAGTAGAGGCCACCGAGGCCTGCCCGACCTGTCTCTGGAACCCTCCACGCTGAGAGCCGGCTGGCATCCGGTGAGGGCAAGGGGTCATTATGCACTGACCCCTCTATCAGCCCCAGCTCCCCGCCGCCCCCGAGCCCGGCCCCCAGCCCTACCCCACCAGTCCTCCGGCACTGTCTGCGCAGCACACCGGTGCTTTGGTTCCTGGCCCTTGTGAGCCGAGCTGCCGGCTGCACCTGCTCCCAAGTCCCCCATCAGGCCCGGGGTCTCCTGCCCACCGCCCCAGAGCCACCAGCACCTGCACCCCCACCCTGAGGGCCGGTATCGCCCGGCTCGAGTGCTGCCCGCTCCCACCCACTCCTCCCGCAGAAGAGAGGCCTTCTCCTTGTGTAAGGACGAGAAACGGGGTCACACCTGGCGTCGCCCTGTAAACCTGCTCCCGGAGACGGACTGTCAAGATAGCGACAGACAGACATGGGGCTCACCTGGCAAGCGACCACCCAGGTCAGCACACCTGCCGTGAGGCGTCCCGCCCCGCCCCAGGAGAAGAAGCCAGCACCACGCAGTGGCCGAGCCCCGTCCTTACCCGCCGCAGGAACTCAGCGGGGTTGTACTTGGGCCCCAGGACAAAGACGCGGCTGCCCCGGCGAGCCACGCCGCTGAACACGCGTGCGAAGGCCATGAACGCCTCCTGGCCGTCTCCTGCCGGGGGCCCGGGGCTGGGGGCCTGGCTTTCCTCACGGGGATCCTCCCCTGCAGACAAAAGGAGCCAAACCTCAGGGCGGGGTCTCTGCGTGGGAGCCGCCAAGGGGGCTGGAGGGCATGGTCTTGCAGGAAAGTGGTACCTTTCGGCTCCTCTCCCTCGGGGCTGGTTTCTGGGGCACCCTCGTCCTCGGTGGGGCCCTGGGGCGCCTGCCCCTGCGCTGCCGCTAGCCTCTCTGCGTGCCTTTGTCGGGCGCGCTCACGCCGCTCAGTGAGCTCCTCTTGAGTAAGGGGCCTGTGGGAAGCACACACGTGGGCACCCGGACTCCTGTGTCCATCCAGGCAGGGACAGTGGGGAGGGACACATGGCCAGCATGCTGGACCCTGGGCCCTTCTGGGCTGAGCTTTTTCCACGTTCTCTCCCCAGCCAAGCTGGGGCAGCAGGAGCCAAGGCCTGACAGGCCCCTGAGAATGCTGTGCCCACCACTCTCAGCTCACTGACCAACGTGCAAGAGCTGTGGCCCTAGGGCAGCAGCACAGGCCTGCCTGCCCCGCACTCCTGAAGGGTGCGGCGGGAGAGGGCACATAGGCATGGACACCAGGCACAGGACCTCGCCCCCCCGGACCAGCGCAGGCCCTCAGCAGGCCACAGAGGGTCTTGCCAGGACAACATGTGTCTTCCTGGAGCGCTGCCAGGCAGTGGGGAACAGCCCATGGCTGCCGCACCCAGCCACCCAGGCAGCTGGGCCTGCTGGCGCCCGGTGGGGAGGGCATCAAGCTGTCTCCCTAGAGTCACTACATGCTGGCCAACGGACGCAACAGGTGTATGCAGGAGAAAACCAGCCTCCCGGCCTTGGTGCCTCCACTTGGACTCTGGGGCACGGCATCAAGACACAAGCCAACGCTATGGCCTGCATTTCTGCCCCAGCTCAGGGTCAGCAGTTCAGCCGGCCCTAAGGCCCACGCCCCTCCTGTCCCAACCGCTGACGTCAGGATCCGGCTTTATCCCCCACCTTTGCGTCACACCTGATGGAAAAATGTGTCCCCCACTTAGCCCTGCCACCCCCCATTCCGTGAGCCCTGGAGACGCCCACGGAGGCTGCACTCAGTGTGCGCAGCCTCAGGTGCCCACAGCAGCGCCCCTACTTCCCCAAGCACCGCAAGCGTCCTCGATGCTGGCCCGGGAAGGCTTCCGAGACAGGCTCCCTCCCAGCCCGGGGCGTGCAAAGTGGGCTCTGGGGGTGGACGCGCAGCACTGGGACTGGGAGGCAGCGCAGCAGTCCCTCCCTCCAGGGACAGCGGGATCTGACCGGTGGGAAGGGGGCTGAGGCAGGAGAGCTCGCAGGAGGCGGAGCAGGTCTCCAAGACCTGGAACCCCAAGGAAACCCTCCCACCGCCCTGCCCCGAGGTGAGCGCGTGTCTGCACTAGAGCCACCCCGGCTGCCGTGAGCGTGACGGGCAGCAACCTGTTCTCTCCGCTACCAGTCACAGCCCAGCACCGCTCTCAGGACCCCAAGCGCCTGAGCGGGGCTCGCGCTGCCGGAGGCTGCTCCCCCAGAACTCTGGCGAGGCCAGTGTGCAGTTCGCATGCCCTGCAGAGTCCCCCAGAGCCCAGCTCCCCCACCCCCGCACTTACCTCGGCTTATTCTGAGGCAAAGCCTTGGTGTCGACGGCAAACATCTTGGACACGAAGATGATAACCGGAGCAGCGTCCTCGCTCCCGCAGCTCAAAAACGCTGCAGACACAAGACGCGAAAGTCTCACTATTTTGCCCATTAAAAAGCCACGTTTTTCTGGAAACGAGATTTGGAACCCGACATCCCCGAAATACACGGGCGCCTCGAGCCACCTCGAGAAAGGCACAACCCGAGAAGTACGAAGCCAGAAAAAGAATGCTCAGGAGGAGCGCCAGGGACGCAGAGCCGGCGGGTGGGCAACGAGGGCGGGCATGGTGCTGCCAGCCACCAGCACCCCCGGGCGCCTCCCGTATCGGGGGGAGGGGGTACCGCCCACAGGCCGCTGGCTAACGGGACATGTAAAATCACTCACCGTTCCAGTCCCCCACGGTAACAAGTCAGAAAGAAAATGGAGAAAAACACCCTAGGCCGAGGGCGCGCGCACCTCAGCAGCAGATGTTCAGTGTTACGCAAAGGTCAACTTCCCCTAAACGTGTGACTTGTCAAGAATTCCTTATCAACACTCTGATGTTTTTCTCTGCGCGTTGGAGGTATAAAATCACGAGTAACTTTTCTTTGTCTTTTTTGGTGGGACCCTCGCCGGCGGCCGGGGAACGAACCGGCGCTGCAGAGGCCGCGGGCAGCCTCGCAGCCCAGCACTCAACCGCTGCGCCACCACGGGAGGCCCACGAGTAACTTTTCCTAATCCCCCACATCAAAACCACCTGTATGAAAGTTATTTACTAGTAAAGCTCAAACAATGAGCAGACGACACGACGCAGGACCTGAAGGTGGGGCCTGGGTCTCGCGGGGCAACCCGGCCTGGCCCACAACGGGGAGCCGAGAGCAGAGGGGGAGACCAAGGAAGGACATCACCAGGCCAGAGGCCACAGGGCTTGACCTTGGGGGGAAGTGACTATGGGGGCGGCGAGCCCTGGAGAGTTGCTCTCAAGAGTGAGCAGGACCTGCAGGTGGTGTGGTGCCGTGGACGGACACGAGCGTGGGCTTTTGCTGGCAGGGGAGGTCCGGCCTCCACCCCTGGGTGGGAGTGACTGTGACAGGCAGCCCTGGACACACGGCCCGAAGCCCAGTCTGGCAGGTCATTACATTCCCAGGGTTCCTGGACAGTGAACCCCGTGCAGGGTCCAGGTCGGGGGGCGGACGCGGGGACCCTGAGCACGAGCGTCTAGCCTCTGCCACCCACAGCCCCGGCAAGATAGGTTCCCGCAGGGCCACAGGGCACACAGGCGAGGTCCAGACAGCCTGGCTGGGTTCCGCACAGCTAAAACAGGGCCATGGACAGGCGTGACCTAAGGACGGGGGGCAGCGGGCAGGTGCAATAGCCAGCGGGGGCCCCAGGGAGCGGGTCGGGGGGAGCAGCCACACAGTGCAGGACCTCCCAACAGCTGCGCACAGGCCCAGGTGGCCGCCACCTCACAAGGACAGGCCAGAGAGCCCACCGCGTGGGCAGAAGGCCGGCACAGAGCACGCACAGAAAGTCCTTGCAGCCTCCGGAGCAGGGGGAGGCCGTCGCGGCCATGCTGGGCTCCTGGTGGGCACAGAGGCCCAGCGTCCCCAGGGCTAGGGCACAAGAGGGCGGGGGCCCCTCGGGGGTGTAACCCTGGCTGCTTGGGAGGCCGGGACACGGCACGGCCACATGGCAGTCTCTGTTCCGCATCCCGACTGGTGGGGCAGACTGTGCCGAAACGGAAATGCTGGGGGGAAATCTGGTGAAATTACTCGCAGAGCTGGCCGAGCGCAGCCTTGCTGGGGACAGCTGGCCGTGCCCGGCGCACTCTCCTCTCCTCCCCTCACCTGCTTTCAGCGCCTGGGTTTCTGGCGGGAGAGAGTCAAATGTCTGCGATCCTGAGCACATCAGCCTCTCCGCCCTCTCCGCCGTCATGTCCAGGGGGCTGGGCAGCTTCTGACACACCATCGCTGCGGCCTGCTGTTAAGGGCTCAAAACTGCGGGCAGCGCCCCACCAAGGCGCAGAAGCACGAACATACCTGTGGCGGCTCTGACGTCTACCCAGACAGAAACGCTGGCTGCAGGGCCACGCCACCCACATGTCACGTCTCAGGATGTGGAATTTCAGGGGGCACGTGGAGCTTTACAGCCCAGAAAGGGCCCTCCTGAGGGGCCTTCCCAATGTGGAACAGGTGACGCCCGTTCCAGAGCTCAATGCCTGGGAAGCCGACACCCTGCACTCTCTTGACGGCACTGACGGCCACGGCCGCCACAGTGGGCCACCCCGCCCGCACCCCCACAGGCACTGCTGGGGCAGGCACACGCCAGGTGGCCTGGTCTGCGCAATGACAGCAGCACCGCGAGCCACGGCAGCTCAGGCCTGCTGTGACCTAGGAGACCGAAGCCCGTGTGCAGGATACGTGGCGCCGAGTAATGTCTCTGTTATCTGCTGTCACCTGGCGGGTTAATCTTTACTCAAAATTCCCTATGCTTACAGATTACTAATCAAAAGAAGGGGGGTGCAGAGGATCCCTCTGGGTGGGGCGCCTGGGCTGCCAGCACGCTTGTGCGCGTGTTCTGTGGGGGCGGGCCCGGCCCACAGGCGAGGATACTCAGCACTGCCTGGGACACAGGCAGCCACTGGCGGCAGATGGCGCTGATCTGGACTTTGGGGTCTGAATGTCGCACCTCCCGGGCTCCGATTTTCAACCCCAAAGAAGTCACTATCTTGTCAATCTTCTCTTTGTCCCTGTAAGAAAACACACACCATGATGGGGGGCGGCCACACACAGACATGAAGCAGTGGTGCGAGGGAGGAGGTCGTATCTCTGTCTTTCATTCCTGATGTGTTCCCTTCTCTGCAAAAACTACAAAAGCTGAGCAGGATGACCCCCAGCACCCAGCCCAGCCCCATGCACAGGGCTGCCCCGGGAGGCAGGTCTATGCCTATGAGCCCAGGGCCTTGCTCACATCCGGAACGACTTAGAAGTGAACGCCTTGGAGCCGCCTACGCTGGGCAGGTGATTCCCGACATCCCACACTTTTCTACCACGACCCCTCTGTACTCAACCGGGTTTGCAGACACTGGGGTGGAGTCACCCAGCCTCTGTGCCACTGGCCCGTGTGCCCCTGGGAGGCCTGCTCCTCCAGCCCCAGCCCCTGCCCCAAGCAGCAGCCAGCCCAGGCCAGGGGGTGGGGTGGGGGCAGGGGGTGGGGATGCACCGGTGCTGCCAGGAAGGAACGGCTACACAAACTTACTTGGTTAGGACAGCATCGTACAGACTCCATAGATTTTCCAGGATCAACTGCACAAATAAAGGCTTCTTCCCTTTGGCCTGCAGAGAGAAGATGCGTGTGTGAGCCTCTGCACGGTTAACGTGCCTCTTAGTGTTGCTATCCACCTCTGACATGTTTTATCGCCAATGTGGCTTATTTCTGCTCAATAAAATTATTCAACACAGTTCTTTTTATATACGTCTACCTGTGTGTATGTGTGAAACCCTAAATCCTGCATTAAAGGAAAGTTTCAAAAAAAGCACGCCTGGGGGCTGTGCTCGGCGGTCCTGCTTCCACCATCCATGGGGCTCCCGGAGCCCCCTCTCAGGTTGGCCGTGCCTGTGAAAGGCCTCGGGAGAGCTGGGGATGCGTGGTGGGCCATGGAGACGTCCAGAAGGGGCGCCTCTACAATGAAGGGCTCAGGAGAGCCTGATGCTAAGCAAGTTCCCCAAGTGCCCAGTCCTGAGACTTCCGCTTCTCTTAAAAAAAATGAAAGCAATAATTTGTTGTTCACGTCTTTAAAAATCTCTAAGGAACACCTGGAGAAAGGACTGGTGAGCTTTAAGTAAGCGGCCTCCCAGCCGGGGACACATCATCACCTGATCCACCTTCATGATCTTCTTAGCCTTCGAGTTAATGTAATAGTCGCCCCACAAGGTCCTCATCAGGACTTCCTTCTTGATGCCGATTTTCTGGCTATAGATGCTGGCAAAGTGCTCAATCCTGCAAGGAAACCAAGCGCCCGTGTCACAGGATGAGCAGGCGGACCCCTGCACGGGGCCAGGCGCTGCTGCACAGTGTATCGCCGGCGTCCTCACCAGTGGCCACGCCTGTCCACCTCCGGAGGGCCCTGAGGCAGGTGCGTGGCTGACGGGAGCCTGAGATCGAGCCCAGCCATGTTCCTGGGGCCGACTGGGGCCCTGCCCTCTGCACCCCGCAACTCTGGTGCCAGCTGCTCACCCGGGAGCAGACTCCAGGGCCAGAACCTGCCCGTGGGCCACGGCTGTCAGTGGGCAGCGCTTGGTCATTTGGCTCCGTGGGAAGCCGCGGGAGAGGCTGCTTGACAAGGGCAGCAGCCACCTACGGGCCGAGACCTACTCCCAGAGTAGCTGCATCTGCCGAGGCGCCCATCCTGCTCGCTTCAGGGGTCCCAAGTGAAGGCCGAAGCCCCTCTATGTGCGACAGTCAGGGGCTGGCTATGGGGGCCGACACCTGAGCTGGGCACAGCAGCCATCGCAGGGGCGGCGGGGCCAGAAATGCGAGGAGCACCAGGCGGGAGCTTAGAAAGGGAAGCAGACAGGCCAGGATGCACAGACGGTGGACACCCAGCGGGGACCCCAGCTCAAATTCCAGGGGACCGGTGGCTGCGTGCTGGAGGCAGCTCAGGCCCCACCGCTGTCAGGGTGATCTGTAGCGTGGTCTGACCCTTCTTCTGTGCACGTTACCCAACAGAAGCTTTTATCATCTTTCCAAGTCACCGCCTGTCAGCAAGGTGCATTGCGTGTATCGTGTAAGCACATGAGGGTTATCCACGTGTTCACCCTCCCGCTAACACACACCAGGCTCTCCTGCCGCTGCCCGGCCCCGGGGCTGGAGGATGGCCTGGCCTCCCCGCCACGAGCCCCCCGGAGAGCCTGGGCCTCCCCAGGGCCAGACTGGCCCCCTGCGGCTGCGGCGTCAGGGCTCCCTCCAGGTGCAGGGGAGGCTCACCAAGGCACAGATCCCCCCGACCCCCGCCTCCTGCAGCTCAGGCAGGGCCTCCTCGGCGCTCACGACGCCCAGCTGGCCGGCACCTGCGCGCGGGCCATGGGCAGCCATCCCTCCTGGCGCCACGGGGTGGGCGCGGCTGCTGCTGACGACAGGCGGGTACCGCTGCCCGCTGCGTCCAAAGGTCAGGAGGGGTGAGGCAGCTCAACTCTGCCTGGCCGAACCCCTCCCACTCTCCTCCCCCCACAATAAACGTTCCTCAGTCTGCGAGGGGCAGGCTAAAGTCCACGCGAACTCCTGCGCGATGAGGCTGCTCGCTGTCCCTGGACCTGTCCTGGTGAGGGGCCGGGAAGCCGGGATGGGAGCCTGACGCAAAGGCCCCGCAACCAAGGCGGGTCTCGTCTCCCTGGACGTCGCTGCGCTGCACCTGCCCGGGAGTGAGACCCCACCGCTGCGGCCTGAGGCGGGCCCGGCCGCTGCCTCCTCGCCTCCAGGGGAAGCAGCCGAGGGCAGGTGACAGCGGCACGGCAGCAGCCACACATGCAAATCTCCAGCCCGCAGTTGACACAAAACTGCCAATTTTAGGTCCACAGTAACTTCCCTTTCATCACATTTCCACTTTCTGACTCGATGCACATCGAGGTGACCTGGCGCCAAGCAGAGAGCACCGCCCCACCCCACACACACACCCACTCCCCCCAGCAGCACAGACCCGCATGGTGCTGGCAGGCTGGGGCTGGCCAGACATCACGGGGCCTCCCAGCCCCGCATCCCAGCTGCCCGTCCCGTCCCGACTTTCCCCTGTGGCCACTCCCAGGCCACGCTGATGAGTGTCCCCAGCCAGGCTTTGCTTCCTCTGGACTATCGTTTCTATCGTCCCGGCAAGTGACACGCGAGATTCACTGAAGTCAGTTTTATTACAGTGGCGTGACGATTCGGGCAGGCTGCAGATGCTTTTCTCGAAGTAAAAATTTTTTAATAAATCTGAATTCCCGATTCAACAAGCCAGTGCCTGAGGCTAGGACGTGTGACTGGTGGCCGCACGCCTGCAAGCGGGTCTCAGCGTGTCATGGCTTCAACGCAGGGGCCCAGGGGGCCAGTCAGAGGCAGCCAAGACCCGCAGAAGCACCATGGCAAGCGCAAGCCAGCTCCCGCGGGGCGAGCCCACAGCCCATCCACGCCACCCCGTGCTGAGACACGCCTGCTGCAAAGGACTGTCCGGAGGACCCAGGAGTTAAGTGACCAGCTCAGTCTCTAACACACGTCTCCTGCCACAAAACAGGTGTCTTTCCACACCGACTTCTGCCTGGACAGTGGCGCGGGTGTGAGGGGCCACTGTGCCCCCACAGGCACGAGTGACTGGAGGGCTTCCCATGGGGCGGTGAGGCGGGGACGCTCGTGGTCCACAGTAGACCCCTTTGAATTTATTCACGGTTTTCTGAAAATCAAGAGCATGTGAAATCTACAAAAGGGCGAGACTGGCTGGACATTCAAACACCAACCCGTGCAGCGGGCTTGCGGCAGCGAGAGCAGGACGGGCACGCCGAGCCCACCCGCTGACTGGGACGCAGCACCTGACGCAGCGCCGGCTGACACAGGAGATCGGGGTGCAGGGCTGTCCCACCCCACAGCACACGGAAACCCGTAACACGGATGGCCACGGGTCAGCGCCCACGGACGGGGCCCCCAAGCCGAGCCAAGGGGGTGCCCTCCCCCAGCCACGGTCAGACAGGGAGGTGTCTCCCCAGCGCAGCGAGGGCAGGAGGGTGGTACGGGGAAGGCAGACATGAGACGGGGCCTGTTTGAAACGACAGGCCCTGCCCGGGAAGCTACAAGCAGCTCGCGGACGGGCAAGCACCCCCGGAGGGGCCAGTGCCTCAGGACAGCGCCCAGAAACCAGGCAGCCGCCCCACGGCAGAGCAGCAAGGGCACGCGCGCGCCAACGTCAGAACTGCGGCACCGCAAACAGCCGCCCCCAAGTGAACAGCCAGGGCGGCTCCAGCATGGCGTTACGGAACCCACACGCTAGACCCCACCGAACGCCGACGACAGAAAATCCACGCAGCAGGGACACTGCGGCGCGCTGGGCGGAAGGCGGGCGGGGTGGGGCCGGCTCCCCGCCAACCCACAGGCCGGCCAGGCGCGTCCCACCAAAATTCCAGGCAAGCCCTTCTGAGACACAGAGACCACGACAACGGCGGCCAGCGCGGCGCCAGGGACAGCCAAAGCGTCCCGGCAGGGGGCGGGAGCGGTGGAGCACCGACGTGGAGGGGCCACGGCCTCGGCGCTGGGAGGACGCGCTGCAGCAGCGCGAAGCGGGTGACATGCACGGCCTTCCCACCAGCGACTGGACAGTCACAGCCCTCAAAATGAGCTTCTATCCAAACTCACATCCCGTACGCGAAATGAACTCAACATGGAGCGCCAAGGGACGGCGAACCCCAGAGCTGCTCGCCCCGGCATGCACGGGCGCCCCGCAGGGGAGGGAGACGCACCCAGCCCCGCGGTGCAGATGACGAAAGGAGCCACGAGGACGATCACGCAAAACGGGGACACAGCGGGCACCAGGCAGCACTCACGCTGCGGTCGCCCCACGGCCTGGGGACGCACCTTGGTGCCGACGTCCGGCTGCCCCGCTCGGGAAAGGGGGGGCTGGAAGGCGCCACTCTGCAGGCCCCGGGCTCCGAGACGTTCTCGAGACGACACGTACGGCGGGCGGGGCGCGTGGGCTCCCGGGACGCTGGGCCTTGAGGGCGAGCCCACGCCAGCGCGCGAGGCCGCCGAGCACTCACCCAAAGCCCCAGCCGTCGATGGCGCTGGCGAACACCACGTTGCCCCGGTCAGGGCAGAAGTACAGGTGGGAGTCGTCCTCGTCCTCCAGGCCCGCGCTCCAGTCATACACCCGCTCCCCCGGCTCGGCGTGGGGGCGGCCCTGGGCTTCAGTCTCTCTCTCTGCTCTTTCTTCTAGGACTTTAGAAGTAAAAAGAGTTCCCGTGAGTGCATTAATCTAGGAGAGATGGTGAAACGGGAGGACGTCACTGCGGTGCTTGCTGCTGGGGCGCAGAGCCGCTGTCACACTGGCTGGGCGGGACCGGCATCATGCGGGCCACGGTGGGCCCACCCAGTCGGTGACTGTGGAGCCGACGCGTTCTTCCCACACCCAGTGAGACTCCACCAAGGCCCCTTCTGTGGCCAGTGTTGTCAGTTATGTGGCCCCTCCCAGCGGGCCGGGCCACCAGGGACTTGTGGTCTCTGACCCCACAACCCCGCTGGCCACCCCCATCGGTGTCTCACGTCAGCTGTGTGACACTTCTGCCATCTCTTCAGAGCCTCTTCTCAACCTGGCCCCTTGACCAGCTTCCCTCCCAACGAGCAACCGACTTCCTCCCTCAGCCTGAAGAGGGGTCCCCATACAGCAGCAGAGTGCCCGTGCTCCCACAGCCCACCCTCGCCCGCAACATTGCTGAGTCTCGGTGCTGCGCCGGGCGCGAGCATCACAGCTCCCTCCAGTGGCCTGCTCTCCCGAATGCCCGCCACTCTGCCCGGCACCGCCCCCAGGCTGCGCCTTCCAGCCCTCCCTTCCCTCCCGCTCCACCCCAAGGGCCTCACTTACGTTCTCAGGTCACACACAGGCCCATCCCTCGTCCCTCTGCACCGCCCTGCAGCGAGCGCATGACCGGGGTCGGGGCCTACAGCCTCACCCAGCACAGCCGCGTGGGGAGCCCAACACACAGCTGTGCGGCGTTCACCCAGAAAGCAAGTGATGGCGCAGAGAAGTGTCACCCAGAGGCAGCCACACCGCAGAGCCCTGCTGTCACTTCATTCTGGAGCCAGAGCCCAGAGATCTGCACCCAAGAGTGTGAGCACCACTGCCGGCCCCTCAGGCTCCTGCTGGGGTGGGGCGGCAGCTCCACTGTGGCGACTCTCCCATAGGGTCACCTCATACTTGCCTCAATCAATTCCTTACGAAGTTTTTTGAGTCCCAATTTTTAAAACACTGAAGAAAAGCATAAAATACCTGTTCTAGAATATTCTTGAGGTGAGAATAGGCCTCCTGCGGGGTGAACTTCAGCTCGACGATCAAGCGATCAATCTTATTTATCACTAGGACGGGACGGATATTCTCCAGCCAGGCTTGCCGCAGCACCGCCTGTGTCTGATTGAAACAGAAAGAAAAACGTAGAACTTGGGACCTAACACAAAGCCCATCGGGAAACCTCCAACACCCGCTTCCCACGCCCTCCGCCATGGCCTGACCCGTGTGGGATGCCCCAGACAGCGAAGGGCAAAAACCACGCGAGACACTGGCCAGCATGTGGGACTGCCCCCAGGGCCATGGGGAGCCCGGGGCCGTGAAGATGCACTCCTGTGGCCAACACGTGGGGCAACCCTCAGGCCCTGGACCAGCACAGCTCAGAGGTGGGCCCAGGACGGCTGCCTCCCGCAGCAGTGCTGTGTCCAGGGGAGCCGGGGTCAGCACGGACCCACAGAGGCTGGAGATCCTGATGCAGCAGCGCAGCTGCAGCCTGTGCCACTGGTCTCAGCCCTGGAAGGGTCTTTCCAAGGGGCGCCCATGGACTCCGGGCATCAACCGCTACCCATGCACCAGTGTGGGATGCCAGGCCCCTTGCTGGCAGGGGAGGCTGCCTGCCCTGTAGGTCCCAGCAGTGGCACCTGTGGGCACACTCCTTCCACAGCGTCCACCACCACGATGCAGCCGTCACAGATGCGGACCGCCGTGGACACCTCAGAGGAGAAGTCCACGTGTCCTGGGGAGTCGATGAGGTTGATGAGGTACTCCTCAGGGCCTGGGGGGGCAAGGGATGCGGCTCAGCTCGGCGCTCTCCGCCCCACCTGCAGGGTAGGCACAACTCGCAGCCCCCCTCCACCCCCACGGCCTGGCGAGAGCAGCAGCAGCGCAGACACCAGAGAGCCATCGGAGCAGGGGGGCTCGGAGGGATGGGGAGAGACACCAGCCCACAGGTGGCAGCGGGTTCCAGAGGAAGAGCCTGTCACCTCCACTGGTGCCCCAAAGGCCCCCCGCGTCAAGAGCCAACAGCTACAAGCCGTCCCTCCCACGAGGCTGTTCCAGCATCATCTCCCACATCCTCCTCCGTGAGCCACCTGCCCCGCGCCGCCAGCCCTGCTCTGTGAAATCCAAAAAGTCCACCTCAAAGGGCCTGCGAGAGCTGCTGGTCCCAGCACTCAACTGGGCCCTGCAGCCGCCCCCGCACCGCCAGTCCGGGAAGGTGGAAGCAGCTGGAGTAGGCGCCTTTCAGCAGAGGGCACTCGGACCCCAGCAAGCAGGTGGGGCAGAGCATGATGCAGCCAGGTGTGGTGCCCCGACTCCTGTGGGGTGGGTGGGTCTGGCCTCCCACCCTCAGGCCAGGTAGTCCTGACGGCAGCCACCCGGGAGCCCAGAAGGACACTTGCGGAACAGAGAGCAGGGTGAGGGGCATCAGAGAAGCGAGGATGTGAAGACGCAGCGCTGCCGGCGCAGGACGCAGGCTCACCGTGCGCGTAGTGCAGGGAGATGGCGCTGGACTTCATGGTGATGCCGCGGCTCTGCTCGTCCTCCCTGCTGTCCATGTACCGCAGCTGGGGGCAACAGACGCTGGTGACCAAGCTGCTAGCACGCGACAAGGGTCACCCTAAAGTCTGTTCTACCTTTATTTTTTAAAAGATTTACTTATGCATACAAGACCTGGGGTACAGGCCAGAGGCGCGGGGGGTGAGAGGATGTACCAGAGACAGAGTAGGTTGCATCTTAACTACTTGCGCCACCAGGGAGGCCCCGGTTCTACTTTCTTAAGAGGGGAAGCTGGAAAAGGGCCATCGTCCTCACAGGGAAGATACACAAATGGAATTGCCCCCCAAGATGACTGCATGCCCCAGGTCAGCGATCACCACCCTGAACTTCATCTCAGCACTCGCTTTCTTTGTCAGGCTAATAGCGAGCGTGTCCCCAGGCAGGTGGCCTCGGCGCAGCCAGAGAACAGAGCAAGTGGCTCGTGACGTCGTAGGGGACGGAGATTAACCCAGGTGTTCACCAAGTGTAAGCACACACCTTGCCTGCCAGGCGGCTGGAGATGATGCCATTGCTGGATATGAGACAGTCAACCAGAGTCGTTTTGCCTGTTAAAACAAAAAAGGTAACTCAAATCCACGCCTTGTTTTATGTTTCACAGACAGGAGACGCGGCGAGCGCAGCTTTCCTGGAGGCAAGAGGTCACCCGAGGAGAAGCTCAGCAAAGGCTCCTGCAGCATCGCCTGGCGGGGCCGGTGCCCAGCGCGTGCACAAGTCTCCCCCCCCACCCCCGCCCCCACTAGACCCTGTGCCTCAGCCCTGCGGGCCTCAAACCCCTCACCTGAGAAACTGCTGAGCAGCTTTTTAAGCGGCGTGAAACAAAACGTGTTCCTAAAACATACCGATGAAGTAAAAACTTTCCTGACCGAGCCCCTACCCCCAGGATGTTTGGCCTGAGCTGTCAACGTGTTTGACAGTGTTTCTCATGGGGCCAAACTGCCAGTTACACGAATGGTCAATGTTCACTTCTGTTCTGGCTCATTTGCTGTATGCAATTTTTTCAAATTCCCCCCATTTTGCTGGAAATGTCACCCTCTGCTGCGGCTTGTCCACAGCACGCACGTGCCATAGCCTCTGCCGCCGGCCGTCCACCGAGGAGACCAGGCAGCCCCACCCCTGCTACTGCAGACGCGCCGCTGAGTCTGAGGAGAGCCGGGCCTCTAGAGGCGAGGGCCCGAGTTGGGTGGACAGTGGCCACGGTGCGAGGGCAGCTTTGTTTAAGCGTGACTTTTTTTCCACAATTGGGGCATAGTTTATAAAGCAACAGACAAGAGCCCTTAGTGACAAAGCAAACCAGCCAGTCAGCGCACAGACACCTGACGGCTTTCACACGGTCACTCATCTGTCCCCCGGAGGGCGGCTGGCCACCACAGCCATCGTGGTAGTGTCCGCCACCTGGAGGGAGTGCGCCTGTGCCCTCAGCCCAGCACCTCGGGGCGACAAGCAGGGCAGTAATTTCTGTTTCTCCACAGTGTGTGGGTCCAACGTCACTGTAATGCACCGGGGCGAGGCTCCCTGCCATGTCCCCTGGGACAGGCAGCCGCTGGCACGTGACAGTTACACTGTCCTGAGAAAACACTTAGCAAGAAATTCGGGTGTGCCCGTGTGGCCTGCAGTGGGGTGCACCCGGGGGAGCAGCCCTCCCACCGCAGCCGCGAGCACCCACCCAGGGATCCTGCGCCTCGGTGAGGCCCCTCACTGCAAAGTGACGGGCACCTCCACCGCAGGCCACAGCCAGGGCTGTTCAGGGACTTCAACAGCAAAAGCAGGCACTGGCCTAGTCACTGCAAATGGACGGAACATGGCTAGGAGGACTTCCCTCGAGAAGCGGGTCCCGCGGCATGTGAGGACGTGGTCTGGCCCCAAGACATGTGACAGCCACACCAAACACCCGGCGCCAGGGTGCTACTGCCTGTGGACACACACATGCACACCTCTGCCAGGTGCCCCATTCCACCAGACAGAGCACGCGTGTCAGGGCTCAGGGGTCAGCCTGCGAGCAGCGTAACTGCACAAAGCCCTGGGCATGGGGCCAGTGCCTTGTATTTAGATATAAGCCCCACAGCAAGCTTCACCCATGGAGACCCTGGCCTACCTCCAGCCCTCACTGCTGCAGCACCTGAGCCCTCGCCTGCCCCGACACACCCACCAAACCGGCATTTCTAGCCTCCGCTCACGGCTCCACCCCTGTGGCATTACTGGTTCTCCCAGAGCCCCCCCCCCCCATAAAAAGAAGCTGATGATCATCTTCACCACAAAGCAGGCACCAACGCAGCTGGCCTTGCCCCAGCACGTCTAGTCCTCGCCTTCCTCAGGCAGGTAAGGGCCACCTTCTCCAGAGCTGGTGCTTACTGAAGCCCAGAAAGCAATGACTTGAAGTGGAGTTTGCAGGCAGGTCGCCCAACGCCAGACCCCGGCCTGTGCCTCTCCATCAACTCCGCCCACCTCCCAGCGCAAATCGGTTTCATCTCACCCGGCCCTGGTGTGGCCGCCAGCGCCCAGAGTGCTGTGGCGGGACAGCCGGCTCCGTGGGCCCTGGGCGGTGGCCCACGTGGCCTCCCTCCCCCGCTGGGAAAGCCTGTCCCTGCCGGCGTCAAGCGTCCCCTGCAAGGGTCTGCTCGGCCGTGTACCGCCCTCTGAGGCCTCTTCCCAAATCACCCGGTTCCCGGTCCTCTGGCTCTCCCAACTCCACACCCCTTCTTCCTCAGCGCCCGCCTCCCTCCGTCCTCCGCTCAGCGCCACCCCCGCCCCGCGTGCCAGGCCACAGGCTGGCGCCGAGCAGCCGCTCCCTAGGCGCCTGCTGAGGGGCGAGACCCGAGCGGGCGCTGCGGGCGTCGCCTGTCACCAGCCGTCCCGGGCCTCCTGCTTTAACCATCGCGGGCCCGGGAGTGGCAGCGGGCGGGTGAGTCACGCGGAGGCCGGGCGGCTGGAGGGCCGGGACGCCCTCCCGGGAGCGGCCCGCGGGCCCTACCGTGGTCCACGTGCGCCAGCACGCAGACGTTCCTGATGTTGGCCGCGTTCCGCTGCAGCCGCGCCGTCTTCTCCAGGCCCCCGCGCACCATGGCTGTCTCCTGGGCCGGGAGGCAACCGGTTAGCGGGGCTCGCGGCGGGCGGCGCCCCGGAGCTCCCCGCGGGCGTGGGGGGCCGCAGCTGCCCGCGCGCCCAGTCGTCCCGGCCGTGCGGCGGCGCGGGGGGCCGGGCCCGAGGCCGGAGAGCGGGGCGGCCCGACGCGCCCGGCCCGCCCCCCCACCCCCGGCCGCCCGCCCGCCCCCGCCTGCACCCCCGCCCCGGCCCCCCGCCCCCCCCGCCCGCACCCCCGCCCCCGGACCGCGTCCCCGACGCCCCGCCCCGCGCCCACCGGCCTCGCCCGTCCGGCTCCGCTCCGGGCACTGCGCGTCGCTGGGCCTCGCGCGCCGGGTCCGCGGCTGAGGGCGGGGCCGGCGCGCCTGACCCCTGACCCGCGCGCCCGACGCCGGAAGCGGCGCCCGACGCCGGAAGTCGCGCCGAGCTGCGCCCCGCCCCGCCCGCGGTTGCCCCGGCGACGGCGACGCGCTGGACGCGAGCAAGGCCGAGCATGCGGCGCTGCCTGTGCCGGATCTGCACGTGCGGGTGAGCGGCGCCCGGCGCGGGGCCGGGGCCGGGGGCGGAGGACGGGGCGGCGGGGGCCGCGGGGGAGGCCCAGGGCAGAGCCGGGCCGCGCGGGGTTGGGGGGCGGTGGGGACACTGGGGCGGCCGCGGGGGCCGCGGTGTGGGGAGGCCCATGGGCAGAGCCGGGCCTGCCCGGGAGGGACTTGGGGGGGCGCAGGGGGCCCAGTTCCTGCCGCTCAGAGGCTCCCCGGGACATGCTGACCCCGGCGTCAGGAGCGCGCTGCCTTCCTCTGCCCTTTACCCGTCAGGCCTCGGTTTGCTAAGTCAACGCTGTCGAGTCTGCAGCCTTGTCTGGGGTCCCCTCCCGAGGAAAACCTCTCAGCCCACGGAAGCAGCCCCCGTTTTCATGATTGCCGTGGTGTGTGATGATTAGCTTAGGTTGGAAGATCAATATTTGAGGCTTGAATCCACAAACTCTGATGTGCTAGAGAGCTTCTCTTTCTCTAATTTTTACTGTGTATCTTCCCACGCAGCCCTGGAGTCCAGTCTTTCGGGCGGGGCTCCCCTTCTTCCAGCGATGGCCAGGGCGGGGGCCTGGTGGCCGGTGGTGCTGAACCTGCTCCTAGGCTGGTCTGATCCCGTCAGGATCCCCCAGTGCCTTTCAGGCTTGTGTTTGAGGTACTGGACCTCTGCCAGCGCTGGAGCCATGAGAGGCATCGCTCAGCAACCTGTGAGAGCGGCCACCTGACACTGAGGCGGGGCAGGGCCTCCTCTCCTAGAACCTGCCCCCCTCCGCGGGACCCCGCCTCTTCCTTGTCTTCAGTCCGAGGCCCTTTCTTCCCTCTGCGGCTCTAAGAGACAGCGGCTCTCACCTTCACCTGATCTCCACTCTTGCACGACCTGATTCTTTTTTAAAGATTTATTTATTTATGCATACAAGAACTGGGGCACAGGCCAGAGTTGAGGGGGGCGGGGTGGGAGGATCCACCAGAGACAGAGTGGGGAGCAGAACAGGCAGACTGACTGAAATCCACTGCTGAGGGGAGCAACGGGGAGACAGGGGAGGTCTGCACGCCATGTGAGACAGCTCCCTGGCCGGGGATGGACTCAGGCAACAGTGGCTGGCAACGGCTTGATGGTGCTGAGACTTAACCCCTGCGCCACCTGGGAGGTGCCACGACCTGATTTTTTTAACAGACAGGAAATGTTTGCCCTTCGGGCCAGCTTAACCTCCTTCGCTGCCAGAGGGTGAGGGGCGAGTGAGGGGACCCTGGGGGATGACCAGCCGAGCAGTGATACTGGGTCAGAGGTGAATCAAGATTAGGACGGTTTTCAAGATCCGTAGTTGACAGCGTGGAAGAAAGAGGACGGCCGTGACCTTGAGGGTAGGAGTCCCGTGTGCTGCGTGGGCTGGCCCACAGCTAGGCAGGGAGGCGCCGCCTCTCGGGCTCGGCCTGCAGACATGCGCTGGGCTCTCGCTGCCCCAGACACGGGTCGCGCCTCATGGTCACTTCGCTGCAGCAAAGGAGAAACGCAAACGAGGGCATAACCCAAAATAAATAAAAACGGACAGAAAGCTCTAAGTGGAAAGTCTGAGGAGATAAGCGCGAGCTGGTATTTTCTCCACTGGTTTAAAAAGCAGGAAAGTCCAAGAAAACTCTCTGAACAGCGAGTGTCCTCGCCTGGCAGGGCCGCGCGTCCAGGGAGCTGCCTGCGCTGACCGCGACGAGGCGGTGTCAAAGACGCGGGTGCCGCAACGTCACGGACACTGCAGATCCCGTTCACTTCTCCCGGGTGCCCTCTGTTCCCGAGCCAGGCGCCTTTATCCCCCGCAGCGCCGGGGCTGGGGGGGGTCCTTCCTTATGGCCAGGCCGGGCCAGACGGCAGGTGACGCTGCATGAGCTCTGCCTCTGCTGCTGTCCACGCGCGCGAAGTGGACGTGGCTGCCGCTGCCCTGGAGAGCCTGAGCACCAGCCCGAGCACCCGGCAGGCGAGGCCTACCCGGGCTCTGCCCGCCCGGACCTGGGAGAGGCGTCACCAGCTCTCCCGGGAATAAGGAGACGCCAGACCAGACCGCTGCCAAGGCCGGCCCAGGCCCCACACAGGACAGGCGCGTTTATCGCTGTTGCAAATGCCCCTGCAAAGTAAACAGGCCTCTGTCTTCACTTTTTAGTAAAGCATCTCTGAACTGCGGGGTTTGCGTTCCTGAGGCTCTCTGACATCCTATTGCCCAGCATGTTCTTGCAGTTGAAAATAACCTCTCAGTTCATCTGTGTTGGCACAGGCGACATCGCTGTCCACGCGGGCCCACGAAGCTCTACGAGAGCTCGGGCGCGGACTGGCCTCCGACAGAGTACGCGGAGAAGTACCCGGCCCACGGCAATGTCCTCCCGGCCCAGAGCCTTAGGCCCAAGCAAGAGCTTCCAGCCTGCCGTGGCACAGCACAAGGAATACCAGCACTGAAGTAAATATTGAGAACTATTTGCTTTACTCCCCCACAGTTCTGGTCTTAATAAGGTTTTCTAACTTTAAATCGAACTGTTTAGTTGATTTAAGTTGAATCAATCCAAGAAACAAGGAACTACTTGAGTCACAGCTTAAGAAAAACAGAAAAACAACAATGAAGTTGGGATGACAGAAACAAACAGGAAATAAACAAGTTCCCTTCATTTCTTAAGCTCCTCACATCTCCTAGTTACTCCCACAGCCACTTCCGGCTTCTCAGCCGGCTTCCCCACGGCCAAGGTCAGCTACGAAAATACGGGCCTCGAGCTGTCCCCTCCCACTTACATCCCCGCTGCCACCCCACGATTCGTTTACCACCCAAGACCCCCCTGCCGGGCCTCCAGCTCCTCGGCTCTCGCGCTGGTGCTCTCCCTTGAAAGCCTTGCCTGTGCCGCACCCCTTCCCTGAGGTGACCGCCTGCCGGGGGGCCCCCTCCCTCCCTCCCAACCTCCCTCCCTCCCGTGGTCCTTTCTGGCCTGTGACTCTCAGCTCAGGCCTGAGCGCCGCCCCGGCCCCAGCTAGCTTGCCAGAGGCGGTGCCCAAGGGTGGCCCTCCCCACGCCCCTCCTGTTACTCTCAGCAGGCGCGTCCACTTGTGTCCGCTGCCCGGGCCAGGCCTGGCACCGCACTGCCAGCACACAAAGTCCTCTGGCGGTGACAGGCGAGAGTGCCCTCAGCGCACTTCCCACCAGACTTGGTTGTTTGTGGAGGCCTGGCGGTGTCTGTTTCTCATGGGGGAGGCCTTCGGTGCGAGACAGCGGAGGCAGGAGGCAGCGGCCGTGGAGGTGGAGCTGCCCCTCCCGGCCTCCCTCTGTCCGGCCTGGCCGGCCACCTGACCATGCTTGACCCTCCTGGCGGATCTGGGGAGGGAGGGACTGCGGGGCGGGGGTGGTGGAGGGCAAGGTCTTCGCATGACCCATGCGCCACCTGGGCTCTCCCGGCCTCGCCGTGGCAGCGTGTGCTGGCCCGACACGGGACGGCACTCCAAGTAAGCGCCAAGTCGCGGGCGTGACAAAGTCCCGGACGACAGCACTGGCGACCCCAGAGCCCAGTACGTAGCTGGGCGTTACCACGAGGGGACAGCAGAGGCAGCAAGGCGGGGGCTGGACTGTGTAGAAGCAGGAGCCGCGGGGCGGGCGGCCACGTGGGCCTCGCCAGGTCAGCCGCGTCACGTCCTCCGAGCAGCGAGCAGGTCTTCCCTTCTAGTTACTGTCTCCCCGGGCCGGGGCAGAGGCCGCGAGAGGCAGGCGAGCCAGCAGCACCTGCAGTGGTGCAGTCACCGGCGCAGGGCCCGAGTTGTCCAAGCGGGCTGCTTGCGCCTGGGGGACTGTGTGGTCACGCGGGCGCCCTGGGACTCGTGCCCTGACCAGGCCAGAGTGGCCGCAGGCCCAGGTCCTTCCCTAGAGGCTGGGGTCAGAGGAGGGTGAGTTCTGGCCACGCAGACCCAAAGGATGTGCTTGAATATCCTCGCATTCCTGCGCCCACGGCCTGGGCTGGGAAAGTCAATGTGGGAAGATTTCGTTTGGATCTCACTCCCCGAGGCCGTCGTGATCACGACAAGCTGGGACGTGACGCGTGTTCGTTTCTGAGGCTGTCCAGTCACCGGTAGGACGTTGTGGAACGCGGCGGTTTCAGGCAGCCCATCGACGGCCACTGCTTTAGTATCTTTTATATTAAATAGACTTTTCCAGTCAAAGACCAGACGATTTCAGTGCCGCGGCCCCCTGGGGCGGCCCGACCGCTCGGCTTCTGTGTTGCAGGTCCCGTCAGCCGCGCGCCCGCCCTGGAGAGCTGGAGGCCGTCCCCACCTACAGAGGTAATGCCCGCTGCCTGCGCTCAGAAGGCGGTCACTTCGCTGTGTCCCCAAACCCAGGCTGTGGCGCTGGGAAGACCCTGCTCGGCTCAACTTCCTGGCTGCAGGGCCACGCTGCTCCTGCTCCCAGCGCCCAGCGGGAGGGACTGTGCAGCTGCGCCTATGCAGTTCAGCCGCTGCAGAGCAGGGGTGCCTGTGCTGGGAGCGGGTGGGGTCACCCCCGCAGATGGCGCCCACGGTGGAGTCTGGGCTGATGCATGGATGGGGCCTGCCAGGCCATCGAGGTTCCACCAGCATCGCTCTGGGCTGGGCCTTTGCTGCTGAAGACACCCCAGGAACCCGGGTCACCCCACAGCTGTGCCCCCTCAGCCTCTGTGCCTCCTCTGCCTGGTGGGGCGTGGTGGGGCAGCCCAGAGCACCCAGAGGCATTGGTGGGAGGGGATACCATGTAAGGGAAGGGCCGGGGGCCCTGGTGCTGGGCCCTCGGCGGACAGCGAGGCTTCCTGTTGCTGTGCCCCGCAAGACCACATGCACTGCACATACCGCATGCCCCAGCACATACCACATACCCCAGCATGCACCCTGCACACATAGCTCACATCCCACACACTGCACACAGCGCACACCCCGCACACAGTGCACACCCCGCACATAGCACACAGGCAGGCCTCTGCCGAGAGGCAAGCCCTCCCCCCACAAGATGAGGTGCCGGCCTGAAACCCCAGGCCTGCCTCCGGGGACTGCTTGACACCCATGTCCTGAGGAGGAAGGCTCGATCCCATGGTATTCTGGGCTCCAGGTTACCCAGGATCTTCGCTTAGGGAGTTTGTGGGTTCCTGGTGACCAATGATGCTGCAGTCAGTCCGGAGCTAGGAGTGACCCCCTCGCCGCTGCCCCGCCAGGCCCTTGAGCTTAGGGGCTCACTAGGCTGCTGGGTTCCCGGAGCCTTTTGTGAGCTGCGTGCCCAGTGCTGGGTGCTGGCTCCTCTCAGCCCATGGCCCTGGGGTCGGCCGGGGGGTTGGGGGGGCGGGCGTGGAGGGGCAGGAGGATGAAGGCAGGAGAAGGAACGCGCCGAGGGGCGGTCTGTCCCTGGTAGGAAGGGCCCAGCAGGAGGCGGTTGTTGGCTGGCGTGACTGAAAATGCGCTGTTGTTTGTTTTCAAGATGATTACAGAGCCTGGGGCCTTCAGAAAAGGGAGCTTTATAAACCGGAACAGAGCTACTGCGCCCCGGTCGTGAGGTTCGGGAACCCCACCACGTTTCAGGACGCCTTCGTGCCCCAGGCAGCGGCCCCACCACAGAGCCTCAAGCCCCCCTCTGCGGCCTGGGGGCCCTCAGGTCCCTTCCATGGGGACACGAGCCACCGCCTCGATTATGTGCCGTACCAGCTGCCGCCGAGGCTGGCGCGGCCGAAGGAGGCCTACAAGCCGCCCAGCCGGCCGTTCAAGGGGCTCACGACCCACCGCCGGGACTTCCAGGGCCTGGCCGGGGAGGTCGTGAAGCCGTGCGGGCCGCCGCGCCCCAGGGCGGCCCCAGCGGCACCCTTCGAAGGGAGCACGGAGTTCCGCGAGAGCTTCCAGGCCTGGGAAGTGCCCCCGCGGGAGGCCAGGAGGGCGCCGGAGTACACGCCGCCCGCGGGCACCATGCAGCTGGCCAGCACCAGCCGGCTGCACTACGTGCCGCACCCGGGGGTCCTGACGGAGAGCTGCCGGCCCCGGGAGGCGCGCGCGCCGAGCCCTGGCCCCTTCGAGGACGCCACGGTGTACTCCCTGGAGTACACGCCCAAGGAGCAGGCGGCCTGCCCCGCCAGCTACCCCTGCCCCCCCGGCTACGTCTTCGAGGACACGGACTCCCGCGGCCACAGGCACTTCCGCCGGGCCCCGGCCGTGGGGGCCCCCTAGCTGGCCTGCGGCGCCGCGCTCAGGGCCAAGCCCGCTCTGGCGCAGAGATAAGCGTGCGGAGAGCCGAAGCCAGTCGTAGTCCCCGCGTAGAAGGGAAGCGTGTGCCGGCGGTGAAGCAAATCATACCTGAAAGTTTTTGAACAAGAACATCGGAAATTTTTTTTCAGAAGTCACGATCTTAAACCCGGCCGTGCTGCTCTGACAAGCCCTGCTCCCACGCGTCTGAGAGGCGGCCGTGCCCCTGCCGCCGGCCCCTGCGCCTTCACCCCCAGGCCTGCTCCGCCATCCCGACCCCCGGCTCTGAGCCCGGGCCCGAGGATGCCCGCGGACCCGTCACGCGCCCTGAGCAGCGTCTGGCGGCCGCGGCCTCTGCCGGACCCGCCCCGCCCCCAGAGCCCTCGCCCAGCGCCGGGCCGGACCTGCCTCGGGCTGACAGGCTGGACGTCCAGTTTCTGAGAAGGGTCATGTCCCGGAGCCCCGGGGGCACCTGCGGGGTCTCGCTGAGGACCGATGGCTGGGGCGGGGCCCAGGAAGGAGGCTGGGGGGCCTCTCAGCAAGGCCTAGAGTCAGAGGCGTCTCCAGGCCCCACGCAGGGGAGTCGCCCAGCAGGTGGTGTGATCACCCCCTGCTCCTCCAGCACCCCCTTCCTGCCCCTCCCCGCCCAGAGAAGTGCTAAGAAGGGGGAGGGAGAGGCCAACGAGTGGCGGGGCACGCTGTTTAGACCTGCCCAAAACTTCCTAATGCATCAACCTCTTCCCGGACTTTTTTCTTCACTCAGTGATTGCATCGTGGGACAACATGATTCATTTTATCACAGAGCGAAGCCTTCGGCAGCTTTAGAGTGGTTTCAAACTACACAACTGAGAACCTCAGCAGCTTTTGCTTACATAGTTTGCATTACGTGACGGTGGTTTTCACCTACATTGGTGTCAGTACATACTGTGGTTGGAAGCTTGTGTCTCCGCAGCAATAAAGCCTCCTGAGCGGGCTGGGCGTCCCTGAAATCCTTTCCCCGCCCGCTTTCCTCCCGAGGGGGCGGCTTCAGGGTCTCGCCCAGGTCACCCTGTGCCACGCGGCAGAGTCAGGGTGGACGGTCCGTCCTGGCCCAGCGCAGCCCCTCCGGGGAGGCCCTCCCTGCTGCAGTGGGGGGTGGGCCCCCCTGGACAGAGGGTCTGGGTCAGACATGCTCGGGGGTCCTGGGGTGACTTGCTGGGGGCTGGCAATGGATCATGGCGTCACCCACCCCCACCACGCGACCTGTCAGCTCGGGCGGGGGGGTCTCCATGGGACAGGGAGACGGGGTCCAGGAAAGCCTTCAGAAGGACACGGGGCAGGGCTGGGTCCTGAAACACGAGGACTCGCAGCCCGGCCTCCGGCCCCCCTGTGAAGCCATCGCGTCGGAGCCCCCCCTTGGCCCAGAACACCCGGGGTCCAGCCGAGACCCACCCGGCGGCCTTGCCTCAACCCGGCCATCTCAGAAGCCACATGCCACAGAGAGACGTGGCAGGTCCCGGGCGGGGGTGCTGCGGGGACACCTGTGCAGGCGAGACGGACACCGCGCCGCCTCCTGTCCTCGTCCTCGGGAGTCCTGGCCAGACCCGCCCGTCAGACCGCCGGAGCGGCAGCAAGTGCTGGGGGCCGCGCTGGCACTGAGAGGGGCCTCAGCGGGGATCCCGGGGGACCGGAGCCCAGCAGGGAAGGCCCGGCCTGCCTGCCACCTGGGTCGGGCCAGCGCCGGATGCCAGGGGGCAGCGGCGGGGGATGGCGAGCCCGGTGGTTCCAACCCTCGGATTATGCTTTGGGGGTGGGGGTTCCCCGCCGTAAATGGGCGCAACAGAAAGCCTCAGAGACCGCAAGGACCGTCCCTGCCTGTGGGCAACGGTTTTCTCCCTGACCCGAGGCCAGGTGGGCGGCACACAGCGGCCACTCGCCAGAGCTGGTCGAGGCCAGAGGCCGGGAACCATGAGCTCGCAAGGGTGGGGACGGGCCGGCAGGGCCCGGGAAGGGAGCACCGGCACCGCAGGGAGCGGGCACCGCGGGGTGAGTCGGGCAAGGGGCGCCCGTCACGTTTCCCTGTCTGCCCCGGGAGAGGCCCCTGCGAGCCTCTCCTTGTCCACCCCGCAGGACAGTTGCCCCTTGTGCGCCCTTAGTTGCCACGTAAGCGCTGGGCACTCACAGCACGGGGCAGAGATTCGGGTCTTACGCCGGTGCTTGGATGGCAAAATCCAGATTTTAAAAATGTCCTTTGTTAGTTACTGAAGATTATAAAGTATCTCCAACTTCCAAGAAAAAGGATTTCACAGAAAAACCGGAGTTGGAAACGAAGGTGTTACCTTTGCCCCTCCCTCCTGACCATGCGCCCCTCCCGGGCCCGCGAGAGAAGCGGAGGGTGGGGGGTGGGCGGAGGCCGAGGTCTGCGCGGCGGGGGGAGAGGAGGACCTTGGGACATGGGGGGTCGCTGGCCACCTCCCGGGCTCTGAGGCCAACAGTCTCACAAATTACTGTAAAATGACTGACTTTTGTCTTCAACATGCACCCCGAGGACGCCGAAGCCCTCGGCAGACGGGGGGTGCTTGCCTCCCACCAGGAACCCCGAGGGCTGGGGCTCCCCACCACTCCGAGGCGCGCGAGGGCCGGGGCGAGGGGCAGGCCCTCCTCTCTCCGGCGCCCACCTGGTGTCCGTCCCCCTTCGGCCCTTGCCGGGCCTTTTCCCAACTCCCGGGGGAAGAGCTGGGGGTGAGAGGGGTGGAGGGGCCTCGGCGGAGCCTCCGTGGAGCTGGGCCGTCCTCCAGAGGGCAGCACAGCCCAGCGCCCGAGGGCCAAGCCCAGCGCGCCGGCCACGGCCACCGCAGGACGCTGCCGCACCAAAGGCCGCTCGTTTCAGGATTGCCAGGCGGGAGCAGACGCCTCGACGGCCGCGGCGCGGGGGCGGGGGTCCCCACCGGGAACGGCCTCGGCGGACCCCCGGGGCCGCGCTGCACACGCGGGGCGCGGGAGGGACTCCGCACCCAGAACACACGCCCGTGTCTCCACCCGCGCCGGCCGGGGCGGAGCCCTCCTCACGTCTCGGGGCGCAGCGGGCCTCACGCGGGCCTCGCGCTCGAGCCGCCGGGCAGCCTCGCAGCGGTGCCGAATGCCTCGGGGCTGGCGACCTCCTCGCTGCCCGCCGTGTCCCCGCCCGCCCCTGGTCAGCAGGCTGGGGTGCGGCCGAGGCGGCACGGGCCGGGTCCCGACGGCCAGGGGCGCTGGCCCTTCCCCGTGACCAGGCCCGGCCGGGCACAGCCTCCTGAGGTCACTGGGCAGCCGGTCTCCAAATCCAGAAGCGGCCCCGCCGTGAGGCTCAGCTCTGCGCTGCTGGGGAGGAGCCGCGGGTTGTGCCGGCCGACCCGTCCCCGCAGCAGCACCTCCCAGGCTCCCCTGCCCCAACGCATCCCCGGCACGGCGGCCCCATCCCAGGCCGCCGCCTCGGGTTGCCCGGCCGTCGCGGCCCGCCCCCCGCCTGACTCAGCGTCCCTTCCTCGCGCCCGCCCGGGGTGACAGCCGAAGCCCGCGCCTCACCCGCCCGCGCACGGGGGGCACGGAGACACCTGCTAAGCGCAACAAATACTGACTGCAAAAATCCTGTCTCATACCTACATTACTTTCTTATAATTTTTCCAAAATAAAATCCTCAGCAGTACTATCTTATGCATAAATTAGGTATAATAAGGCTTTGGTTTCTGTGTGTGTGCAAGAGAATAGCGCTGGGAAAAGTCTCCTTCACAGCTCTTGGAAGAAAGGTTTGAGCACAGTTCAAAGTCAGTAGAGAAGGAGGGTCCTTTCTGATTCCGAGGGCGCTGCCTGGATCCCTCCTGGGCCAGCCGTGTGGCCGCGGTGACGGGCCCCGCGCCCATCCGGGGTGCTGTCCCAGGCCAACCAGCGCCTGGTCAGGTGACAGGGCCAGGGGACGCCTGCTTTGCCCAAGGAGCCTGCAGGCTGTGGACGCCGGGCAGGGCTGCTCAGCGCAGGGGCCTCACCCCGCGGGGGCGGGTCCAGCTCAGGGCAGAGGCACGAGGTCGGGGTCAGGGTGGCCAGGCCCAGGGCGCCAGGGCGCAGGGCTGACTGCGGCCGCCTGGGGCCGACTGCAAAATCCGAGAGAGGCACCGCTGTGCCGGCCCACGACAGAGCGGTTTCTGACAGAGGCGAGTACTGTCGGGAAGAGGCGGTGCCGTGTCCTGGGTCTTCCCAGCGACGCCCCGCGGCCCCCCATCCCATCGGAGGTGCAGGCACTGCAGGCCCAGAGGCGCCAGCACATGCCACGGGAGCTGGGTCTGCGAACCCAGGAGGGGCCTGGGGGCCTGGACGACGTGGGATGGGGCCAGGAGGGGGGCAGGGTGGGCGAGGCCGGCAGGCTCAGCGCTCAGCCTGCAGTGGACGTCCCCGCCGTGGGCCCCCATGGCCCTCACAGCCCCCATGGAGCGGAGAGCAGGGCTCAGCTTCGGGAGGTCATGGACTCCCTGGAAAACTTAGGGGGCCAAGGACCCGCCCCTAGACCCGGCACACACGTCTGGGTTTTACAGAAAGTCTCGGGACGTGGACGCACCCACGGCTCCGTGCGCGGCTGCCTCTGCGGGGCCGAGGCCCAGGCCGGCGGGGCTGCAGGCGGCGCCGCGCTCCGTGGGCAGAGAGCAGCCCCGCGGCTCCTCCCAGCCCCCGAGTCCCTCAGCTGGCCTGACATCTAAGCCCCGCCACCAGCGGGCAGGAGGGGGCAGGTCAGGACCAGGCCGGGGGCCGCGGTGGCTCCTGCGGGGGGTGCGTGCTGTCACAGGGGAGCCCCAGGCAGGGCCGCCAGGAGGCGGGCTTCTCCGTCTGCAGGCAGTGCCGCCGGGCCACGGGCACGCAGCTCCTGGCGTGGACACAGTGGATGGTGCGAGACTGGACGCCCCGGCCGCAGGCCGCGCCGCAGGGCCTCCAGGGGCCCGGCCGCCAGCAGGCCTCGCGGGCCCCCGCGGAGCAGTTCCCGGGGAGGGCGGGTCTGGAAGGAAAGCAGAGGAGGAGGATGGAGAGCAGGTCCCCGCGGCCCGGGACAAGCCGGCGCCCACCGTGCTCGCAGCTTCCCGGGCCCGCGGGGCCTCCCTGGACACCGCCCAGGACCGGTCCTAATGCGCCGTGCCCCAGGGCGCGCTGCGGGGGGCCCTGCCGTTTCCTTCCTTTCACGAAAGCCCCATCTGAGCAGCTCGAGCCTCCCGCAGCTCCCTCCAGCCCGCGCCTTCTCTGCTCTGCTCTGCGCCTCCTGCTGTGCCGCGGAGGTGGGTGGCGCAACGGGGGCAGCGGCACGCCTGGTGGCCACAGGGCAGAGTGCGGGGCCCGGCAAGGGGGGGCGGCGGCCAGGCCTGGACACGCGGCGCTGCAGGCCAGGGCGTGGACCCTGGGCACACGGAGCCCGAGGCTGGCTCTCGTCAGCGGGCCGGGGCCGGCGTGTCCAGATGCACATTTGGGAGCGAAGGCCCTGGCGGCGGGTGGTGTGGGCCAGCGGCCGGAGCGTGGTGGGTGGAGGGGCGGGAGGAGTCCTCAGCGGAGGGCCAGGCTTGGCCAGATGAGGGGGAGGGTGGACACCGGAGAGCGGGTTTGAGAAACACGCAAAGAGCCAAAAATGTGTAAGAAGGCGCCCGCCACGTGGGACTGCAACGAGCCACGCGCGCGTCTCTCTCCATCAGGTTGGCAACGCCTTTGCAAGCCTGACCAGCGAGGGCCGTGGTGGGAGCGGGCCGCACCGCTGGGGGACACGCAGCCGCCCTGCGCATGGGGCCGGGCGGGGCCTGACCGGGGCAGGCAGGTGCCCCTTGGCAGGGGATGAGGCGCGACCCCACAATGAAGGGGAGGAAGTCGGTCCCGGAACCGAGCTGGCGAGTCTGAGGGCCAGGCAGGAGACCCGCGGGCGGGAGGGGGGAGCCGGCTGCTCCCCAGGCAGCTGGCCGCGCCCAGGCTCCGGCTGCCGTGCGCATCTGTCCAGGAAGCCCCGGCGCTTCGCACTCAGCAGGAGTCGGAACTTCCCCCGGGTGACGCCTCGCGGACAACCCGGGCCTGTTCTGCAGACCAGGCGGCAGGTGTGTGGGGGCGCACGGGGCCCTGGCTGTCCGGGGCCTGGTCTCCGGAGGAAGGAGTCGGGCACGCGGGCCCCAGGAACAGAGCTGCCCCACCCGAACCGCCCGCGGCTCAGGCCTTACACAGGGAGAGGAAGGCCTTTCTTGCTCAAGCGCCTGAGCAAGACAAGAGCGTGTCTCACCCCCCGCCGAGCTCTGCCGCAACCAGCAAGCAGGTCCAGGCAGACAAGGGGCACAGGACCGGGGGACGGAGCTGAACCCAAAGGCAGTCGTTCCGGCCGCTCCGGCCTTGTAGGGAAACTGCTGCCTAATCCCAGCACCCTGTTTTCCCTCTTGGGGCGTCTCCAGCTGGGGGTCAACTCCCGGTTACGCGTGACCACAAACAGTAGCTGGCCAGGGGGACTGCAGAGCAGTGCCCGCCAGCAGAAGGGCCGGTAAGGAGTCACGACTTAGCAGGTATCGCCACTGCGCGGAGCCTATGGGGGCTGGGAGCTGCCCGAGGGCGGGGTAGGTACCTCCTGGGGGCGCCGCAGCCCGAGTCAGATGCATTGTGGGGCGGACAGGGGACTTGCTCTGGTGGCCGCCTCCCAGCGCGGCCCAGGCAGTGTCTGGGGCACTGGAACAAAGCACAGGTGGGAGCCCCGTGAGCCGGCGGCCCCCAGAGGTACCTCTCAGGCCAGCAGCACCGCAGAGCTGCCCTGTGGGTCCAGGCGGGGGCGCAACCCAAGGGCCACACAGCCCTTCCCCAGAGCCCACAGCCTGGACACCCCTTCTGCCCTCCCCTGCGCAGAGCACAACAGAACGCGGATGGAGAGCCCTGAACGGCTCGCGCAGGAAGGCAGGGGCCATAGCGCAGACACACGCGGCTCGTGCCAGGGCCACCGTGCTCCCGCAGGACCGGCCATCACGGGAGCCGAGACCACAGTGCTGGCGCGGGTGTGAGGAGAGCGGCGCCTCGTGCGCTGTGGCGGGCATGGAGATGGGCCAGCCCCGTGGACACGGCTCGGAGGTGTCTCAAAAATATCAAAAAATGCCTGACCCAGCAATTCCACTCTAGGTGTTTATCCAAGAACGCACAGACTTATTATGAAGGGACACTGGAACTCTCGGGTCATCGCAGCACTTCTTATGGTGCCCAACTGGCATTTTGGAAAAGGCTGCCCTGGCTGCAGGGTGGAGACTGGGTTGGAGGCAGAATGGCAGCCACGGAAATAGCCTGAATGCCCAGCGACAGGTGGGCGGGTGAAGAGGTGGTATCTACACACAGGGGAATACTACGCAGCTATAAAAAGTGACAAAATCTTTGTCAAAAGATTTGTTGTTGCCATTTGCAACAACACGGATGGGGCTGAAGGGGGTGATGGTAGAAGAGAATTGTCATCAGGAAATAGACAAATACACTCTCAACACTCACCCGTGGTGCACAGACAGACAGAGGAACAGGCTAAACTGTGGCGCTTGGCTGCAGCTGGGAGGCCCCCGGGGAGTGTCCAGTGGACTGGGGTTGGGGGGGCCACAGGCACGCAGGGGCAGGTGTGCTCACACGCCCGAGGAGGTGTGAACCTACCTGGGCCACTGGGTGCCTGCCCCATGGGGCACAGGGGGCGCTGGAGCACGGCCTTCTGCCGAGAGGCCTGGGCCTGGAGGCGCATGCGCGGGGAGCTGTCACCTGCATGGTCCCTCGGGCTGCCCGGCGCTGGCACGTCACCTGCCGCCTGTGCACCCCACTGCCGCAGGTGGCCGAGCAGGCGGACCAGGCGCCCGCCACCCACCTGGAACAAGAGCAGGGGCTCAGGGGCTGCAGGCAGGTGGGGGGGTTGGGCCCGCGGGCCAAGAGAGGGGCAGGACCGGAGCCTCTCCTGAGGGATGGAGGGGCACGTGAGGCACGCGAGGGCGGCACTGCGGGGCCCGAGGGAGGCCTGTCCTGGAGCGCCTCTGTCCCCTCACTTATCCAGTCAGCAAATGCCGCTGGGCACCCCGAGCACGAGGCACCACTTCAGGCCCCGCAGGCGGACGCCACAGACACCAGGCAGGAAGCCGAGCTCGGTCCTAAGAGCAGCGAGAAGCTTCAAGACGGGTCACGTGGGTCACCGGGGCTTCTCTGTTGGTTCAGTTTATGGAGTAAAGGGCTTGAGGAGACACCCATGGGGAGGAGACACAGGAGACAGAGGTGGCTGAGACTCCGCACAGGGATAGATTCAAGTGGGCAAAGGGTTCTCGGAGAGAGGAGGCCCAGGTGAGCGGGGGCTTAGGTGAGAGGAGGTCGAGGTGGGGGGGAACCCGGTGGGGGGCAGGTGAGAGGTTGTCAAGATGAGAGCGTCCAGATAAGACAGGGTCCAGGTGGGGAGGGTCCAGGTGGTGGGCACCAGGTGAGGGGCCCAGGTGAGAGGGGATCCAGGTGAGGCAGGCCCAGGGGAGGGGCACCGAGGCGAGGGTTGTCCAGGCAGGGGGCATCTGTGTGAGGGTATCCAGGTGCAGGGCTGAGACCTGGGGCCCGGGGCGGGTCAGGTTTGGTGGCACAGAGTGTGGCTGGACATTTCACCCTTGACTTATGTCCCCTGTCACGCAGGACAGGCATTCCTGACTTTGCCTCAGGTGGCCTAGGGATGCACCGTGTGCCAGCTGAGGGTGTACAGGGATTTGACAGCACCGCCGGGCAGCCCAGCCACTGGCCAGCGCAAGGCCAGAACGTCCTTTCTTAGTGACTTTCAAGCCTGCTGTCCCGGCTGGCCAGCCCGCCACACCACCACGGCTGCGGAAGGCTCAGGCAGCTCGTGCTGAGCCCGTCACCAGGTCCAGCCCCGCGTCCCCAGCCCGCCGGCTGCCTGGGGGTAGTGGCCACATACCTGGAGGGGCAGTCCCGGGCGCAGCAGGGCTGGACCTCAGCTGGTGGCCTCGGCAGGTGCTCACACAGCGCCTCCCTCACCCGCTGTCCGTCGGCCATCAGGCACTGGTGTCTCCGCACGCGGGCTCCTACGGAGCCACAGGCAGCCGAGCAGCGTGTCCAGTTGCCACACCCCCAAAAGGGCCCTGCAGGTGGAGGCAGGCCCAGTGGCCGCGTGAGCCAAGGCGCAGGGACGGCAGTGTCACCTGCCCTGCACAGCATCGCATGGGGGAGGGGCCGCTGGGGCTGCCAGAGGCTCCCTGGGGGGCGGAGGTGTCCAGGCAGCGGCTCCTCCAGCTTGACACTGGTCAGCTCCCCGACCCCACGTGAACGCGCCACATGAGGGATCACGCGTTACAGGAGGAAAATGAAAAACCTGATTCCAGAATCCTAAGCAAATCTCCCCGCTGGTGTCCACACAAGGCGATCATTTCTCAGCAGGACACCAGCCTGAGGTGCCCTCCCGGGAGGGGCCAGCAGCCGAGGAGCCACCCGCCTGCCCGTGGGTGCCCACCTGGAGCAGGGTGCCCCCATCTGGGGCTGTTGCCTGCGGTTCCCTCCTCGGGTGTCTGGGGCATTGGCGTCCCAAGGCCCTCGGGAAGTGCCGCTTCTCTGCCAGGTGGTCTCTGCTCTGAGGACAGTGAGGGGCACGGGCTGGCCGAGGCGGAGCCAGCTCTCCTCCACGCAGGCGCTCAGGGAGGGCGAGGACCGGACGAGCTTTCCTGCGGGCTTGTGGGGGCCCAGGAGCCACTAACTGCTGAGGAGCCGCGCTTTGGCTATCTGCGGGCGCCCAGCCTCGCGCTCAGGATGGAGAGCACACTCCCGGGGCCAAGGGCCTGAGCTGCTCCCCTGCGGGGCTCTGGGCAGGAGCTGGACCATGGCATCAGGGCCCACTGGGCGGGGGCTCTAGGTGCTGGGCCGTGGGCTGGGGGAGCTTCCCGAGTGCCGGCCTCGGAGCCCCAAGAGGACAGGCCTGGGGCAGCTGTGAGTGGTGGGAACGGGAAGGTGCTCGAGGCCAGGGCAGGCAGGCGGGCTCTGCTCCCTGGGGGGGGCCCATGCCCACAGTCTCCATGCGCGCACACATGACACAGCAGGACTCTGTGCATGCCCGTGTCTGTGCATGTATGTGCACCACACACAGTGCATGGCAGAGCACGTGTGCCACACACATGCAATACAGGCACATGAGCATGCTGTGTGCGCACGTTACTATGCATGCTGTGCATGTATGCATGTGGTGTGGGCATGCTGTGTTCACGTGTACATTGTGTACGTGCATGCGAGTGTGTTGTGCATGCATGCACATGTGCTAGTCTGTGTGTTTGTTTGCACACGTGTTCTTGTGCACGTGTGCATGTGTGTGCTGGTCACAGGGCAGGAAGCCCACTAGCAGGAGCAGCTCCGTGCGGCCTCGCTGAAGGCTGGGGCCCTGCTAAACAGGCAAAGGCTGCACTGGAGGCTGCTGGTCTGGAGGGGACGTTGCTGCCCCTGAGCTCTCAGCAGCACAGCTGCAGGCGGTTCCCTCCCTGCGGAGAGCGGTCAGCGTGGGCCGAGCACTCACTACAGAGGCAGCGGCAGCGACCGTCAGGACCCCAGTGCTGGTCTGCTCAGCCAGCCCGACAGCAAGCTGATGGCGCCCTTCCGGAAGCACCCACGGGCACTCACCCAGCAGGCGGAGGGTGGAGGCGGCTGAGGTCGTGCCCAGGGCGTTGGCCGCTATGCACATGTAGCTCCCGCCGTCGTCGGTGGACACGCTCTGCAGCAGCAGGGACCCGCCGGGCAGGACGGTGGCACCGGCGCCCAGGGGGCCTCCTGTCCGGGACCACGTCACATTGGGTGCAGGGACACCTATGGGAGAAGCACAGGCGGGACAGGGCATAGCCCTGAGAACAACTCCAGGGCGGTCTGATGGGTGGCAGAGTCTCGCGTTCCAACCACAAGTTGCGGGCGGGACTGGTCACGTTATAGGGCGGTGGCGGTTCGGGTTTCTGTTTCTGTAGCAGGAGAGTGAGAGTGACTGATGGGCTGGCAGGCAGGGCTGGCAGGCAGGGGCCAGGAACCGCGACCCCAGAAGGGGCTCTGGGGTTGCGGCTCTGCGCGGCAGGAGGGCAGTCTGCTGTTGGGAGGCGCGGGAGAGCCGTGGGCTGCGGGGTGCAGAGACAGCAGACCCCAGAGGGCGGCTGCCACACCTGACGGGCACCAACACTCCTGCAGGGGCACAGAGGCCTCGGGGAGCAGTCGGAGTCCCTGATGCTTCTGGTAAATGCAGGCCTTCCTTGGACCGTGGGGCCTGGAAGCAGGGGTCCTGGGGGTGGATGGAACATCTGTGCCCAAATCTTGAGCCGTCTCAGCCATCTGCTGGGCTGGCGAAGACAGAACTCAGGGGAACCCCACTTGATCTGGGGGGGCATCTGGGCCTGTGGTGACCGGCTGTGGCGTCCCCTCCTGCGGCGGGCACTGGCTGGCGTGACCAGGGCTTTCCGCCAAAGGGGCTGCCACCAGGTGACGTGCATGGAGCGTGGCTGCAGTACCAGGTGCACCAGACGGCCCAGTTCCCCCCACAGCGCCCGCCGTTACTGCCCCTCTGACCGAGGAGGTGCCATCTGGGACAGCTGCCCTGTCCCTGAGGGCTTGTGCCGGTCCCAGGTCTCTTGGGTATTCCTGCCACAGCGGACGTCCCTCACTTCCCGCCCTTGCGCCGAGCGCTCACACCTGCGCAGTGTGCCTGGACCGCCTCAGCCGCGCGTGGGGCACCTCGTGTGGGCCCCGAGCTGGGCTGGGCACCTCACGGTCCCCGCGAGATGGAAGCAGGCTCTGTCCTGGCGCTCTGCGGCCACCCTGGCTCGGCCAGGCGACGGACACTTGGCCCTGTGCAGGCGGCTCCCTCGATGGTGTCTGGACGGTTCCTGGATGGGCTTCTGCCAGCGGTCAGCACCTGGACTTGGTGCCGGCGGCCTCCCCATCCTGCACCGGAGCTGCCAGCCGGGCATGGGCACCACAGGCCTCGGCAGCAGCACGGAGCACAGCGGGCGCCCAGCTCATGGGCCTCAGGCGGGGTCACGGGGTCCGTCGCCAGCAAGGCCGACGCTTCTGGCTCCTGGGTGTCGCCATCAGGCCGAAGACATCCTGTTTCTAGCTCCACCAAGTTTCTGAGTCTCCAAGTTAATACGTTGCCTGCGGCGTGGCCCCGACTCAGCTGTAGTGTGGCCGCCGCTCAGAGGGGCCCGCATACTGCCCGCGGGGTCTCACGTGGGGGTGTAAGAGCACCCTGAGAAACCTGGTCGAGAAGGGGCTCTGGGGTCGCAGCTGGAGCTGCCTGGTGCAGGCTGGGAGAGGGACAGGGTCCCGGGGGAGCCCTGAGCTGACCCTTTGGGACACATCCGGGGCGAGAGGGTTCTCAACAGTGGAGTGCGGGAGTGAAGGGCCTGGACACAGAGGAAGGGACAGCCGCGAGCTGCCCCCGTGGCGAAGGCTCAGAACTGCTCCAGACGCGGGACTCATCAGTATCGGCCGGCGGCTGCGCAGACTGTACGACGGCAGCACGATCAGACCATCGCCTCGTTTCTGGAAACTGAAGCTCCTTCCATTTTCTGCAACACGTACAGCGCGGAAGGAACATTTCTGCGCATGCGGGTTTTTACGTCACTGGGATTATTTTTAAGAACCAAAGCAGCAGACTGGAATCTGGGTCACAGGGCACCCAACCAGCTGTGCCTTCGCTCAGGGCCTGGAGGTGTCCGGGACTCCGAACGCTCACACCTGCTGGAAAGCCTCCACCCACAGGGTGAGCTCTGCGCCTCGGGAAGGGCCGCCTGCCCCGCGGGGCCTGGCCCCGAGCCCGTGGCAGCCAAGAAAGCCTGGGAGGCGGAGACGCCAGGGCCGTGGGGAGCAGAGGACACAAAGTTAAAAGCATTTCCCTGTTGGGGGGCTTCAGGGCTAACGCAGGGAAGCGCGATTTCGCCGATGTCTGGCTGCATCAGGAGCCTCTGCGACCAGGCTTGATGATGCCCTTGCGGGGCTGGGTTTTGAGGAGGTCTTTGTGGCACAAGATCATGTGGCCAAATCCCCGAACACAGCCTCGCCCCGGAGCGTGACCTCACCAGCTGCCGGTCTCTCAGAGTGTGGAAGCCAACGGCAGTGGCTGGACGGTCTGTGGTCCCGAGTTCCCCTGTAGCCTCCCCCCGAAACAGAGCTGGGCAGCACCTGTCTTGAGGGGCCGCAACCACAGGAGCTCCCTGAAACTTGGGAGCCCCTAGAGTCAGCTCTGCAAAGAGTGGAGGTGATGCCAGCAAACTGCAGGGACAAGGCACCTCAAAAGAGAGGCTCTCCCCTCCGCCAGCAGCCTCGAGAACGACCCCGGCCCCTAGAGTCCACGGCGGGCAGCGCCTGTGTAGACGGAGTCTCTGTGCCCAGGGGGCGGGCCAGCTGGAGGAGGCGGAATGGAGGAGGCGGATTGGAGGAGGCGGAATGGCCGGAGGGAGGCGCGTCTGCGTCTGAGTGAGCAGTGCAGCCGACAGCGCCCAGACACCACTCACCAAGCCCAGGCCCGGATGAATGGCCGGGGCCCGGCTGGCTACGTCCACAGGGAGGCTGACCAGCCCCTGCACTCTGCCACCACCTCCCTGCGTGGGTCTGCCCCCGTGAGCACCGCTGAGCAAGCGGTCAGGTCCTAGCCCGAGGGACTGGCCGGTCTCTGCCTCGGGGTGCCCCATCGTGGCAGGAGGCCGATCCGCTGCCCCAGGCCCCCTCACCTCGCACAGGACACTGGATGGTCACGTTGGCTCCCGGGGCCACCTCCACGATGCCTCCAACCACAACGGTCAGCCGGCCGGGCTCCGGGCTGCTGGTGTTTCTTTCAATAGACAAGATGACAGGCGCCTCTTAATTCAAAGGGAGCAGGAGACAACATTAGGGCCAAGCTGCTGCTCCTGGAAACCGAGCTGCATCTGCACCTGTGTGGAGCCTGGACCCGCCGGCACAGCCTGGGGGCCGCGGGCAGATGCGGGCCGGGCAGGGGCGGTGGACGGAGGGGTGGCACGTATATGGACAGACGGGCACGTGGGTGAACAGATGGACGTGTGCGTGCTGTGTGGGCGAGTGGTCAGGTGGGGGGGGTGAATGGACGGGTGCACAGACAGGCAGGCGAGTGGACGGAGGGCGTGGCGTGGTGTCCAGAGACTCCACTGCAGCAGCCACACACGGGCTGAGAGAATTTTCTACCCGAAACAGAGGGTCAGTCCCTCGTCCACAAGGTTCGGCAGCTCGGGGGGTGGGGGGGCGCAGGCAGGTGGGACGGGCCCCGAGGCCCTTGTGGGGCAGAGCAGAACCTGGCATCCCAGGACCAGGTGACCTGACAAGGGCACAGAGACTCGGGGTTGTTTCATGCCTGGATTTCCAGAACCACGGCCCTGAGCGTCAGCGTGTGAAGGCGCCGCGGCGCATGTGTGCTGGAGCTGGGGATGCTGATGGTGCCCGCTCGCCCCGGGCCACTCTCCCAGCACTGCAGGGCTGTGGGCACTAGGCGGCCTCTCAGGTGTCTCCTGTGAGCCAGGGCCGAGCTCCCGAAGGGTCTGAGCCCCAGAGGAGCCCGGAGGAGCCTGCTCTCCTGCCCTGCGCCTGCCCCGGCGTGGTTGCCATGTGCTGGGAGGCAGCTCTGGAGAGCGCACGGCTCTGCGTTGGGCCAGTGTCAGAGACATGTGGGCGGGCGTGGGGAGGTCGTCCTCTGAGGGCCTGACCAGCCTGCCTGGCGTGGACTGTTCTGGATGGACTAGGGGAGACTTTCGGCTGCTGGGGGGTGTTTAGCCCCCCAGGAAGTCCAGAGCCGCTGTTTTTTGGAAAAAGGGGGCTCGCAGGAGGGACAAGCCAGCCGGGCGAGGCTGAAGCCTCCTCGGGAGTGTGTGTGGGGGGCTTGGAGTCCACCCTCAGACCGGGATCCTTGGAGTCAAGGGGCCCCCACGCCCTGCCAAGGGGTGGCAGGCGCCCGGCTCCCCCAACACACCCCCGCAGGTCCTCCCGCGAGCCGGAAGCCAGAGCCGCAGGGCGCCACCTGCCTCTTGGGAGAGAGTGGAAGTCATGGCTTCCTGAAGGGCCCCTGCACCCGAGGCTGAGGAGGAGGCGGGGCCGCCCCAGGGGACGGCCCGAGCTTGCAGGATGCGCGCACGGGTAAACTGTCCAGCAAGCTCCGATGCTCGGAAAGGCGTTCACCGGAGGGTCCCTCAGAAGGCGCGGCCCTCAGCACCAGCCTCACAGGCCACGCTGCCCTGCCTCCACCCGCACCGCAGGGGGGCCCAGAGACCCTGCTCTGGCAGTGGGGTGCCCTGTGCTGCCCCAAGCCCAGGCTTACCTGCGAACAGCACGGGGGAGCTTTCTGCATCTGAGCCGAGAGGGCTGGCCACGGAGCACCCATACACCCCCTCTTCTGCCCTTGTCGGGTCCCGTATCTGCATCTTCCCCTTCCCGTCCCAGGTTATCCTGCAGGACAGACAGCAAGGAGGGTCCGCGTCGACTCAGGGCACGGCAAGTCAGAGAAGGACATTGCGCAGCCCAGCCGTGGGTGGCCGGGACCCCGGGCTCTGGCCAGGCACCAGTGCTGGATGGTGTAGCCCCTGCAGGACTGAGGGACCCTGCTCTGGGTTTAGACCCCGCAGGGCAGCGGCAGGCGTGGAGACCCTGGCGACTCTGTGCACTGGGCTTGGCTTCGCCGTCCGCCTTCTCTAAAGGACAAGCTGCAAACCCCTTATTTTGGTGGCTCAGTGGGTGAGAATGCGGAGCCCAGCCCCCCACCTCCCACAGGCCTGGGCCTCGCCGGCCTGTCCCAGGTTGGGGAGCACCAGGGTCCCCTCGGCCCTCACGCCAGCTGCTGCTCTCTCTAGGGCGTGTGAATATGAGTGTGTGCCCGGGTGAGCGTGTGTGCCTAGGGGGCACCCCCACCAGTACGGTCTGGGGTGCCCAAGCGGCCACTTTTTTTTTTTTTTAAAGATTTATTTATTTATTTATACAAGCACGGGGTACAGTCAGAAGCACGGGAGGGTGAGAGAATTCACCAGAGCCAGAGCGGGGAGCAGAGCAGGCAGAAGGACCGAAGTACACCGCTGAGGGGAGCAGCGGGCGGCAGGAGAGGTCTGCGCGCCATGTGGACCCTCCTCCGGTGGCCGGGGAGCAGCCGGGGATCGAACCGGCGCTGCGCAGAGCAGCGGGCAGCTTCGCAACCCAGCGTTCAACCGCTGCGCCACCGGGGAGGCCCGGCCACTTTTTTTTTTAAGCATATATATTTTTTTATGAATTCCCTCTTAGGAATCTTTTTTTTAAAAAACATTTTTATTTATTTATTTATTATTTATTTATTTATTTATTATTTATTATACATGCACTGGGTACAGTTAGAAGCGCGGGAGGGTGAGAGGATCCCCCAGAGCCAGAGCGGGGAGCCGAGCAGGCAGAAGGACCGAAGGACACTGCTGAGGGAGCAGCGGGCGGCAGGAGGGCTGCGCGCCATGTGGACCCTCCTCCGGTGGCCGGGGAGCAGCCGGGGATCGAACTGGCGCTGCAGAGGCTGCGGGCAGCCTTGCAACCCAGCGCTCAACCGCTGTGCCACCGGGGAAGCCCCCAAGTGGCCACTTTTGTCCCAGAATCCAATGTGACAGGAACGCACACCTGATTACAGATTTGGGTACATGGCAGGTTTTTTTTAAATGAACAGAATGAGCCGGCCAGGTCAAGGAAAACAATAGACACAACTAGTTACTGATGTTAAGCTAAGGTTTCGAGAGAAAATCAGAATTCTGGGGTGCTGGTGTCCTCCCCCAGGCGTCGGCACTTCCCAACCCGATGCCCTGCCCAGCGTGGAGCTGCTGGGGAGCCCAGACTGGCCTACGTGGCTTCCGTGTTTCCTGCACAGACCAGCAGCCCTGAGACCCCGGCGCTCTCTGTGCCCCTCTTGGCCAAGAGCCCCCGGAGGGACCTGGGGTTCCTGGGTTTCTGTCCAGTCTGACCGCCTGTTGTGTGGCCACCCAGTGTCTGCCTCACTGACCGGCGCGGGGCGCGGCCCAGGACAGAGGCGCCTTCTGTGCGGCATGGCTGAGTGCGTTGGCGCCGGGAAGGGCGTCAGCTCCACCCAGACAGTCCCAGTGACAGTGAAGAGCCACATTCTCCCGGGCTGCTGTGGCCCCGCTCGAGCGCAAGCCCAGCCGCGCCAAGACTGTTCAGCTGTGCAGGCACAGCAGGCCCAGGCCTCGGCCCGGCTTCCACAGCCCACGGCCTGCCCAGTGCAGCACAGGACGAAGGGAGAAAATCCACGACCGCCAGAGCGTCCTGCTTTTGCAGTGACCACGTGCACGAGGCCACACTTCCTTCATGACCTGCAACTGCTGCCCCCTCGCTCAGACCCAACGCAGGGGCACGGGCGGGGCCCGCTGGGGGTAAACCGGACTGCAAGCGGCGCTCGCGGGCGTGAAGCGACGGTGCCAGGAGGCTGTTTTGGGAAATACCGCTCTGCAAAAGTCCTGTTATTCGTGAGAAACGTCACGGGCGTATGACTGTATTTTTTAAATGGACGAATAAACAGGTTTTTAGAATGGTTCTTCATTTTAATTTCCAACACGATAAACCCGAACCACAGGCTCAGTTACTGGAGCGTCTCGGGCCCGGTCACTCCCAGGTGGAAAAGGGTCCGAGGGCGGAGGTTCGGGGGCCGCACGGGCTGTGCAGAGCTCCAGCGTGGGACACCTGACACTTCCCACCTTTTGATTCGATGTCACCGCCTAGTATTATAAAGCACTGACTTTTACCGAGATTTCTTGTGATATTTCACAGTTAGGCCGCTGCCCGAAAGACAGGATAAAAATAAAACTGACATTTTTTAAGGACCTTCTGTTCTGAAAAACAACCTAACATCTGCTGTTTTGTTGCTGATTTAAACGCTCCCTAGAGGCAGACCGCGCGGCCGAGCCCTCCACGCGGAATGAAAGCAGCAAGAGCCGGGGCCTGCAGGCCGCAGCCTGTCGGATGCGGGGCTGTGTCTCCGCCCAGGTCCGAGCCAAGTGACGGAGCGTGGCCATTACACAGCAATCACAGCAAAGCAACCGTGGCTCCATAGTGTCAAAATGTCCCAATATCCCAAAAAGTTTTCATCTTTATCCTTTGGATTAGATGGATTTTGCAACAAACACAGAGATCGGGCGGCCCAGACGTCACCCACACCCTCCTTCCGAGGCCACCGTCTGTGTGTCTCCGGCGCCCGGGGGGTGTCCAGCACACTCGTTCCCACTGGCCTTGGACGCGGGGCCCTCTCAGAGCTGCTGGCCCACCCCACACCATGGGGCCGCCGTGAGCGCCTGGACGTGAGGCCTGGGAGGGCACGGGGAAGCCCTGTGTCAGTGTGGGCCGGGCTAGCTGCATGACCCGCACGGCGGCCCTGGGAGGACGCAGGTGCCTGGACACACGGTGCCCGTGCAGACAGCTGCACGCCCGGCGTCTCCTTGCAAGCCCTGCTGACAACACTGCAAGAAGGAATGTGAAGCGCTTCCCAAGGACGGGGCAGTGGGGATGGCTGCTCTGCGGACTTACTTCCTGGAGGACTGCAGCGATGCTCCGTCCTTTGTCCAGGCGTAGGTGGCCTCACTGGGGGTGGCCAGCTCGCACAGGAGGCTGATGACCCGCGTGGCCTCCGTGATGTACACCGTGCCTCCAATTCTGGAGTGGACGGTCCTGCTGAAGGTGACGGAGGGGCCCTGGCGTGACCGCCTCAGCACAGGCGCCTTCGGCCTGTGGGCCGGGCTGCCCCAGTGTCCCCTGCGCAGGCTCTGGGGCACACTGTTGGCACTGCCCCTCAGCTGGGCGGCGGGCGGCACTTCTTCCTGGCTGTCCCCCTCGGGCAGGCGGGCAGGCGGTGCGGGGGCCAGGCTGGCCACCAGTTGGTAGATGAGCTGGGAGGCCAGGTCGTCGCTGACCTCCCCAGTCTCCAGGAGCCGGCTCATGTTTCTGATCAGATCGTCGAACTGGGCGGCGTCCATGCTGTAGGCGCCCTGCTTGAGCGCGGCCTCAAACTGCATGTCCAGGAGTCCCCCGGGGGCCGAGGCCTCCGCAGAACTGGGGCAGCCGCCCAGCAGGGCCCGCAGGAGAGGTGGCCGCCCAGCCTGCCCAGCATCCGGGTTGAGCTCGTTTCTGCTCCTCCACATCTGCCTCATTTGGTGCCACGTGGCCCCCAGAGAATCGGCGTCAGGACGGGGTTCCCCCGGGCTGCCCCCGCTGGGCTCTGGCGGCGCCACAAGCCGGTTGTCAGTGCCGATGAGCTTGAGCACGAGCGAGTCCCGGGCTGGGCCGGCCACGCACTGGTACGTGCCCGTGTCGGGGGCCGCTAGCCCCTGGATCCTCAGGGCGCCGGCCCTGGTGACACCCAGGCGCGCGGAGCTGTGCAGGCAGCGGCCGTCCTTCTCCCACCGGATCAGCGACTTCTGGAACCTTCTCACGGGGCACCTGACCACCAGCGACGTGTTGGGCAGCAGGTAGGCCCTGCTGCCCACAGTCAGGCTGACGCGCTTCTCCTCCCGCGTCTGGATGTAAACCCTCTGGACACCGAGGATCTGGGGTCCCTGCTCCCCAAGTTTGGGCTTTGTGTCTGGCTTCACTTCTGCTGGAGGGAAGAGATGGAAACACCCACAGGCGTGTCGGTGACACGGCCCTGCAGCGCGCTCCCAAGACTGTGGCTCCACAGATGTGCCTTTTCCCTCTTTTAAAACATTTGAGATCAAAACTTGCGTCACGATGTGACCTGTGGGGGGCAAACCGCCCAGTTTCCAGGCCTGCAGCAGCAAAGGCTGCGGCGTGGACGGATGGCATGAAAACACGCGAGTTGCTGGACACAGCGCTCTGTGGGGAGGCCCTGGGGGCACTGGCTGGACAACTCAGGGGCACCCTGGTTGGCCAGAGGAACCCCTGGGGCCCTTTGGGTGGCTCACGCATCCTGCAGGGCCAGCGGACCACTGGTCGGGAACAGGCTACCCCAGCTGGTTCCAGCTAAAGGGCAGGGAGTGCTCTGACACCACCCCGCCTGGCTCAGCCCAGGTCGAACCCAGGCACTGCAACATAGACTGGCTGCCCACAGACCGAGGCCCCCACTTACCGGGGCAGGCGGGCATCTGGCAGGGCTGCACCAGCGGGGGCCCCGGGAGCCCCCGGCACATCAGCTCACTGACCGCCACACGCCGGCCTTTGGCCGTGAGCTTCTGACACACCTGTGTCCTCCGCTGGGTCCCCGCACCACAGCTCACGGAGCACTGCAGGGAGGAAGCACGGCCTGAGCACTGCCCTGGGCACACAGGAGGGAGCACGGCCTGAGCACCATGCCCGCCACGGGCACTTGGAAGGGAGCACGGCCTGGGCACCACACCCTGAGCACACAGGAGGGAGCACCACCCCGGGCACTCGGGGGGACGCAGGCATCCAGGCACCAGGCTGGCCCACGCCGTGGATGGTGTGGAGGGCGCTTCTCTCCCTCTCTGGCTTTTGCCTCCCCCTCCCTTCACCCCTCGGCAGCTCCTCTCCGCCCTCCTACGTTTCTTTCTATGCGTCATCGATTGTTGGGGGCTTTTCTGGGTGCAGGTGCTCCGTGCCCGTGTCGGCTAAGTTCACACAGCGTGGCCTCCACTGGAGGGAGGCGCCTCAGGCGGTGCCCCCGCCCCCCAGGAGCCGTACTCCTCCCCAGGAGGCCCCATCCTCTCCTCAGAGCAGACCTGACCGGGGCCAGGGTGTGCCCTCCCGGGGGCGGTGCTGGGCCCTCGCTGGGCCGCCTCTGCCAGCTCCTCCCACCGCCTGCTTTCATCCGTCTGCTGTGCTCCCCGAGCCGCCGGCAATCCCGGGTCTCTCGACCGTGAGCACCCCCAGCTTCTGGCCTGCCCTGCACCCGCCGGCTCTTCACTCCTGCTGTCATCACCCCGCTCCCGCTCATCCACTGCGGGCTGTTCCCATCTCTCGCCTTCGTCTGTCTCATTTTATGACGCCGAGTTCTCTTTCACCTGCCGCGGTGGCTGCGCCCTGCACGCTCAGCGCGCGCCGGGGGTCGCGCTCCTGGGAGCACGGCGGCCTCTTCTGTGCTCGAGGGCCCGTGAGAGACAGGGCGTTTCAGGCGGCGCTCACGACGGGCGCTCCCTGGGTGCGCGAGGGGCACCGGGCCCTGCTGTGGCTCTGAGGTGTACCTCCTGGCTCCATCTGCCATGGCCGCGGCTGCTTCTCCCGCAGCCATCACTGCCCAGGCTTGGCCGGACAAGTAGGAAGCGGATACCCCCAGGCTGGCCCAGTGCCCCAGACCCCTGCACCCAGGCCCGCGCCCCTGCACCAGCCCTGACCTGGAGGAAGGACCGAGCCAGACGGAGGCCAGGCGCATACCTGGGACCAGTTCCCCGGGCTCAGGTGAGGCGGGCACTCAGTCCTGGCACAGGATTTGTGGGACGAGGCCCTGGGGCCTGGGCAAAGCTCGTCTGGGAGGCTCAGGGAGCTGCCGTCCGTCAGCAGCTGCCGGCAGGTGACCCTGCGCCGCTGGGTGCCGGCCCCGCAGGTCCTGGAGCACTGCGGAGAGAAGGGGCGGTCGGCGGCAGGGGCGGGCGCAGCGGGCTCTCCCCCGGGGCGGGGCCCACCTGCTGCCAGTCCTCCACGTGCCAGCGGGGCGGGCAGTCGTACTGGCTGCAGGCTCGCAGGGTGTGCGGCTTCTCGTCTCCGCACTCCTCGGAGGCGGCGGGGGGCTCCCCAGCGTGCAGGCACAGCACGTCCCGGCTCTGGATTCCCACGCCACAGGTCGCCGAGCAGGGCCCCCACGCGCCCGTGCGCCACCTGGAGGGACAGACGAGGGGCTGAGCTGCCCCGGGGCCGCGGGCGCTGCAGTTTCAGGCCCCCTGGCTCAAGACTCACCCCCCGGAGCCCAGCCCATCACGGGCGGGAGGAACACAGGAAGAAACACGCGGGTGTTTAAGGACGTCCCCTGCTCGGGAAGGACCAGCGGGAAGGGAGGCGTCTCCCGCCCTGCCCACCGGGCTCGCAGCAGCCCGCCCGCCTCGCCAGAGCCTGCGCACGCGACGGACAGGGCATCGGGGCGGCAGGTGTTACAAGGCACACTCCAGGGAGTTTTCAGGGCACCTGGACTTATTTGGAATATCCCGAAAAAATTCTTTTAAGATAGAATTTACAACACACGCGCACACAGATGTGTTTCCTTTCCAATAAGATCTCGGAAAATTCAGGTTTTCTCATGAAACTGCTGTAAGAATGAAGAAAGCAAGCAGCTGCTTTTGCTGAATTTTCCGTTTCCAACAAGGAAACGGACACGTGAAAGGACGCCCCAGGACGGCGGAGCCCCGTCCCCGACGGTGCCGCCCCTCTCCCCGACTGCTGGTGGCTGGCGGCAGAGAAGCCCTAGTCTCGGCTCTCTGACTTTGTGGCTATTTAATTCCTAGTCCAGTGAATTTTTAGCCATAGAAACATTTGCCATAGAGACGTTTCTCCAGGAAAGAATCTTTAAATGCTTAAATGTACTTAAGGAGATGTTTACACTCCAGCATAGTCTGTAAAAGCAACCAATATTAATTGAATTTAAATTAATTAAACCTAAGGGCCTCCCTGGTGGCGCAGCGATTGAGCTCTGGGTTGCGAAGCTGTCCGCAGCCTCTGCAGTGCTGGTTTGATCCCCGGCCACCGGAGGAGGGTCCCACATGGCGCGCAGACCTCTCCTGTCACGCCCGCTGCTCCCCTCAGCAGTGTCCTTCGGTCCTTCTGCCTGCTCTGCTCCCCGCTCTGGCTCTGGTGAATCCTCTCGCCCTCCCGTGCTTCTGACTGTACCCAGTGCATGTATAAAAAATAAATAAATCTTTAAAAAAATTAATTAAACCTACGAAATGGGAGGAAAGGTCTCAGGCCTAATATTAAGGGTAAAATAAATAATTGTCCATTGATACAGCACAATTCTAGCAGCCACTAAAATAAGAAAACAGCAATTGTCATTGATACAGAAATACATTCATGATTTTTTAAAAAGGTTTATTTATTTTTATACAAGAGCTGGGGTACAGAGGCGCAGAAGGATGAGAGGACTCACCAGAGACAGAGCGGGGAACGGAACAGGCAGACTGACGAAACACACTGCCGAGGGAGCAGTGGGTGCGACAGGAGGGGTCTGCTCGCCATGTGGGCTGCTCCCTGGTGGGCCGGGCACTCGAGCTGCAGTCTGCGGATTGCTTCATAGTGCGGGGCTCAACCCCTTGTGTCACCAGGGAGGCCCTGATCCTACTATTTTGAAGTTGAAAATTGCCACAAATTTTTAAGAAACCGGTGAATTCCCACGTTATTTAAAATACACCAAAGGAAACGAGCTTGCTGCACATGCACCTACACGCTCACACCGCGCAGCCAGGAACACCTGATGTGTTCACCGGCTGCGCGCACACCCGCGCATGCACACCCGCACACGCACACCCGCACACGTGCACCCGCACATGCACACCCGCACACGCACACCCGCACCCGCGCACCCGCACATGCACACCCGCACATGCACACCCGCACACGCACACACGCACACGCGCACCCGCACATGCACACCCGCACACGCACACACGCACATGCGCACCCGCACATGCACACCCGCACATGCACACCCGCACACCCGCACCCGCACATGCACACCCGCACACCCGCACATGCACACGCGTGTCACACACGGGACATGAGCGCACGGCCGCAGTCCACGTGCTGACCAGGCCTCCGTCCAGCTCCACCGCTGCGCGGCACCGGAGGCCGGGGCACCCCGCACGCGCGGCCGCCCGGAGGGCGCGGGCCGGTCCCGAGCCAAGCCGCCCGCGCGTTGGGGCGCTCTCGTGGCCCCCCGGAACGAGCGCCGAGGGAGCCCCACGACCGGGTCTCAGCCGGGGCCTCGGAGAGGCCGGACCGCGCTGCCCAGGGCTCGGCCGGCCGCGCGCGAGCCCTCCCGGGGCGGCCCCACCTGGCCCGCCTGCGGGGCCGGCACTGGCTGGCCGGCAGCGCGTGCCCCTGGGCCGTGGGGGACGGGGCGGCGGGCCGCCCGGCCCGGCTGACCGCGAGGGGACATGGGGCTGACCCAGCGCGGGGGGGGGGGGGGGAGGGGGGGCAGAGAGCCCAGGACAGGGGCGGAGCCAAGGAAGCAGGTGGAGCCAACAATGGTGGGGCGGGGCCAAGGGCAATGGGTGGAGCCAAGGACAGTGGGCGGAGCCAATGGCGGTGGGCGGGGCCAAGGACAGTGGGCGGAGCCAAGGACAGCAGGCGGAGCCAACATTGGTGGGGCGGGGCCAAGGGCAGTGGGTGGTGCCAAGGATAAGGGCGGAGCCAAGGACAGCAGGTGGAGCCAACAATGGCGGGCGGAGCCAAGGACGGTGGGGCGGGGCCAGGTACAGTGGGCGGAGCCAAATACAGTGCAGAGCCAAGGCCAGTGGGCGGAGCCAAGGATGGGGCGGGGCCAAGGACAGTGGGTGGAGCCAAGACAATGGGCGGGGACGGGGCGGGACGGGGCCAGGGCGTGGCACTAGGACTGACACGGAGCCGGGGCTGCAGCCGCCCGGTGGGAGCGGTGGGGAGAGGGACCCCGCGAGTGGTGCAGCGGCCCCGGGGAGCTGAAGACGAGCTGGGAGCTGGGAAAGCCACAGGCGAGAAGAGCCTCGAGGGTGAGAAGCTGGCAGGTCGCTGGGGGGGGCCGGGGACTGAAGCTGACGCACGAGTCAGTCTGTCCTGCGTCCTCCAGTCTGTCCTAGGCATGGGGATCGCTATTCCAGCCGAAGACTGGGGCTTCCCTAAGGCCTTGTGAGCCGTTCTGCAAATGCCGCCGGCCATGACCGCGAGCCCAGGAGGGCAGCAGCGTCCTACACAGCCCTGGGCCCGGAGTCCCTCTCAACCTCCCAGTTCTGAGATTTCCACCCCGAAGCCTCCTCCGGGCAGGCATCTGGTGCACACGACTAGTCCCCACTACAGGGAAGCAAGCCGTGAAGCTGCCCGCAGCAGCATGGAGGGGCGGAGGACACACTCTCTTCTGTCCAAAGACACGAGGGCCCAAGACAGAGCAAACTCCAGCCGTGGGCACCCACGCTTTCGTCTGCCCGGTGACCCCTCACCAGCGATGCCCGGTCACGTGCGAGGACCACCTGGCAGCTGCACTCATGTGTAACTCCTGCTGTCACTGCTCTCAGGGCCGGAGGGGAAAAGCCCAGCACCAGGGCTGCCCTAGGGGTGTCCTGGGGGGGCATTTCACCCCCAGGCTGACACCGTGTCTCTGATCTGCAGCTGGGCCGGAGGTGGAGTCCAGTGCCCTCTCCCCGGGGCCAGATAGTCAGACTATGGCTGTATTGAGGCACCAGCAGAGATGGCCATGGGCTGTAACCAACCAGCCAGTCCTGGTGACCGCCCCTCCCGGCCACGGGCTCAGCGAGCAAACACCTTCGTTTACCACCCAGCACCCAGCTCCGCACCTTCTCGGGGACCACTAGGGAGGCCATTCTAAGAACCTGCACGGCCAGGAGAGCGGTCAGAGGCGCCGGTCAGCTGGCGGGCACTCTCGGGACAGACCGGACTCCCGACGCTTCCCACTCAAGAACGGGGCTGGGTCTGCTAGGGAGACCCCTCCCTCCACCTCCTGCTGTCCTACCCAGCACCCCAGCCCCCGCCCCAAGCTGAGTCCTGCAGAGAGGCCACCCCGCCTGGCCCGGCGGCCCTTGTGCTCCGCAGGTCTCCACAAGCCACGGGCTAGCTCCTGGAAAAAGAAAACTCCACAGACAGCAGACGGTCCGCAGCTGCGGGACGGGCCCAGGAGTGACCCCTATGAGCAAATAAACGCGCAACTCCCACCTTGGAGTGTCCAGGCTCACGCATCAAATCCGCTGGCCTGTGGGGAAGCGGCCCATCTCCGTGGGGAGTCCCCCCCAGGGTGATATTTTACTGCGATTGCCCTTGGAGGCGGTAAATATTTGCATGGAAAATATTATGCAACCCCCCGTCCTGTTATTCCTACCCCACTGGTTTCTAGAACCTACAACATTTTTGTAAACTTACCTTTATTTTGGCATCGACACTTCGTCTCTGCTGGGATTTTCCAATCTAACTCTTAACCTTTGAAAGTTGATTACATTTGAAGCTTTGAAATGAGGAAGAGTATTTCCCTTCACAGCACACAGGCTCTTAATCTGGCAAAGCCGCCCCGGCCTCTCGTCTGCTCTGTTACCCTGCCTGGAAGCTCCGGCTGGGAAGGAAGGGTGGGACACAACCCCGGGCGAGGCCGGAGGGAGAGCGAGGCCGGTGGGGTGGGCGAGGCCGCGGGGCAGAAGAGCCCACAGGTACCCAGGCTGCACTGGGCCCCCGAGGGAGGGACACACCAGGCCCGCGGAAGCCAGCCGGGAGCAGGAGGCGGAGCCCCTGGGCTGCGGGGTCTCCCCCCACAGGCATCTGCGCCCTTGAGTCCCTCCCGGGAGCCCCGGCGGCTGCTGGCGGCTGAAGGTGCTGAGAAGCAGATGAAGGGGGCGCTGGCACAGTGGGAGCGGCCAGCAGAAAAGGGACAGCGCGGCCAGGATGGGGTGACGCTGAGGGAGGATGGAGAGGCAGCGGCGGCCGGTGTTCGCGCGGAGGTCAGTGAAGGACCGCACGGAACCCCAGCAGAACTCGGAGCAGAGCTGCCACCTCGGGAGGGAAGGGCCGCGCTTCTGTGGCGCTGGGGGGCCCTAACCGAGTAGGCCCTGCACCCCTAAGTCACGCACAGTGTAGGAACCGGTGCCACCTCACAGAGCAGCTGTGCCCGGCCCCGGCCTCCCGGGACAGTGCCGCCCGGAAGGGGACTGCGGCAGGGCTGGGTCCTGGGCCCACCTGGCTCTCGTCCCCACCATTGCAGCCTCCCCGTCACAGCCGTAGCTCCTGCGAACCAAGTCTGGGCCCTGAGGTCCCGGATGCATGGCTTACCCCCCAGTGAACACACAGCCCCCCGGCCCCCTTTGGGCAGGACGGGGCGACCCCATTACTCAGGTCACCACCCGCTGGCCAGCAGACCAGCCTCACCAGATGCTCGACGTGGCTGCTGAGAGGGTCTGGCAGGGGTTGGGGCAGGGACCAGGTTCTGGCAGTGGTTTTTACCCCAGCAGGGGAGCTGGGACCCCAAAGGTGACAGAGAGGACCGGAAGGTGGGCGTGGGGCTCTGTGACACCCAGAGATGGGGTGAGACCCTCTGGCCCCAGCAAGCCTCGGGACAGGCGCAGAGGGGGCACCTGTCCTCCCTGCGGGTGGGCCCGGCCCCCGAGGACCGGACAAGGGGCGGACGCAGTGGGAGCTCAGCCTTTCTGACCCGAGGAAACCAACGTTACCCTCCCCCTTCTCTCTCCCTCCTCGGGACCCCAGGCAGGTCCCCAGGATGCGTGGTAACGGGGTGTGGGTTCTAGGCCACCCACTGGCGATCACTCAGCCACTCAGTAAGCAGCTGTGCGCCTACTGCACGCCACCCTGTCTCTGCCGTGACCTGTGCGCTCTGACATGGTTTTGAGAGGAGACGCGGGCCCAGGAAGCGGTGAGCAGGGCGCGGCGGGGCAGAGCAGGCACTGGCGCCCTGGGGCGTACCTGGGTGGGCAGGGCTCCGTGTTGCACACCTGGCTCATGGCGGGGGGGCGGTGGGCCGCGTCGCACCAGGACTCGCTGACGGCCTGCTGGGTCTGCGCGTGCACACACACGGCGATGGCGTCCTGCCGGCCTGTGCGAGAGCACGGGACGCGGAGGGCTGGGGCGTCTCCTTGGCCGGGCACCTTGGCGCCTTCCACAGCCCCTATGCCTGGAGACTCACCCCTTGACATGCTGCCTGCAAACACCCACCCACCCTCCCCTCGCAGGAGGCGCGCCCATGCCGTGGACACCCCGCTTGTGCTTTCAGTTCCTGAGCGCCCTGCTCTCCAGGGCGGGGGCTGAACCCTGCATCCACAGCCACCCCAGCTCCGCCCAGAGCTGCAGCTGCACCCGCGGAGCTGGGCCTAGGGGGCGGTGTTGGCCCTGCAGTGCTGCCTGGACAGAAGGGCCAGCGGCCCTTGCGGAGGCCGGGATGTGCTGCTGGCCTGGGGCGGCGCCCGAGCACGGACCAGCACTCGCAGGCATCCAGCCCCAGTGGGTCAGTCCTGCCTTTACAGGACTCAGAGGCACCGTCGCGTGGAGGGCGGCATCCCTAGGCTCTTGAGGGGGGCAGGCACCCCTCACCCAGCAGGGAGATGGCGCTCCCCCAAGGTCGGCTCCCCCATGCTCGGCTCCCCCATGCTCGCCCTCCTACCTCCTGCAGTGCCAGCCCCAGGCCCCCCGGGGTGTCCTGCTCCCTGCTCATCCACTTCCTTTGCATCTTGGGAGCTTAAATAATCCTGGGGCCAGCTTCCACCCAGATGGGCCACCTGACTGCCCCACTGGCTCCTCATCCTAATGGGGACTCCACGCCTACACTCATGTAATCAGGCGTGGGGCGTGTTCTCCAGGCCACTCACCCTCGCCCCTCGGTCATGCAGAACCTGGGCCAGAGGGACACGAGGCCTGGCCAGGGTCCGTACCTCCCAGACACGTGGCGGTGCAGGGCGTGAAGCCAGCCAGCTCCCAGCCGTAGGCGGCCTCGCGGTCCTGGGCTGGGGGCTTGTCCAGCTCGCGGAGGGCGGGGCCCTGGTCGCAGGCCTGGAGGAGGCACGGCCGCTCGGTGGGCAGCGGGGGCCCTTTGCACTCATCCTGCGGCAGCTCAGTCTCCGTCTGCGTGAAGGCGAGGAGCACTCGGCACCTGACCGCTCGCACCTGGATGCCAGGCCCACACGTGGCGCTGCAGGCCGACCAGGCCTCGGGGATGAACCTGTGGGACCAGGGAGCCCAGGTGGGCAAGGGTGGTGGTCATGTTATAGGACAGGGAGAGGGGCAGCCGTTTCCCCCTAACAGTCAGACACGGCCTGGGGACATGGCTGCGAAGCGGGAGATGGCCGGCACTGGGGCCGCGCCCCTCAAGGGTCAGCACCGACCAGGGTCCAGTCTGCTCAGCAACGGTTCTCCCCCGGATGGGCTGGGCTGAGCACCTAGTCTGCAACCGGACTTGGCGACCATGCAAAACAGCACTAGAAGGGTTAAGATTAGGCAGTAAAGGAGCCCCAGGCAGAGCCCACCCCGATCTGATCTAACGACACGGAGGTCTCCGTTGGTTCGTGTCGTCTTCCTCCGCACCCCCTTGGCGCACAGGCGGGGCTGGCCGAGCCGTGTCCTGACGAGAGTCCAGGGGCTCAGCTCGAGGCGCCCTGCAGAGCTGGGGAGGCGCTAGCATTCCTACCTGGCAACACGTGTGTGTGGTCTTGGAGACAGCTGCGCGCAGTGAGGCTGAGGCGGCTCTCCCCGCCTTTGATCCCAAGACACCAGGGCGCCCCTGTGTGTGTCTAGTGTCCATCACGCACTGTGTGTGTGTGTGAGCCCAGGGCACGAGTGTGCTAACTGTGGGAAGTTCCCCGTGGGAACACCTGTGACTGGCGCAGTGCGGAGGGCGGAGGCTCTTACAGTTTGTCTCGCAGCCTCAAAGGCTTGACACCCACCCCCAGCCACGGGCACACTGTGCTCCAAGGCCATCCCTGGTCTCCTCTGTTCTTAGCAGTGAGACCCTGCGTGAGGGGCTGAGTGTTCTCTCCTGGTGGACCCCGTGTCTCCGCGGTCCCGCATGGCCCAGCAGGGTGGCGAGCTGGGGCCCGTCTTTTCCCGGGTGTCCTGGACTCTCAGGGTGCTCAGACACCCTGGTTAGGACGTCAGCTCTAGCAGACGTCAGGGCTCCCGAGTTAGCCGTGATTCGGGGAGGGAGAGGCAGGGAGGGAGAGGCACGCGGAGCCCACATCGCGTTCTCGGTGCGCTGCTGCTTACTCAGAGAAAAGGCCTTACAGCGCCCACGCAGTCCTGGGCCTGCTGTGCTTTGTCCCCCCTACACCCCCCTCCCCCGCCCTGTGATGTTTTTGGAGGGAAGAAAGGAGCAGTGCTGCAGGGTAGCAGCGAGGAGCATGCCGGGAGAAGCCTGGACGGGGACGAGTGTCCCCAGTGTGAGGACTAGCAGGACAGGATGGACTCAAGGGAGAACCAGAGGGAGGCGGCGCCAGGAAGGAGACCGCACACACCAAAGCGGGAGAGACACGCCTGCACAGCCAGCGTGGACGCCGAGGCGCGACCGGAGGTGGATGCAGTGCTGCCGGACAGAGCAGCGGAGAGGTAGGGGAGGGGCTGCGGGGCGGGGGTGGGGTGGGCTGACCTCCCCTGACGGGTGTGCGCTCTCATCTCATTGGATGTAAACTCTCTAAGACCGGCTGCTGAGCATGCAGCTTTAGAGAGACGTGCACCCGAGAGAATCTAAATATCCACAAGGGAAGAAAACTGGACTCTTCAAGCAGAGGTCACCATACGTGACAAAGTGTCCAGAGTAAAATATGGGAAAATGTGCCGAACACACACTTTGGAAAGGGCACTGTCTTCTAGGAGAAAGTGATTTAAAATGATCAATACAAGCACCTCGCATTGCAGGCTGCCCTGGGCACCCACACACAGGCCCGGAACGCGGGGACATGTGACACCTTGTGGCCAAGGAGCGCGGCAGACGTGAAGAGGGGCACAGACCACGGCCATGAGACCCCTATGGACTGACCCGCTGCACGCAGTCCTTGGAGACAGAAACCTCCCTGCTGGAGCCGCGGAGATGCAGCAGGGAAGGAGTTGGGAGGGCAGCCCGAGGAGCTGCCACGGTGCTGGCTTGGGACGGAGGGTGGGGCGCAGGAACGTGTGGCCTCTGGGAGCATTGCCCGGCCACAGCACAGGAAATGGAGGTTTTGGTTGTGCAGCTGCAGGGACCTGGACTCTGCAAGCCCCTGAATGAGCCTGGAAGTGAATCCCAGCCTGGGCCGCTGAGGACAGTGGCCGCAGCAGCCGTGCTGCAGAGCTGGGAGGCAGCCCTCCTGCCATTTAACAAGTTTATGGAGATCAGTTACAGTAGTTACAGAAGCACCTACACCTGGTCGAGAAACTGGGCCTTTGAGGATGAAGAATTAGCCAGGCATTATCTAGGCACAAAGCAAGTCGCCTGCAAGAACACAGAGCCAAGCGGGCCTCAGACTCACACAGCAGGCAAAGCCAGAGAGAGGGAGTGATGGACTGGGGGAGAGGCTCTGGATCGCAAGAGCACCGTGGCTGTCAAATTGCTCTTCAACTACAAGGGCAATCCTTTTCTGTAAATTAGGAACAATGACAGCACCTACCCAGTGGGGTGACACGAAGATCAAGTGTGATGATGTCATGGGGCAAAAGGTCAATGAGTGCAGTGAGATGAGGACAGAGACAGCTGACACCCATCGCGCTGCAACTCCTACGAGGCGCGAGTCTAGTATTTCACATAAATGTCACCTCTCGGGCATGACACCACCTTGTCAGGAAGTACTATTAGGAGTCCCACGGCACACGTGACAAAGCTGCCCCGAGAATGTGTCACGGTGGGTTCTGCAATTATGTTATGTGAGTGCAGCAGCACTGGAGGTGAGAGGAACGTTTTAAGATCATCCAAGATAACAAGAAAGGGTCCAGAGAAATTAGCAATATTGTTTGGGGACATTAATGAGTTTTTCCCTTTGAAGAATGAATGAACAAACAAAACTCCAATCTCTAATTGATAAAATAATTCTTCAACATAAAGGAAGAAGAATGTCACGTGTATTAGTGGAGGACAAGCGTATTTCAGAAAATACTTATTGTCAGAAACAGAAGGATATGTTAGAGCAACTACCGAAACCTTAATAATAATAAATACTATAATTAAAAGATAAAAGGTAGGCGTGAAAAGTTAAATTTTAAAAAATTTAGATTAATTAAAAAAAGAAAAACATGAAATAAAGCCAAGTATGTTTCTGTAACAGAAAAAGAAAATCCAAATGAGCATTTAGTGATGAAGAAAGCAAATGCTTTTGCTTGAAGAGTTTATAAAACAGAGAAAATAAGATAAAGATATGGAGGATGAAATCGGATGTTGAAAACAGAAGACATTCAAAACAGATAGTTGGTGAACTTTGAAGAATAGAAAAAAGATGTAAATATAATAGAAGAAAACTTTCATGCATCAAAGAGGGAGTTGAATCTACTCCCTAGAATCTATTCTAGTCCCCACTGTTTACCAAAACTATTGAAAAGAAAATAATACCTGGAGAGTAACACCGCTCACGCTGGCTCACTGCCGAGGGCACGTGTCCAAGACAGCCCAGCGCGAGACAGGGTGAGCTAGAAGCCCGACCCCTGTGGAGAGAAGTCACCGGGGTTCAAGCTGGGCCTTGGGGAGGTCAGGCCGTGCTGTTCCTCGACAGGCGAGGATAATGAGGTGCGGGTTTGGAGACCTGCCGCGGTCATGCGGCCCCAAGGGCCGAGCAGCCTGGGGTTCTCCTGGGATGGCCCAGCCCCCCCCCCCCCCCCCCCCCCGCGCCCGCAGCTTTAACGGCTTCTCAGAGGCTGCCTGTGACAGCCCCGGGCTGTCATCACACCCATGATGCTGGGACAGTCCCTGGTCAGACCCTCCCTGGCAGTCTAGATCCCGAGTTCTTAACAGTAACGACCCACAGGGTATGGAAGTAACGGGGCGCGACCCGAAGCGGGGCTGCCAGACGGTGAGGTCGAGACGCCTTCCAGCCAGCCCCGCCTCCCAGAGCCTCAGACCCAGGTCGTGGGGAACAAAACACTGCCTGGACCCCAGAGAGCACAGTCGCCCACACCCGCGCCCCCAGCCCAGCCGCCCCTGCCCGAGGCCGGACTCACGTCGGGTCCTCCGTGGCTGCTCTGGGCTCGCCGAGCTCTTGAGCCTGCTTCAGCCAAGGTGGTTCAGCTTCCACGGGGCTTTTTTCTAAGCGAAAAAACGCATAAAACAACAAGCCCCGTCATGGCCACCGCCAGAGGCTGGGCCTGCTGTCTGCTGGGGCCCGCAGGGGTGGCCATGCCTCCACCACACGCTGCGTCCTCCAGTGGCTCTGGATGGAACCAAAGTGCTGGTCACAGGTTATTAAGAGACACATTATCAAAACGCAGCCCAGGTGACCCGTGACACAGCTGCACTCGCTGTCCAAGCCCGCGGGAGACGCCTGTTTAGACCCGCTCCAGTCCCCGCAGTTTGTGATGGATTCCCAACCTGCTCGCTTCTGCCACAAATTCTTTTTGCCTCTTTTCTGAAGAAATTCACAGAGAAAAGCAAGTGACAGGGTCTGGAAGGCTGCGGGCGGGGCCTGTGGCTCACTCAGCTCTGCCTGACGTGGCTGTTGAGGGGCTGGTGACCAGCTCTCAGGGCTGGACGCTGCCTGGCGGCCCCAACGCTACCCGGGGTGAGGGGAGCACGAGGCAGCTGGGAGGGAGGAGGGGAGCAGCGCGGCGGCATTGGAGAGTCACCGCCCTGAGAGGGAGCAGGGGCGGCCCGAGAGCAGGGGAGGAGTGGGGGGTGCGGTGTGCCCGGCATCCCCGGGGGGACATCACCACCCACACGGTGGTCGCGTGGTCAGTTACGGGGCTGCCTGCTGTCCTCCCTCGGGTCCCAAGCAGCCCCCGGCCCTCTGTCCACTGCCGGGCGGCAGCTACATGTCCTGAGGGTGGAGATGCCTCATGAAGGACGTGGGCACGTAGGGAGGGACGTTAGGATGTCTGCTGGGGTGTCCCCTCGCCTCCCCCGCGGGACAGCAGAGCAACGGGAGTGGGCAGGGCCCTCGGGTCTGGCCTGGGGACCAGGGTCTCACCCCACGAGGGTGCTGACGTGCCTGACACTCCCCACCCCCGGGGGAAACGCACACGCCAGGGAAGGGTCAACAGCAGCCCCGAGGGGCAGCGTGGCCAGGGTGCGGCTGCCGGGGGCATGGACAAGCCGGCCACTTGGAGAAAGTCAACCGCAGGGCAGGCCAGGGGCAGGCGGGGGGCGGACAGTCCCGACCTCCTGGGCACAGACCCCCTCAGACAGAATGGGCCTCACTGGGGCCTTCTCCGCAGAGACCCCTGATGGCTCCAGGCCGAGTCACAGGGACAGACAGCAGCTCGGCGAGCAAAGCACTCGCTGAAAAGCAAACCCCCCTGGCGCTTGCCTCGCTTCGTTTAATCTGAAAAAGTGCAAGATGCGTCGAGAACAGACAACCAGGCACCTCACAGGCGTCCTCTCTGCGCCCCGCTTCTCCCCATGCTCCCGCTTTTCCACTCCCTTCTACAAGGCAGGACGGCCTCAAACCATTTTATGCCCCCCAAGCCCAGACAGTGCACCACGCACTCCCCCCAGGCCTGGGGCAGGGCACGGCCCCCCGACTCACACCGGGGCCTGTGGCAGGGCCCCCTGACTCACGTCGGGGTCTGGGGCAGGGCCCCCGACTCACCCCAGGGCCCGGGGCAGGGCCCCCCGACTCACCCCGGGGCCTGTGGCAGGGCACGGGCACCACGCACTCCTCCTTGATGTGCATCTTCAGCTGCGGGCTGCAGCCTCCCACGTGCTCCCCGCGGTGGCTGATGCAGAGGACCACCCTGTAGCGCAGGCCGCGGCCGCAGGTCACCGTGCACTGGAGGGAGAGAGCAGTGACGTCGCCCCGGCACCCTGCCCAGCACAGACCCGACCCACGGGGCAGCGACCCAGGACCCGAGTCCCGCGGGCAGGACGGCGGAGGGGGGCTGCTGTGCTGCACATTCTGGGCTTCGGGCCCCAGTGCCCGCTGGAGGGTTTGGCAGACGCGGTCGCGGCACAGAGAGATGGAGAGGCCTGAGGTCTTCCTGCCAAGTGTGAAGCCTCTCGCAGTTCTCAGGCGCGACTCAGACATGGACGACCTCTCTGCACCCCCTGCAGGCGTCCGGGCTATCCGCAGAGAGGTCCACAGCGAGAGGACGGTCCTGCCCTGTGAGCGGGCCCTGCCTCGCGTCCAAACTGGCTGGTCAGACAGGGCCAATGGCCACAGGGGGCTCAGCGTCTGGCGTTCCCGAGGCTAGCACCCGGGCCCCAGCAGCACGCCGCTGCCCCCCCATGTCATGCCGCTGGCGCTGTCAGTGACTCCGGGGCGCGACCTCTCTGCGTCGGGGGAGCCAGGCCTTGGGTGGGGTGCTCCATGCAGGAACACCTCGGGGGCCTTCCATCCCACCTGCACACGTGGTGAGCGGGTGTGTGTGCACTGGCAGCGGAAGACCTTGCTTTTTGGTCCGCTTTTGTTCAAACAGGGTTTGGTGCAGGGCTCCAGAGTGTGCCCACCAGGGCCCGCTATAGCCCATGCTCTGCCCGCAGGCACTGGGCTGGCCCCTGCGGCGGGAGCCCAGGCCTGGCTGGGAACCGGGCTCACACCCCACCCCCATGTGCATCCGGAAGACGGGAGATGGCAGGAAGCTGCCTGTGTTGGTGCCAAGAGAGAAAAACTGCCCAAGAGAAAGGGCAACACGGCTGTGGCAGGCGAATCCACTGGGCAGTGAGCCCCGACCTGCCGGGAGCTGACCGCGTGGGCACTGCCCGCCGCCCCCCAGGGGCCCAGCACACCCGAAGACAGTACATGTCAGCGCTGGGATGGAATCCACGTTTGAGAAGGAGAAGTATGAAGAGGCACGAAGGGTGACCAGGAGGCGCTGGCTAACAGTCCTCGGCGTGGTGGCATGGTGCTGACGGGAGGCGGGAGGTGGTGCAGGTGGGAGGCAGTGCTGGCAGGAGGTGGTGCTGGCGGGAGGTGGCACTGGCAGGAGGTGGCACTGGTGGAAGGCGGCACTGGTGGGAGGTGGCACTGGCGGGGAGCAGTGCTGGCACTGTGGTGGCACTGGCAGGGAGGTGGTGCCGGTGGGAGGCTCAGGGGGGCGGCTGGCTGCGTGGCTGACTCCCGAGCGCTGGAGAAGGCGGCGTGTGCGCAGTGAGGCCGCCTGCTGGTGCTGGACACGAGATACTTCTGGCATAAACCTCGGGCGTGCAAAGCACCGAGCGGTCTTGTTCCAATAAATTCCTTCCATCTTAGCCTGTTGTTTATGTAAACAGGCTGCCCGGTGTTTACAGGCTGCAGCGCTGGGGAACCGGCTCATCCTGGAGATGCACCTCTGTCCTCCCCAGGCCGACCTCAAGCAAAGATCTTTTCATGTAGAATAACGAGTCACCAGAACGTGAGCCCTGTGTTGTCTCACTTGCATACTAAGGTTAAATTTAGTAAGAACTTAATCCAGGGGAACATTTTGAATACTTCGAGCCTACGGCCACAGGAAGTTAAAATAAATCACTTTCCGTTGCTCTACAGGTTTTTTTTTTAAGCGAAAAGTAGAATTGTGTAATCAATAAAGATTTTAAGGCATACGAGAACACTATGTTAGGATAAAATCCTGTGGGGACAATGGACTGAAAATGCGAGTTCAAGGGGAAAAAATGCAAAATATCCAAATTATTGGAAGCGCTTGCTCATTTTTTTTTTTTTTTTTTTTTTTTCATAAAAACAGCAAGAGAAGCAGCTCCGCGGCCGCGGCATCTGACCGGACACGTTTTTTAAAATGCTGCTAACGTTTGTTTTAAAATGACATTTTTTGATTTTACTTAAACTTTTGATAACGAATTTTAGATGCCAACCTCCACGCACCTGCGGCGGGTATGCAATTCTCCAGGCTTTTTAAAGAAGTGAGAACAAATACGACTGCAGCACCCGGTCCGCCTCCTGGGGCCAAGCAGGCTGCGGCGGCACCAGCCAGGGACACGGGCGCGGGGCCCCTGGAGGGCAGTGAGAAGGGGCTCCTCCCCGCAGGCTGACGCAGGGCCAGTCTTCAGGCGTCAGCTCCCTCCGGACGCCTTCGCCGGCTCCTTGCACGGGACTCGGCAGCCCCCATGGCCTGAGCTGCCCCCACCGGTCACGGCACATGGGTGTCCACTGCTGGGCTCTTTGGGGCAGGAGGGAGAGCGCTTTACGCCCTCACACGTGACACTGGGTGGAAGCGCAGGTGACCGGGGTGTGTGTCCGCACTGAGTGTGGAGCGGTCACGCAAGGAGCCACAGCAGCGGGGGCCACCCATGCCCCCCTCTCGGGACATGAGCGGCCGGGACTACGTGCCCACGCCCCATGCCTGGTTCACCTTGTCGGGCGCTGCTCCCGTCTGCGGGGGCGGAGGTCGTGGCCTTAGAAATCGGGCCAGGCCGACCTTGGATGCCGCTCTCCCACGGCCCAGTCCCGTGTCCACCAGCGGGTGGCCTCTGGCCCTCCTCAGGGCCCAATTACACGCAGCTTCGTAGCCGCTCCTGGACCAAGGATGCACCTGAACGCAGCTCTTGCGTGGCCCTGCCTCAGCCTCCAGCTCCCAGCAACTCCAGAGCTCGCTAATCTGGACCATCAGGGCCTCTGCAAGCTTGAGGCGTTTTGCACCACCCATCCCGCTCGCACACCCCATTCCACTTGGACCCCAGCCGCCCAGGGCGAGCCCTCGGGAGACTCTGCTGTTCGGCGTCCCACGGCCTCAGACACGGCCCAGCCTGCCGGCACAGGGACTTCCAGGTGCTCTGTCCACCCCGCCGTTCCCTGGGCCTGGCCCTGCTGCCCTGCCCGCAGCTGTCCGGACGGCCGCCCTCTTCCCGCGCTCTTTGGGAGGGGAGCAGCCCCCCACCCCGGGCGTCCTGGCCGCAGACGCTGACCTCACCTGGGACCAGTCCATGGCCACCCACTTGGGGCAGTCGAACAGGTTGCAGGCCTGCAGCGCCGCAGGCCTGGGCGCGTACGAGCACTTCCACTCCTCTGCGCGCAGCACCTCGCCATGCACCGACTCCTCCACGCACACGAAGCCGCGCCGCTGCACGCCGCCCCCGCAGGAGGCCGAGCACGCCGTCCAGGGGTTGTGCTCCCAGCTGGGGGACACAGGGGTCACTGCGCGTGGGCTCGCGGGTAGGTCGCGGATGGCCAGACGCGGGGGGCGCCAGGACACGAGCCCTCCCCCGCGCGCTCCCCGGCCCTGCCCCGTGCTGTGGGGGGACATGGCCGGCCCCTCCTCTGCACCCTGTGAGGGCGGAATCACGAGCGTGGGCACACTCCGGGCTGCCTCTTGGGGAATGTGGCCGGAGACTCGGAGCCAAATCCAGAAAGCCGTGCCAGCACCTGGCAGGGGCGTTTACGTCTCTGCGATTTGAGCCTCACGCTCGAGCCCTGGCTGCGCCCAGGTCCCGTCCCCCGGCCCTGGGAAAGCCCTAGAGGCCCGGCCCGCGCTCTGGGAGGACGGTTCTCACGTGGCGTAGACGTGTTTCCCTCAGCCTCTGTGGCTAACACCTGCCCCCGCAGCCACCCCGCAGAGCCCGATCCCTGCACCCCACACACGGCAGAGTGGCCGCAGTGGTGGGGACTCACCGGGGCAGAGGCTGGAAGTGGTCGTAGGGCATGACCTCTTTAAACCCGTCGCTGCAAGGGAGACCGCTGTGAGAACAGGCCGTGTCCAGGTGCGCGTGCCTGCCACTGACCGAGGCCTGGCCGCTGGCCAGAGCTCCTTCACGCTAGAAACTTGGTAGGCAGCGTGCCCTGACATGCACCCCAAAATGTGGCCACCATGGCCCTCACCTTCAGGACACCCCAGAGCAGCACAGAAACACAGTCGGCGGGAGAGGAAGGGAAACGGTGCGCGCTGCACCCAGGAAGGCGCGTCCCTGTGTCTGGAGAGATGTCTGCGCCCCTGCCCGCAAGGCCCTCCTGAGAACTATGTTCTCGGCATCACCACGCTGTCCTGCCGGCTCGGCGAGCCACTGTACTGTGCAGGACGGACCTCTGCTGTGGTCTCCGCGGGTAACCCCGCGGCCCCTGGGGTTATGGGATAGGGCAGCTGAGCGACAGAGAGGGGCCCGGAAGGCCCTGTTGCCCCTGCCCAGGGCAAGGGGCTGGCACTCGAGGCCGGGCTGTGGGGAAGCCAGAGGGAAGCCGGGGCTCGGGGCAGGGCCAGGGGCAGGCAGCACACTGCGTGGGACAGTGGCTGCTTCTCCGCTTTGGGTGAAAACTCTGCACTTCCTTGCATGCTGCCCATCCTGACCGTCAGGTGGACGCTTCAGAAGTGAGGGCGGGGCAGTGCCCAGAGCAACATGCAGGTTACAGGGGGCATGTCAAGCCAGCGCTGGCCGTGGGCTGCCCCGGAGACACCCACCTGGCTGGGCAGGGGTCCATGCCGCACTCCTTCAGCTTGGGCTTGGGCTTGACGTTCTCGGGGTAGTAGTGGCAGTAGTGGTCGGGGACCACCCTCTTCAGGCGGACGTCCACACACTCCGCAGAGTTGAGCTGGTAGCCTGGGGGAGGGAGGGGGTCTCAGGGCATCTCCTGGTCACCTGGGGAAGTTCTCACTGGCCACGTGGCGCCGGGGCAGAAGCGAGAGGCCTCCCCGCTGCTGTCAGCTCTAGGAGGGGGCGCTGCATGTAACGCCACCCGGGTGGTGTGTCTACTTCCCAAGTCACCCACTTGGGTCTCCTGCCACCACCCGCATGTGTGTTAGTTAAAAAAAAAAGGTGGGGGCCTCCCCTGGTGGCGCAGCGGTTGAGTGCTGGGCTGTGAGGCCGCCCGCAGCCTCTGCAGCGCCGGTTCGTTTCCTGGCCGCCGGCGAGGGTCCCACAAAAAAAAAAAAAAAAGTGGTTTTTCAAAGCCAGAATGAGCTCTTCAAGGGGAAAAAAAAGCCTAAAGCTAAACCCGCAGTCTCAGTCAACTGGTCCAAAGGTCTAAACATACATTCACGGGGCCATCGGCCGGGAGGAATCGGACTTCATAAGCCTCGAGGCAGCTGCTCCCGTCCTGGCCTCCTGCACAGGGGCGGGCTGGCGGCCTCAGAAACACCAGGTCGACACCACAGGAGGAAGATCCGGATGGAGTCAACACATTGCTGCTCGGGTGCCAGTGTCCCCAGGACATCAAGGGCCTCAGAGGGCCCTGGCGACCCAGACAGTCCCCCCGAGTCCCACGGGGCCGGACCCAAGAGTCCACCCAGCCACAGCGGGACAGACAAACCTGTTTTCTCCTGATGATCAAAAACTCTCCAAAATGCCATTGACACAAATCATGTAGATTTGATGACAGTATAACTAAGTTTCGTGAGCTTTCCTTGTGGGTTTTATGTGTATGTTTTCATTTCCCCCCGAACAAGAACAGGATGATTACAGCTCCCCCAGTCAAAGAAAGATCTTGTTCTAAACGGAACACACTTCTCGCAGGCGCCGGGAGCCGGCAGGTGCTTGTGATTTGGGAAGAGACAACTAATTCTCCTCTTTAACTTTATGGCAGGGCAGAAAACTGAAAGCAAAGGAAATAAGGCAGATTACCTTCCAAGATTGTGAATAAATGTGCTGAAATCCCACCATGTACGGAAATGGGCCCCCCAAAGCAGCCCGAGGCCCGCCTTGCGCCTGCTCCAGCACATTACAGCGGGAAGGCCTCTGGCCAGGCACCCCAGGCCCGGGGTGGGCAGCGGATGGACTGTGTGTCCGCGGGCGCCCCATGGGAGAACGGACTTCCGCGTAAATGTCTCTCCCAGAGCGGGGTGCCTGGCTCCCGTCGCACGTGTCCAGCTGGGGACAGCTCTCTGGACAAATGTGTGTGAGAGACGGAGTGGATGAAAAGAAACAGAGGTTTGCTTTCTGCCTAGTAAGAATGTAAATCTTTGCTTCTCGGGCTGGGCCCATGGGGCTCTGGCTGGGCGCCTCCTCCCTGGCCACGCCCACCTGGCTCGGGGGCGGGGCTTGGCCCGGAACAGGCACCTGCAGGGGTTTGTAAGCAGCCGGCGTCCCCGAGTCCCTTTGCTGCCCGAGGAGGCCACTGGCACTGTCAGCACCACGCCCGCCCGCCTGCACCTCCACCTGCGCCTTCATGCAGGCCGAGCGCCTGGCGAGCAGCGCCCAGCTTGGAAGCCTGGCCTGTGCGCCCCGCCGTGCTCACCTCCGCCGCACGTCGCGGTGCAGGGGAAGAAGTCGGTCTGTCTCCACTGGTGGCTGATGGGCTGGTAGAAGAAGAACTGGACCACGCTGTCCTTGGCTGCCACAAACCTGGTCTGGAGAGAGCTGCGAGGTCACACAGGCCCGCGGCTCACTGAGATCTGTCACGATGGGCGCAGAAGTCTGGAGCCGTCGTTCCAGATAATTCCGTGCCCGGGAATGAGTTCACAAAACGTAAGTGGACTTTGTGTGGGAGCCGTTTTCCATCCTTTTTCATACACTGAATTTTAATTCCCAGGAGAACAGGTCAGAGGCTTAATCTAGGTTAGTCTCCAACGTGGCGCGTGGTTGGAATTCTAACATTTTTAATACAACTTGAAGCAGAACCTTTCAAAATGACCTTCTGAAGCCCCGAAGCAGAGACCTGACAGACACTCCACCGGATCCTGTGCGCCAGGGCCCCACGGGGAGCGAGCTGGGGCGGGGAGTCGGGGGGTGGGGGAAGGAGCTCAACCCAGCCTGATAAACCAGTGACCTGAGGGGAGTCCCAGCACACAGCTGGGGAAGGCCCCACCCCCAGGGGTCTGGGGCTGGGAGGGAGGTGGTGAGAGGCGGCAGCTGCGAGACCCCAAGACCCCAAGGGGAGAGCTTGGCTGGGAAGCAGGCATCAAGGTGCTGAACAGGTGTCGAGACTACGAGGATAAAGAAAAATCCTGAAAGTTGTCAGACAGAAAAAATGATGATGTGGAAGAAGGAGTGTTAGGGGGAGAGGATGTCCTGAGCTAACCCCAAACAGGCTTTGTGGGCTCCACCCCCACCCCCACTCCAGACCAAAGCCATCCAGACACTGGGAAAGACAAATCCCGTCACCACCAAGGGGAAGGTGGCTGGGACCTGAGGGTGGAGTTAAGCAGCCAGGGTTGGTATAAAAACCAGACACGTGGGCCTTGGGGGCTCTCGCTCTCTCGCTCGCCTCCTGGCTCGCGGCTCCTGGCTTGTGGCTCCTGGCTCGCGGCCAGCTCTCAGAGTGCCATTGGGAGTCCAGATCGGCGGATCGGGTAGGACGCATTTGAGACTTTATCTCCCACTTTTCTCCCTGAGCTGTACATTTCCTCACTTGCCCTTCCCTTGTGACCAAACCTTTTATTAACCTTTCGTGTGTGCCTGCAGTAGAGCATTGATAAGTCCTTTTAAGCGCGCGGGTGAGGACCCACAGCCAGGCACCCTGTTTTGTATCAGGGCTGCCCTATAACAGGAGGACCAGCGTGGCTGGGACTTCTCAAGCCTGAACTTGAGGAAAGCCTGGATACTGCTACCTGGTGGCAGCATGCACACACCGAAGAGGCAAAATAGTAACCGCCCCCCCACACCACGGAGGTAGAGCTGTGTCCAAGGTCATTCAGGGACACAGGCCCCTTAGGAAAACAGGAATCACAGCAAGAAATTCAGTGGAGAAAAGGAAATGTGCAATTTTAAAGAATGGCCCATTTATGAAAATACATCTTTTTTAAGAGTAGGGAGGGCCTCCCTGCTGGCACAGGGGTTAAAGACAGTGCTATCAAGCCGTTGCCAGTCCCGACAGCACAAGTTTGATATCTAGCTGGCCAGGGAGCTACCCACAGGGCGCAGCAGACCTCTCCTGTCTCCCCGCTGCTCCCCTCAGCAGTGGGTTTCAGTCAGTCTGCCTGTTCAGTTCCCCGCTCTGTCTCTGGTGGATCCTCTCACCCCCGGCACCTCTGGCCTGCACCCCAGTTCTTGTTTAAATAAATAAAATGTAAAAAAAAGAGTAGGGAAAGGATGACCTTGTTGCGCTGGTGCAGAGGCCCTGAGTGACCATCGCCACGAGAGGACCCGGCGTCCTCCCAGACCCGCACGGAGACCTGCCCCCAGCTCGGGCCCACCTACCTTGAAGATGAAGTCGGCGGCCAGCGGGCCTGCGATCCGGAAGGCCTGCCGCTCGGGGCCCGTCTGGAACTCCAGGGTGGTGTTCTCCACGACGAAAACCCCGGCGCTGTCGAAGGTGTGCTCGCCTCTGCTTCCCTGGAGGGTTTTGGATTCGAAAACTGAAATGTGAAATGACAGCCCGTGAGCGCTCTCCTCAGAGCAGGCCGGGCCCGGCGCTGGCCCAGGCGTCCCGCGCGCACTTTTTTTTTTTGATAAATCAACTTGGAGGAACTCAGGAGCGAGGGTCAGGCCACACCCACTCACAGAGCTGCGCGGGGCCCTTCACGGTGATGCGCACGCTGCGGCTGCCCAGGGGGACGGCGATGACGTTCTCCTCCCCTGCGGAGAAAGGCGCCGCGTGAGAAGTGCGGCCAGAGCGCGCCTGGCCGTGCTCACCACCTCCTGCGCCCGGAGGCCCAAGCACCGATCCCAGAGACCCCGGGGCCTGAGCTGAGAGCCCCCACAGCGCGGCGCCCAGAGACCCCAGGGCTGAGCTCAGAGACCGCGGGGGCGCCTACGTAGAAGGTGTAGCCACACGCGCACACAGTCTCCTTTGAATCACATGAAAGCAAAGATTCCAGACCACACGGAAGCCTCCAGACCCAGGGGCTTTGATGGGGCGTCTACCAACCAGTGTCCTCCGCAAACCTGGCCACACTCGCTCGCCCAGGGCCTCCTGGCCCAGAGCTCGGGGGTGAAGGGGGCTGGAGAGGGGAGTGGAGGGGGCTGAGCAGGCCTTCCCAGGCTGTGGCCGGCTTGGGTGACTGCCTTGGGCGTCCAGATCCTCCACTGCCCACCTTGCCCTGGCACAGCCTGACGGCCACGGGATCCCTGATGTGAGACGCCCAGCCTGGGCCTGAGCCCCCGCTAGGCCGGGACACAGCACCAGCCTGTGCGTGAGGTCACGGAGACGCTGTTCCTTTAACTTGGAGAGTTTTGGGATTTTGGGGGATAAACTCTGGGGCGAAGCTGTTGGATCACTGGCTATGAGCTTTCAGTGAGAAACCCCGTTTCCTGCTAAAAATCAGGAAAAGCAAAGGAGCAAACAACACCATTTGCAGGCCTGCGGCTCAGGGAGGGCTGCAGCTCACGCAGGGTGTCCTTGGTGATGTTGTTTGCTGCGCCCAGGGCATGGCTGCCCAGGGCTCTGCTGGACAGCCTGCGGGGGGCACTGGGGGCGCAGGCGGCGCTGGAGGGCTCCCCATATGCATGCTGACAGGTTGAAATGCCAGTCAAAGAGCAACACCTGCAGACGGTGATGTAGGGGCTCAGGCACCAAAGCCCTCGGGTAAAAATGATTAAGTCGGACAACGTCAGCATCAGACTCGCTCGTCAAAGGACTCACAGCAGAGTGGACGGCCGCACTGGACTGGGGGCACCCTGTGGGGCCCGGGTGAGAGCTGAGACCCCGTGTCTGCAGGGAGCCACACGCCACCACAGTGGACCAGGGGCCGGGGCCAGGCGCAGGGACCATGAGGCTGAAACGCCCACCCCCAGCCACAGCGCGGGCCACCAGAGCCGCTGGCCCAAGCCTGTCAGGGCCTCACCATGTTCACAGAAGTAGAAGACAAGTAACTTAGCAAAACACACATTGGAAAGGAAAATTGTTTAATACTGTCGTTTGGAGATTATACGACTACTTAAAAATTGGAGAAAAAATCTTATTAAAATAAAAACATTCAGGAAGTGCCCAGTGTTAGAGAAACTGCTTTGCTGGACATCAGCTAATGGCTACGCTGTCCCGCACTGCTGTGTCCGGCTGACGGACAGCCAGGTGCCGCCACCGCACCCGAGGCCCCAGGGGCCGAGCCCCAGTGGCGGGCAAGGAAACGTCGCCCAAACACCGGGGAATCAGTAAAACGGCTGCAGCTGCAGCCTCGGGCGTGAACCCCAGCTGGGGCGTTCGCCGCACCCAGAGAGGCAAACTGAAGCACACAAAATGTCCTCACTAGAGGCGTTTACTGGAGACGCCACCCACGGAGCGGGTGGGCAGGCACCGAAGGACCCCGCAGGGGCTGCCCGGAGAGGCTTCCCGCTCCGGGCGGGCAATGCAGGCGATGGGCGGGGGCCTTGCGTTCCAGGGGCGTGTCGCCCGGCTGGGCAGGCGATGATTCTGATGCTCCTGTCACCGGGTGGGGCAGAGCTCTGCGAGGGATGGATGCCACCTCCCAAGTTCCAGGAGCGCAGGGCCAGTCGGCTGAGTGGACACAGGTGGCCGGGGCAGCGGGGGTCGGCTGCACGCGGCGTGGCCCCAGGGCTCCCACTTCCTCCCTTGCTGGCCAGGCCTGCAGGGCCCCTTCTGCACGCCCCGCTCGGCCCCTGGCCACACTGCTGAGGCCACAGGTGTTTCTGCAAACGGTACTCCTGGCCTTGTGCTCACCTTCCAGGGCCTCCGGCCTCCAGCCAGGCCAGAGCCCTTTCCCTGGGACATGTGTCCCCTGCCCTCGGCTCCAGGGCGGCGCATGGCCAGCTCAGTGGTGGAGGCCTCCCAGGGTCCCTGGCAGGTCTGTCTGATCATGAACGTGTGCACTGGGCCCCGGCAGGGACCCCAGCAGGCCGGCTGGCCCCCTCCCGCCCCGTGTGGCCCCAGTGCCTCCTCCGCTGAGAAAACCCTCCCGGCCCTCCAGCCTGTGAGATGTTCCTCCCACGGGGAGCAAGCAATACCCACGGCATAGGGATGCCCAACGCAGTAGGTCGGGGAAAGGCGTGGAAACAGGAAGACAAAACCATAAAGACAGTGGCAGGGAGGACGCACGGCTCACACCCGCCGCCAGCCGAGGCTCGGGTCAGCCGGCTGCACACAGGGGCCAGCACAGGCCCTGGTTCAGGGCTGGCCGCCTCGGAGCGAGCCAGAGCACCCGCAGGGGCTCGGCACTGCTGCTGGATGGAGAAGGCCTGCTGGCCTGTGGGGGCGGGGGACCCCCACCCAAAGGCAGGAGTTGCCAAAATGAAGGGGTGGGCACCGCTAAGCCTCTGACGCAGAGACGCCTGGCCCTATGGACATGGCAGCAGGGGCCGCACGCAGGTCGCGGCAACATCCGAGCATCAGTGAGCGCTGGGCGTGCGGGAAGCTCATGGAGTGGACGGGCCCGCCCCTCGGACCCCGTGGTGCTTCCTGGGAGCAGCCAGGGTGGACAGAGCAGCCCCTGCACGGGGCACCTACAGATGGCAAACACAGGTAACAGCCACGCGGCGTCGGGAGCGGGCTGAGGAGAGGCGCGGGGACGTGCTCAGACGTACCCTCTTTGGAGGGGATCTGACGTTCAGAAAACCGGTCAAGTCCTTTCCAGGACACGGCCTGGCAGCAGGCGGACGCTGTTCTAGAGGCTGCCACGCAGGTGCCCGGCCGCAGGTGGCTGGGGGTGGAACCTACTTTTCTCGGCAGACACCTGTGCCTTGGCCTGTCCCCGCACGAGCCTGCAGGTGGCGCCGTCCCCCGCACACACCCCGCAGTGGTCCTCCTTGGCGCCGCTTCCCAGGTGCCGGTCGCAGCCCACCGCCTGTGGACAGGACAGAGCGAGAGCTCAGGGGCCGAGGACCGTCCGCAGCACCCACCTGGGCCCGGCCACACCTCCCAGCAGGAGCCCACCCGCCTTCACGCGGGCGCTCAGCCGCAGCCCCGCTCCTGGGGGCGCAGGAATGGGGCTGCCGCCCCGGCCTGTGTCCCTGCACGTGTGTCTGAGATGGACCCGGTGGCTCGGAAAACATCCCCCCGCCCCCTTCCTTCCCTGCCCCGCCCCATCCCCACATCCCCCACGCCCACTCTCCCGACGTGGATGCCGTGGCCCAGCCACAGCTCTACCCTGGCTCTATCCCCAGGGCCTCGTCCCAGCCACCGCGCCCCTGCCCCTGGCTACACCTTCGCATCTCCTCAGGCACCAGCCGGCCCCGGCCTGCGTCGCTGCAGCCGTACCCCTCTCTACCTGCGCAAGCGCCCCTCAACGCGAGAGAGGAGTTGGGGGAGGTGCTCGCGCGGCCGCCCACTGCGGGACGCGGCTTCCTTCTCCACCTGCGTGCCCCGCTCCCTGCTCCGCAGAGCCCTGGACATCTGCGTGAACACGCCTGTGCTGGGGGGTTGTGGGAGGCAGGCCCCCTTGCTGCAGAGTGTGGGGTGCCCCAAGTTGAACCCCTAGAGGGTAAACCAGGGATCTCGACATCAACCCTCAGAGCCCACACCCAGAGCGCCCTGTAAGCGCTTCGCACAGGGACGGGGCGGCTGCGGGGTGGTGGTGGGGGGCTGCACCCTCTCTCTGGTGCAGGCGAAGAGGGGGCTGTTTCTAGCCTGTTCTTTCCAGTCTTCTGCAGCTGGAGAGAAGAGAACCGTGAGGTGCAGGTTTCAGAGGCACGGAGGCCGTGAGGTTCACAGGCATTTGGAAGAGAAGAGAGGGCGTCTGCTCCACGTGTCCAGCAGAGAACGCACAGGCCAGCGTGGTCAGCTGGACAGGAGAAGCTGAGACCTCACCCATCCGGGGCCAGAGTCCCGCCAGGGCACCGCAGGAAACTCCCGGCAGGACACTGGAGAATGGACTCAGGAATCTGGTAAGTAGCTGAATCCAGTGGCTTCTGAGATCTCTCATCCCGATGACGGCTTTATAAAGATGGTGGTAAAACAATAACAACAGGTGCCTTTTATGAGTGCGTACGGCGTGGCTGGCGCCGTGCCAACCCCTTGCACATGTGGCTTTGTTTGCTCTCCCAGCAGTCTCGCCCACGGCTGACCCCCTCGCCTGGGCACAAAGGCTTACTCGGTCCTGAGGCTGGCGCCAGCACAGATCGGAACGGCTCCGAGCCCAGCCACCAGACCCCGGCCCTTCTCCACCCTCCTCGCGTTGAGCATCAGCCGATGGACAACCGAGAAGCAGCCGCACAGACGCCAGGGCCCCTTCCGGAGACATGTGGAACAGCTTAAGGGCGACTGATTTTGGAAACGCTTGTGTGTTTGCGAGCTGACCCCTGAGGAACTTGTGTCCAGGAGCTTGTCCACGGAACATGTGCTCCTGCCAAGCTGGGTCCTTGCACAGCCCTGTCCCTGCACGCCCGCATCACAGGGGGACGCAGCCTCCGGCCAGGCCTGCAGGAAGGGTGTGGGCCTCAGGCCTGGATGGCCCGCTGGGAGGCTGGGAGGGCCTTGAGAAGGTCTTGCGATCCAACACCCCAGGCCTTTATATTTCCTGTGTTGTGTAAAGTCACATCCATCCAAATCTTATGGCCAAACACGCATGTGAAAACCCAGAAAAACATCTGGAAGAAAGCCTGTTGCCTTGGGAGTCCCTGCAGGCAAAGCAGACACGCCCTCGACGTGGAGGGGCCCCTGGGCTTGGACCGTTACCCCCCATCATGATCAATAATCAGCACCACTGAAAAGCTGCAGGACATGCTCTCGCTTGACGTGACAGCTGGCCACGACATCTCGCTGTAAGTCTTAGCGCCAATAACTCGTAAACGTATCAGCAAACGCGCCGGCGCCTGCGAGGTCGCCCGCCCACCCCTGCGGGTGCACTCCACGGGCGGGAACAGACTGCAACCCTGCGAGCAGCGCCCTTTGGAATAAACGTAAACTTGGCACGTCTGCTAAGGGCGCCACGGCTTCTGCCTAGGATTTCCTTGCCAGCCGGGAGGAGACAGCGCTTCAATACGTGACCTGACCACAAATGAATCAAAATAAGGATTTTCCAGATAAGTCCTGTTTCATCCTTCAGAAACCAACCAGTCTCTCCAGCCTCTACCTTAGAGGAAAACGCTAACAATTCCCACCTTGAAAACTGGACTGTCCAGCTGCTGCCCTCTGCTGCCCCATGCTAGGCAGCTGACCACCAGCCCAGGGAGCACGCAGGAGCACCCCTGGAACGGCCCAGGCACCCTGGGGCGGCATCTGGCAGAGCAGGAGGTGGGCCACGGGGGTTGGGGTCAGTGTCGTCACTCAGCGTGACTTTGAAGCTAAAACACTCAGTCCAGTGAGACACAGAAGGGTGATGAGAGGTCAGGGCTTGGGCCAGGGCTGGGGTCAGGGTCAGGTTCCAGGGTTTGGGTCAGCTTAGGGGTCAGGGTTAGGGTTTAGGGGTCAGGGTGCAGGGGTTGAGGGTTGGGTTGTATTTAGGGTTTAGGGGCCTTGGTTAGGGTTAGGGGGTCAGAGCACAGGGGTTGGAGGGCAGGTTGGGAGTAGGGGTCAGGGGCTAGGGATCAGGGCCAGCATGAGGTGTTGGGGTGGGGTCAGGGTGAGACTCCTCCTCAGCCCCCCCATGGCAGGGGTGCACAGAACCCTGGTGAGTGTGCAGGCGGGCTCTGGTGCTCACACTTGGGTAGTACTAGGTCCTGCTCCCAAAGACCAGAACACCACCCCGGCTTGAATACGAAGCTCAGAGAACCTTCCAAAGCAGAGGTTCTCGAGGTGGGGTCCCTGCACCAGTCTGCCCCACGCTGGCTAGAAGTGCAGCTTCTCAGCCCACACTTCGGGCCTCCAGTCAGACTCGCTGGTTTCAGGAGCCTCCCACTGACCACCGGTGGGGGCGAAGATCCCTCCCCCAGCTGCGCCCCAGCCACCCCCAGGCGCAGGGCTGTTTGAAGCAGGGGCGAGCTGCAGAGGCAGGCTGAGCTTACAATGAAGTGAAGGGGTGTTCCTCGGGGGCACATGCCGGAGGAGGACGGGCTCTGGCGCAGTCCACTGCAGGCAGGTGGGCTTACCTGGCAGACGCCGCTGATGCACATGTCCAGGGAATCGGGGCGGCAGCGGGTCCCGTCCAGCACCTTGGGGGCCAGCTCCACCACCAGGCTGTGGCCCCGGGCGTGGCACCGCAGGGCGCAGGGACTGGCGGGGTCATCGTTGCGCGGCAGCCACTCATAGTAGCGGCCCTGGTACTGGACGTCGTTGTAGGCCGAGCACTGCTGAGCCCGGAAGTCCTCAGCGTCGGGCGGGCAGTCCTGCGGGACGGGCCACGCGCGTCACCCGGCGGCGAGCTGGCCGGGCAGAAGCCCTTCCTGGAGCGCCCTTATTCCTTCCTTATAAAAAACTCAAGACTGAACCCACGGTGGAAGGCCATTGGGGGTGCCCTGTGGCCACCCCTCTCCTGACCGCCCCTCCAGCAGGCCTCACTCCTAGGTCTACCACCTGCCGTGGCCACCGGCTGGATTCTGCTCTGCCTCCGACCTCTGGGTGGGCATTTTCAAATGGGCCGCACAGTCGCCTGCATCTTGAAACAGGGACTGACTGTCCTAACTCTTCCAGGTGACTCAAGTCCTCAAAGGCAGGCTGGACTGTCCTCTGCACCCGGGGGTACCTCAGCATGGGGGACCATGGCCTCACTCCTGGCCTGCAGGCCACCCTGGGAGAGCCTGGCGCTTCCATTGCTGCCCAGTGCCTGGCCCTGCCCCACCCTCCTGGCCACACCCACACCGCATGCCCTGCCTGCCCCTCGCAGCTACAGAGGAGGTCCCAGCAGCAGCTCCCCTCCAGCTGCAGGGTCCCAGGGCCCTCAGGGTGAGGGGGGAGCATGAGCTGGTCTAGATGACTTGGGGTCGAGGCCCTCCCACTGGAGAAGGCTAAAGAGCGGCCAGATGGCAAAGAGCCACTTCTCCCCTGGAAAGCGGCTTCGGGACACAGACACGCCAGACCACTGTGACTTTACAGTTTGCATTTTATAAAAAATGTTCATTGTGGGCCTCCCCTGGTGGTGCAGCGGTTGAGCGCTGGGTTGCGAGGCTGCCCGCAGCCTCTGCAGCGCCAGTTTGATCCCCGGCCGCTGGCGAGGGTCCCACAAAAAAAAAAAAAAAAAAAAAAAAGTTCATTGTAAGATCTCTGGGGAATAGTTTCTACTCAAAAAAAGAATAACAAAGATCCTTGCACCTCCATGCTACACAATTCCTTGGTTAGTTTCCAAGGGCAAATTTCTGGAAATAAAATTTCTGAGAAAAATGTGATTTCATGGACTTTTCAAAAGACTGCTGGGGACGGTGTCACTTTATCAGCCTCAAGTCACAGGAGCAAACCTTTCTCAGTGTCTCTTCTGAGCTTGGAGACTGTCCCTTCCTAAGGCTTCTCATCAAAAGTGTTGACAGAGGAAACGTGCATTTCCTCGTTCCATTGTTGTTCAACGCCTGCTCCTGTGTTTCTGCCTTTCTGTGTATCCTTCACAAATTTCCTTCTTTCCTGTCCTGCATTTATCTACTGGGATGTTTGTCTTTTTAATGGTTTTAACAAATAAAACTGTCACACTTGGGCTTCCCTGGTGGTGCAGGGGTTAGGTCTCAGCGCTATCAAGCTGTCGCCAGCCACTGAGGGTACAAGTTCGATCCCTGGCCAGGGAGCCATCCACATGGCGCTGCAGACCTCACCTGTCTCCCCGCTGCTCCCCTCAGCAGTGTACTTTGGTCTGTCTGCCTGTTCTGCTTCCCACTCTGTCTCTGGTGAATCCTCTCATCCCCCACACCTCCGGCCTGCACCCCAGATCTTGTAGCATAAATAAATCAATCTTTAAAAAAAAAAATCTGTCACACGTGACAGTGAAGCCATCAACTCTTTGCCCTTCATCCTGGAAATATGTTCCCCACATAATTTTGGTTTTGGCGCTTAGTGAGGTCAAGCAGTTTTACATTTCATGCGCTCAGCTCAATACGGTCTCCTTTCACGGTTGTCTCTGCATCACTGAGTTTAGGGGAGCCGTGCCCGCCCTGCCCTGGGTCAGACACTTAGTGTCACTTTCAGTTGCTTTATGACAGGTTGGGGATGTTTTACCCTTTGTCACATCTGGAGCTGATTCTGATGTACAGTGTCGGGGCGAAATCCAACTCCATTTTCCCACAGTTTCAAACCAATGATCAGCCAGAATTTTAAAATATAATGTCTCTGCTTTTAGCTTCTTGAAGTTTTATTTTTCTGTGCTTATGCTTTGGCCTTTATAAACTGCCTTGAGTCCTTTTCGGAAGTAGGTAAGAAATAAATAAAATATAACAATTAGACTTTCCCCTGGGGTTAGTTGTGTTACGTTGCTGCAAATCATTCCAAAATCTTAGACTGTGCCCGTGTTTTTCCTATTTCAGCCCCACCCGGGACACCAGCAGGAGGAAGGCTCTAGGGGAGGAGGCTGGAGCCACACAGGGCCTCTCCGGAACGAGGCCTGGGGCTGGGCCCACCGGCATGGCAAGGCCTGGGGCTCTGCGGGCAGGTCTGGCTGGGGCCACTGCGCCTGCGCGCCCCCCTGCGGCCGTGCTCTGCAGAGATGGCCCAGTGGGCCATGCCCAAGCGGCCCCGGCGCATGTGGAGACGGTGCCTGGTGGGCTGCAGCCCCTGCTGGATGTGCTGGCGGCATGGGGCCTTCACCCCAGGAACCAAGGAGACGCAGAGAGTCATGGGGAGAGCTGACAGGACCGCCAGAATGCGGGGACCAGCTCCTTGGCCACCATGGTTGTCACAGCCGCGCCTGTCTGCACCAACCCTGCCCACGAGGGCTGGGGCTGGGCCGCCGCCTGACTGTGGGGCACCAGTGGAGACCATGCCGGCCGCCCCACAGCGCATGGAGGAGGAAGGTGGGCCTGGCCCCTGCAAAGCTGGCAGCCTAGAGCCCCATGGGCGCTGGCAGGCTTGGCTGTGCTCAGCCCCGCCCAGGCCTCAGGGCCCTGCTTCTCTCAGCTCATTGAACACCTCTGTCCCCAGCCAGCCTCTGTCCCCAGGAAGACGGCCTGAGAGCCCGCTGACCCACGACCCCCCGGAGCCCGCCCTCCCTGCCCTGGGAGGAGGGCCCCGGCCACCAGCGGGGAGCACTGTGACCACACAGGCCCCGACCACTGCTGCAAGACACCGCCAGGGCCCCAGCGCCCGCGGCACATGCCCTCAGGCCACGCTGCCTCTGCATGGCCTGCATGGTGGTTTACTTGGTGTTTAGGAAACCGAAGGCCAAGCCTTCCTCTGCCGCCCTTCTCTGCAAGCTGGTCTCCCAAAGCCAAGTCCAGGGAGCACCTATTTGTGGGGCCCTGTAGGCATGGCCAGCTGCCGCGCAGAGAACCCGAGGACACGCCGCCCCAACGGCCTGGGGGCGTGGCACCGACCTCCCGGCGTGGGCACCCGGGGGCTGACGTTTGTGAATGAAGGGATGAGACTTTGTCCAGGAGTTAAATTAAAAACTGACCCAGTGGAGTCAGAAGAGACCCAATAGGGACCGCACAGGTCAGCAAGCCCAGCTGGTCCAGCAGGGGCGCAGACATATGTGCCCATGGCACGTGACGCCGGCCTCTGGCTTCAGACGCCCTCCAGGGCCTGTGGACAAGACCTGGCGACCTCCATAAGCCCCTGTTCTCCTCGCGGTGGGAGCTGGGTGAGAGAGAAGCCTTTCCCCCTCACCAGGGTGCGCCCCACCCGCCGCGCCCTCAGCGCAGGCCAGCTACCCCGTGGAGTCTGGGGGTGCAAGCAGGGGTGCTCAGCCAACAGCCAGAGTAGGAGGGCAGGGCCCTCCCCTGCAGCGGGCCTGTTGCAGCCCTCAACGCACCCCGGGAGGGGTCACAGGTGTGATCTGCTGCTCCCGTGGACCCGGAAACTAGTAAATACCAAAGCAGACCCCCACGGGCAAGCCGCCTGGAAGGGCAGGGAGAAGCCTTGACCACTCAGCTCTCCCCGAGGGCATCGCACGATGCCGGGCGCACCGGCACTAAGGCACAGACGTCCCGCGCCCACGCCGATCAGGCAGAACTTACCTGATTGCTGCACGTCCTGTATCGGATATTCTGCCCTTCACAGTCCCTAGGGAGAAGGGGGGAGAAGGGGCTGAGCGGATGGGGCACAGCGGGCGCTGCCCCGACCTCAAAGACTCAGAGTTCAGATTCTTAGAACCACCAGGCCCAGGCGCCTGGGCCCAGAGTGGCACCCAGCGGAGCGGGGGCTCTGCCGCGGAGTGGGGGCTCTTTCACAGAATTCACACGGCAGTAATGGGGGGCAACTGCGGGTCTCCCTTCCTCCCTCCCTGCCTGGTCAGCAGGCCCCCACCCGCCCCCACCTCGTCTCTGCTGGAATCTGCTCCAGGCGACACTTCTGCGCCTCACCCAACCACTGCCTTACTGGGGGCGCTGCAGGTGTTGGGGGCCTCTGGGTGCCGACGCAGGGGCTCTGCGGGCCCAGAGATGACACCCTGCGCTCCCCTACCCATACCCCGCCGCCTGCCCCCTGGACACCCTCCCGCGTGTGCGCACCCACGCACGATGGCCGCTGCTGCAAGGGCCCCTCTCCCCTCCCCTGACCCCGGTCAATTCAACAGATAAGTCACAGAGGAGGTGAAGGGCAGCCCTGGGGGTGGCGAAGGCCAGGGCGGGGCAGTGGCAGGCGGGAAGCCACGGGCTCCCGGGAAGCTTCCAGCCTCGCAGGGGGCCAGGCGGGTCACAGAACGCTGCTCCGGGAGGACCTGAGCTGGTGCGGGCGCTGGGACACACAGCTGCTGGGGTGTTAAGAGGCACATCCCCCGGGGTTAGGGTGAAGGGTTGTGGGGACCGATGCCCGAGAGCTCCCCCATCTCTTACAGCGTGGGGTAACAATGTCACCCCAACAAAAGTACAAAATTTAAATGAAGAAAAGAAAGGCATGAAGTCGAGCTCCAGAAATAGACTTTCAAAGGCACTTTCTAGCACCTGCTTGCTTTTCGCTGCGTACACGGGAACGAAACCCCCGTCTGCGGAAAGACCTGCGAGACCAACAGCAGACGCCAGGCCCGGGGCAGGGAGTGGACAGCTGGCCTCGGCCTGCTATGTGGACTGCCGCACCCCACTGCCTGTGGGGAGGCCTCATCTCAGGCTCTCGCTGCATCTCAAGGTCCCTTGAAGGGTCCCGGCAGTCGCAGAGGCTTCAGAGCCGGCGCGGCCCGGTGGTCACAGAGGGGGCGCTCCCCCGGATGGCGTCTCGCAAACAGGACGACTTTGACAGCCGCGCAGGCGAGCCAGGCCCTGGCGTGCAGAGGCCCCTATCCTCAGCCTGAGTGTCCATCCAACCCTGAACCTCCTCTTCTCCTTGTCTGACTGCAACGTGCTGACCGCTGGCCCGGCCCGGCCCGACGTGGCAGCCGTGCTGGACGGGGGTGACCACTCAGGAAACAGCTCGAGATGAAATGCAAACTCCTTAGCCTCAAGGACACGGGAGTCCTAACTCCCCATGCAGAAGCCTGCCAGCTTATTCTGGAAATAATTCCTCTGGCTCAAGGCAACGGAGCTGCAGGAAAATTACTTCCAAGTTTTTAATTTCACCCTAATCACGGCATGCGAGAGGACATGGAAACTCAGGCACTTCATTTCACGATATGTGTTCTCGGCCCATTACAACATTCATCACACCCTCACGCTGGAGGTTCTGGAAGCCATAAATTTATGACTCTATGAAAAACACATGTTGATTCCACGTGAGGATACATTAAAAACATCAATCAGCCGTCCCCGGAGTTCACAGCACTAGAACGTGTGACACGCGCTCCATGATCGGTCGACGCAGACACTAGTGTCGTAAAAACGGAGCAGCTCGTGTTTTGAAGAAAGGAAGCCTATCCACGTCTGGACGCCGGCACGCCAGCCTGCGCGTGCGGGGCTGTGCCTGGCCGGAGGGTCCCGTCGCAGGCCTCTGTGGGTGTTGGCTGGAGTGGGGCGGCAGCGCAGAGCAGACCGTGCATTTGGAAGGCACTGGATTCCGAGACAACTTCATTCACAAAGAAAGAAATGAGTGAAATCACTCCTTAACCCTCCTCCGACTCGCGGGCTCCAAGGTGCACAACCGCTAGCAACGGCCCGGCTTGCTGCTGAGCCCGCGCGGGGTCTGCCGTGGCTCCGTGGCTCCCAGGGGGCACCTCCAAGTTCTCTTCCAGGAACAGTCGCGCGCGAGCTCTGGGATGCGCGGCTCCAGCAGGAGTCGGAGGCCGTCCGAGGTGGCGGCCCCGTCAGCTCTCCCAGAGGAGCGGCTTCCGGCCTCGTGACCTCGGAGCACTCTGCAAGGTGGTGGAGGTCCCGCGTGCCGAACCAAGGGCTCGGGGATGAGCAGGGGCTGCCTGGAGGCGGGGGCGGGGGGGGGGGGCGCGTTACCGGCCTAACTACTGCCCTTCTTCTGAATTAATCTAATTAGTATTTTATGCGCGAAATGATGTCAACTCCCGACGTGAGTCACAGGCACATCACAGTTCCAGAAGCACAGTCCAGAACACACTGCGGCCAACGAAGCGGTGATTTAAAATGAAGAAACGCGAGGAGCGGCGAGGAGCGCTGGCGGGACACGCGCACGCGACGTTTCAGCGGGGGCTTGAATGATGATCACGAAAGAAAAGCCATGCAGGCGAAGGGGGGCACCCATACCCTGAACGTAAAATCCCAAATTACAGGAACAAGCCCGAAGACACGGGAGTGAGGAGGAAAGGCACAGAATACTCATTAGCTCCCGGGGGAGCGTCAGAAGGAACTCGGACGCTGGCAGCGGTGGTTATGAAGTAATTGCTAAGAATGGTTTCCAAACACCTTCAATTTAATCATCGGTCAATGAAAATAGACTCTTTTTTCCAAAATACCAGTGAGGAAATGTCAGGAAAAATGTCCAAGAAGAGAGAGAGGGAGTTCGAGAAGCTCCTGAATGGAGAGGGTGGTGCGGGCACAGACGGCCCCTGCCCTCCACGCCTGGTGAAAGCACCACACGGGGCATGAACAAGCGAACAAGCGGCGTCTGTGCCCCAGGTGGGGACGTGCCGAGGCTGCACACAACCGGAACATCAAGCGAGCGCTTCCCACCAACAGCCCCTGCCTCCTGCCCGCGACGGCCGGGGCAGAGCCACGGGGCCACCAGGTGAGGTGCCAGTGATGATGCGGGAACCTGGGCCCAGGGGCAGCCAGCACGAGACAAGATGCACAGGCGCACGGGGTTCCACGGTGACGTGTGCAGAGCATTCTAGAAGGGGTCACGCAGAGGTTAAAGGACAGGCCAGCACTCGTAGAAAAATAATCACCGGCACATAGACGATGCTTCTTGCCGCCAGTGCCTTCGACTGCGACTTCCTGCCCCTCTGTGCTGGCCAAGGCCGTGACAGCTCTCAAGCAGCGGGGCTCACGAGACCCAGTGCTTCCCCCGGGAGCCAGGCCCGGATGAGGGAGTCGCCCAAGCTCTCCAAGGCGGACAGGCGAGGGGGAGCAGGAGGGAGCGGGGGTGTCTCCCAGGCTGGCAGTAGGAAGAGCCAGTCCTGTCCTGGCTTGGGCCCCACGCCTGCACCCTAAGCCAGGGTGGTCGCCCTCCCCACCCCCTGCCTCTTCAGCAGCAGCCGACCCCCCGGCAAGGGGCACACACGGGCTCCTGCCCCGCCGAGAACGCTGCTCAGGAAAACAGGTCCAGGCAAGGCCAAGGCAAGACTGAAAATCAGTGAAACACCCGATGACCATGTCGGGCTTCTGGCCGTGGGACGGTGGACGCCAGCGGTCACTCGCGGCCCTTAATGTCCCCTAGCGTGGCCGTCTGATCGTCTCTGCCGACGCAAGTGCATACGCTCAAAAACAGGCAAAGTGAAACAAGCCGCGCTGTGTCCACCCAGGCCCCACCTTTAATCGCAAATTATTCTGAGTCCTCAGAGTCCGAGGTCCCGTGAGGGCCGCTGGCTGGACGCCTCTCCCCGCCGACCCGTGCAAAGGAGCTCCGCCCTGACCGAGGAGCCCTCCCTGACCCAGTCGCCCCAGTCTGCCCTGCAGCACCCACACTGAGAGTGACAGGGCGGCGGTCTCCTGGCTGGGGGCGGGCGGGGGACGCTGGCCGAGGCCCAGAGCTGGAGCTGGTCACTTCTTAAGGGCAAGGCGCTCCATGCTGTCTGCTCCCTCGCCTGCCGCCCCCACCAGGCTCGCCTGCTCCCTTGCCTGCTGCCCAGGGGAGGGAGCCGAGGCCGCGCCTGCACTAGGGCCCCAGCAGCCTCGAGGAATGACTCGGATGAGCTCAGTGGCCAGGGGGGGCTTATCACAAAGGCCTCAAAGACAATGCTGCTTTCACATTTGCCAAATGTCCCTGAGGTAAAGCCACCGACAGGGCACCCTCCTCAGCAGCCAGCTCAGGGGACACGGGAGGGAAAGACTGAACCCCGGGGCTGAGCCTGAAGACTGGCCTCCTCCTGTGCGGGGCCCCCTGTGCCCTGTCCCGTCGCGCCCCCACCCCACGGGCAGCGGGCGCTGAGGCGCAGGCACCTGTGCACAGTGGCGTCCCCACAGCCCCGTGGGCGCCCCCGCCCGGAGGGCGCCACCCCCGAGCCCCCCTTACCTGCCGGTCAGACACCGGCGCAGGGAGTAGGACGCGCCGCCGCCGCAGGTGCGCGAACAGTCGCTCCAGTCCCCCCAGGCGTCCCAGCCACCGTCTTTCTCCTCATCCGAGCGGGCGTTCCTTGCGGTCTAGAAAGAGGAAAGAGGACAGTGTGCTTCGGGGTCCCCAGCCCCCCCACCCCACCCTTGACCCTCCCCCTGCCTCAGCCCCCCAAGCATCCCCAGCCCCCCGCCCCGCCAAGTCCCCCCCTCTACCCCAGGCCCCAGCACCCCCAGCACCCCTCCAGGTCCCCTCTGAGCTCTCCCCCCGGCCCCCCATACCCCCCAGCGGCGACACTGTGCCTGGAGCAGCGCTTCCATGCGGGCAGTTACTCCGGCCTCCTGGGGACCCTCCCCTGACGGGAGGCCCGAGCTCAGTGTTGACCTGAAGTTGTGTTGCTGCGGAATTTAAGGGAGGCGGCTTCTCAGCACGTCCCTGACCCGCAGCAGGGCCCACGGGCGGAAGGGCTGCTGCAGCTCAGACTCCCCGTCAGGCCCAAGGAAGCCTTTGTGAGGTGTGGGGGCCCTCTAGAGGGGCTTCAGCCCAGGACAGCAAACAAGTGAGGTCCAGGGGTCCAGGAACACAGAGAAGAGCCCCCCCCGAGCACCCCTGGCCTGGTTTGTGGTGAGATCAGAGAAAGGGGGTCTACAAGCCAGCAACCGGCAGATGGTGCAAGACGAGGGGCTCCGCAGGGGGCTGGGCGTGCGGGGGCGCCCGGAGGGGCCTGAGCGCCCCAGGCCCGCTCCCACCCGCGCCCCAGGGAATGTGGGCCCTGGCGGGCAGGCCTGGGGCTCCTGGAGGAGCCGTGAGCAGGCGGGGAGCACAGGACCCTGCAAGATGTGGCCCGGCACAGGCTGCGTCCCAAAGCGGAGGGCACCATGTGCGGTGGCCCAGGGTGAGCCCTCAGCCACCTGCCAGTGGCAGGAGGAGGGGTGCAGGCGGCAGGTGCGCTGGGGACCCCTGAAGCTCCTCTGAAAAGCAGGCGTGGATGCCTAGGGCCGACGGGAGCAGCAGGGCCATGAGGAGCTGAGGCAGCAGGACATGCTGCGCCTGATACTGGGCGGGCGCCAGTGTCTCCGACCGCTAGCAGCGCCAGCCAAGGCAGTGAGGAGGTCGAGCCCGTCTGCCCGCCCTGCACCTGCCCGGTCCAGCAGTGGCCACCTCCAGGCCGGGGTCTCTGGCCGCTGCAGCTTCTTGGCTGGCTTTTATTTCCCTGCTCTGTGAAGCTGTGGCCAGTAAACTGGTCACTGTTCAACAGCAGCAGTGACAGGAGCCGCTCCTGCCCGCGGCGGGGAAGCAGCAGTGAGACTGACAGCGAGTGCTGGGTAAGGGCCGCCGCTGACCCACACGGCCACGCCGGGCCGAGCCGAACATGCACAGCCCACTGCCCGCACCCCCACCCCAGGGAGCAAGCTCCCCTCCCCAGGCCAGGTGCTCCCGGCCGCGGCCGCCTCTGTGACACTTGTCTGCAACCAGGCAGGGGCCGCATGCTTCCGGCCCCAGCTCTTGTCACCCCATATCCACCGTGCCCCCCACCCCAGCAAGCTCCAAGCCAGCGGAGATCCTCTCCAAGGCCCTCCCATGGGTCCCCGGAACATCTGGGCAGAGAGCGGCAGCTCAGCCTGCAGGGCCCGGGCGGGGCCAAGCCCCATGCTGGGCCCCAGGTCAGCAGGCCCCAGCCGAGGGCGTCTCAGTGCTGCTGCTGCGGGTGCCCAGCCTGCGGTTCCCTCCTCGTTCAGACCCCCCACGCCGACGACCTGACGTGGACTGGCCTGGCAGGTGCACGTGGACCTGTCACACCCAGACCATTATGGAGAGCCTGTCACATGTGGACGAACCTTTGACACATGGGCGCTCCCTTGCACGGCCAGGCTCCCCGGGACGCCATCGGCAAGCTCCTTGCTGGGGCAGGGATGGGCGAGGTGAGGTAGGCTGGTGAGGTAGGCTGGGGGATGTGTCACCCCCACGGGGTCTCTGCCTCGGCGGGCGGCCTCTGGTGGCAGCTTTCTGTCCACCTGGGCCTCCGTGAGCTCAGCCAGGGAGTCACCGGCACTGTCGTCACCTCCAAGGAAGGCCCAGTGCAGCGGGACATGGACGTCTGCCAACAGCAGACCTGCAGGTTTGCTCAGCCCCCAGTGCTCGCCTGGATGCCTGGCCTCCAGGCACCGGGGACTCCGGGCTCCCTGGAGACCGAGGTGGCTCCTGTCACCTGAGACAGCACGTCAAGGTCACCCTCCATCCGGCTCTGTCTCCGAGCTGCAGGAGGGCCTCAGCTCCTGACCGGGTCGGACATCCACTTCCCCTCTGTCCGAAATAACACAAAATGCCAGAAGCAGTGAGCTGGGAATGTGATGCGTCACCGCCTGCCTTGCCCACTGGGTGTCACCTCGGCCCCACCGTCACTTCCACGGAGGCTCCAGCTTCATCACGGAGAGAACAGCCACACTGGATGACCGTCGGCCTCAGCCCCTGACGGCAGGCTCCGTCCATTGGGGTGCAGTCTGGCTTCCTCTGCCGGGTATCTCGGTGCCTGGGGCAGGCCCCAGCTGACCGCGTGGGCTGGTCACTGGTCCCTCTTCTTGGTCCTCTCTAAATCAGCCGGCGAGGGTGGTTCTGACACGAAACTTTGCCTCAGCACCCACAAGGGGAGAGAAACAAACCTGGCTCAAGTCCTGGAAGGCTGCGTCCCCTGTGCCTTCTCCTGTCTCTGCAGGGAGCGGAGCACAGACACCCCCGCCCCCCATGCCGCGAGAAAGCGGCTTCCGTGCCCCGTGGGGCTGGGTGAGTTACGGGACTTGTGGCAGCGGATTAAGAATCAAAATCCTCAGGCTCGTAACAGCTGATAACACGATTCCACTTCAGCTGGAATCCGTAATCCACTTGGCTTCAAAATCTGTGTGGAAACTAGGGGAGTCGGGAGGCCACAGAGTGGAGGAACCAATTAACATGCAAAATCCACCCCGCAATTTCCAGGAGCTCAGCCTTTGGTTTCTGAGATTTGAGCACAACATTGCGTCTCTTGCTCCCCGATGCTCCGCGCTCAGCGCTGCCATCACACGTCGGGAGTTTCTCTGCTCCCGGGCAGCTTGTGTCACACGGGAAATGCGAGTCGCTGTGACGGTTGTCGGAATCCTCGCAGGAAGAGACTCTGGCCTGACGTCTAAGTGCTAGACAGGGGCGCCTTTGACTTTATTCCGTAAATATTGTTCCATTTATGTTCCTTTTCTTTATTTGAGGAATTTTTTTTAAAATTTATTTTTTATTTATACAAGAGCCGGGGTAGAGGCCAGAGGTGCGGGAGGGTGAGAGGACTCACCAGAGACAGAGCGGGGAGCAGAACAGGCAGACTGACCGAAGTACACTGCTGAGGGAAGCAGCGGGCGAGTCAGGAGAGGTCTGCCGTGCCGTGTGGGGATCTCCCTGGCCGGCCGGGATCGAACCCATGCTGCAGAGGCTGCGGACAGATTCACAGCACTGCACTCAACAGCCTGCACCACCAGGGAGGCCCGGCTTTTATTTTTAAATGAGACATGCTATCGAATTTTTCACTTTTGTTATTATGAAGTTAGACGGAGTAACTACTCATAGTTTATAGCCCATTTCACATCGTGGTTCTATTCTATTTGCTTTTGACATCCGGTCATTCTCATTTTGCGAGCAGCCTGACGGGAAGACAGTGCGTCCCACTGGCCTTCGCGAAGGAAGCCACACAGGTGAAGAACACGGTGGTTCTGTGGGTGCTACTCTGCTGTCCCGTCATCTTCGCTCTCGTTCTCATTCCCCTTTGTTTTAGCTTGATGTCGTTTGCACTTTTTGTTTGACCCTGTTTCATGATTTATTTTCAGTCCTTCCTGTCTTTAGAGCTGTAGGGTTTCCCTCAGGACTGCCCATGCTCCCTTTTAGTTTTGCTAGTTTAGCTGGCTGTCCTCTCAAATCTTCCACTTCCAAGGCCTTGGTAATGGCATTTCGGCCTCTTCTTCAATCCCACAGACTTTCTCTGGGGTGAAGGAGTCAGACGGCTCCACATCCCCCACGCGTGCCACGAACACGGCCAGAAACGGGGCTCAGTGCCGCCGGGGTTCCCACCACACACAGCTGGTCCCTCAGGCCGGAGCCAAGAAAGGGGCTGCCCTTCAGCGGGCAATTGTTCTAGGTGGACGGCAGACGTGACAGCCTTTAAACAGGGCCCGGGAGATCACAGGCCCCCTTGTGGTGCTCAGGCCGCTGGGGCGCCGGCTCTGCAGAGGCAGAGGGCCCCTTGGCAGTGCGTCCAGCCGTCCGTCCTCTGTGGGGAGCTGCTAGCCGTGGGCCTGTCGCAGGGTCCCCTGGCCCCGCCTGGCCCAGCCTGCCCCAGGCTGACCACTCTCCCCTCACGACAAAGGGCAGCCCTGCCCTCTCCGGAGGATGCTCCAGCCTCAGCCCCCTTACCTCAGCCCCTGCGGGTTATTCCTGAACCTCCCGCCTGCAGCGGCCCCTTGCGCGGGAACACAGACCCCAGGTGACAAAGACAGGGGCCGAGCAGGCCGCTGGAGTCCAGCAGGCCTACGGATGGGAACGTTTCCAGGGGAGTCCTGCCCAAGCAAATACATCTAACCTCGAACACACAGGCCTTTTAGAATCACAAGACTTTTCTATTAAATAACTTGGGCAACTTTCAAAAAGCAAGTCCTGGTTTCAAGCCGTTCTTCGTGATCTGTATTTGCACTCGCAGGTAGAACCTTCCGTCCACCTGCTGTGAGAGTCCACTCCAGCGCAGGGGGCGTGGGGGTGAGGGCCTGCGCGGCCGGAGGGGCGCACCGGGCCTCATCTCCCCAAGGGCAGCGTCTCTGAGAAAGGACAAGGCCCCGCAGGAGAGCAGCTTCTCTGCCGGCGGACGGCGGCACGGTCAGAACTGCAGTCCCAGTTCATTTCCTCGGCGGAAAGGGGACGCCGCCGAGCCCACACGAGGCCTGGACCCACCCCCAGTCCCCTCTGGTTATTAAAAAGCCCCCAACCATCAAAGCAGCCTGCGCGCCCGTCCTCCCTGTTAGCCAGAGCATTTCCCGGGTTTCGCTGATCATGGCGTGAACCAACCGCCTGCAGAAATCCT